TTTGGATATGGCCCAATTAGGCCTTGGTTGTCCATAGCTCACTGGTATATATAGATCAGGCTCTTAGTATTAATCATTTTTGTTCCATTTCTTTTTCTTTTCCTTATTTACTTAACGATGGTAAGCGTTCTAACAGGGTGAACTGGCACTTCAATCTGAGAAAGTTCAGAGCGAGCGAAGTGAATAGAGTGAAGATAAGTCTGGCTTGTGTTTTTGCTTTCATGGCCGTTGGGTGGCCACTGATCATATACAAAGTTGGGATATTGGGATGGGTTAAATTCTGGTTGATGCCATGGTTGGGCTATCACTTTTGGGTAAATACTTCTCACTTATGCTTTTCTCTGTTCCCTGTTTTTCGATATATATATAGTAGCATCATAAGCCAGGATGGTTATGCTTGATTGTTTATCTCTATAGATGAGCACGTTCACGATGGTTCATCATACGGCTCCACACATCCCTTTCAAGCCTGCGGATGAGTGGAACGCGGCTCAGGCCCAGCTTAACGGAACTGTTCATTGTGATTATCCTAGTTGGTAATGCTCAGCTAGTTTTAGTTGGTATTCTCAGAGTTTTGAGAGCCTCTTGTTTGATTTTCGTTACTAATCCGATGTTTCTGCGTTGTGACAGGATTGAGATTCTCTGCCATGATATCAACGTACACATCCCACATCACATTAGCCCGAGAATACCGAGCTACAATCTCCGTGCGGCTCACGAGTCTATACAAGAGAACTGGGGAAAGGTAACACAGCACCGCTTTCTTATCCCGTTGTGAATAAGAACATGACAGTTGTTTTCGTAAGACACTGATTTATCTTCTTTGTGCGGTGTTGTTGCTGCAGTATACAAACTTGGCTACATGGAACTGGCGCTTGATGAAGACGATAATGACCGTGTGCCACGTCTATGACAAAGAGGAGAACTACATTCCTTTTGACCGGTTAGCTCCTGAAGAATCTCAGCCGATAACATTCCTGAAGAAAGCAATGCCTGACTACGCAGCCTGATTCGCAACTGGTCTCTGTATTGGTCTTTTGAAACCTCAATATCTTTTTTTGCAATCGCTAGTGTTATATCTTAAGCTTTTCAAGCGATAAGCTTCTTTAACGTTTCAATAGCGCTTTTATACTGTATCCCTGTTTCCAAACTTATCAGAGGAGAGAATATTTGAAGAGATAAACATCATCTACTTGCTGTGCTAGCTCGTATTGTTTTGCAATATTTCCGGGAAAGTGATGGAAAAGGAAAAGTTTGAGTGAAAATAAAGCTAAAATTCACGGTGTATCTAAATTAATTAAAAAACAAAAAAAGAAAGGGATATTATTAGGTCGGTTATTTTTCTCCCTCCTCTATATAAACACAACACACTCAAAATCACAAAGTAAACCTCAAGAACCCTAATCGTACAAAGTAATTTACATGAATTTTGTATGGTAAGAAAGTTGAAAAAATAGATGAAAACGATCTTGAGATCATTGGTTTTGGCTTCAATACATCCTCATGAGAGAAGCTTACGGTTCATCCTGGGATACGGGAACGGCTCAGATTGGATATGAGTGATTTCTTCTTCAACCGTGTCCAAGTAGCGATCAAGACTTTTCCTAGGAGTCTTCTTCATCTGATCCAATCTCGCGAGAAGGTCTAGGTCTTGTGGTTGTTGCTTCTCGTTTTTATCGAGGGTATCAATCGTGTGATCATGAAGACGAGAAAGACGAACACGTGCCGCACAAGACAGCACAGAGCAACTGATCATGATCAGCAAGAGAATGATGCTGATTGTTGTCGAAGCTTTTGTCATCGTTATGAACCAAAAGAGGGAGAGTGGTTATAGGTTTCTTATCTATTTAGACGAAATCAAATTTATGATTTGAGTGTGAATGCATGTGTTTTATATAGAGGAGGAGGAACCGACCTTGTATATAATTATTTTTTAGTAGTAACTGATAGGACTGAGCTTCTTTTCTTTTAATCGTATTTTCACGCTGATGAATCAAAAAATATCCAAACTCGGAAACCTAAGATTCCAAATCAAAAGCTGAGCAAATATGGCATCAAACAATTCCAGAAAATCCGAATTGAACCCGAGAGAACAAAACAACAAATGAAGTTATGAACAGAGACAAATCATTTAATGAGCCGAACCTTCGAGCACGTGCGTCTGACTTGACCGAGATTACCTGTTAAGACCAGATGAGTTGATAGCTTGATCATTGCCATGGCAAAGTCTCGTCGGAATGTGAGCGGGTTACTAGCGTATAGTCTGACCCATTTCTCTGTCTCTTTGCTCCCAGTTAGTTTCTGATCAGAAAACATAACCCCTTTCCTGTCCATCAGTCTTCTGTAGTACCGTATACAGAAAGAAATGTCCCCGCCTTCATTGTTGAAGCTCAAGTCGACCAATCAATCATTCTTCTTTGGCGAGCTCATATTGTGGCATTTGTTATTGAAACAACCAAAAGCAGTTTCAAATAACACAAACAAAATTCCCCAATTGCAACATGAGCAACCTCAAAAAGTGTTAAAAGTAACTCACAACATCAAATCATCATCGATTTCATCCTCGGAGGCAAACAAAATTGAACATGTGCTAAAGGAACATGGGGAATTTGGTTTGTGTTATTTGACATCATTTACAGATGAATATGTCCAAAAATACTTACACATTGATCTATTTTCTAAGGAACTAAGAAAATTTCATACTTCAACTTTATAGTAAAACCATGTAGTAAACAAGGGTCTGATTGGCCTATCAATAAGCCGTCCACATAACAGTTTCCCGCTTTTTAGTGCTCTCCTTCTTCTTGTGTGTTAGACTAAGTCTAAAAGATCTGTCATCATAAATTTTGGAGAAATTCTTCATTTTTGAGCTCTCTTTATATACAAAAAGTTTTTTTTTTAAATTATGATATTGCACCATTCCAAAATAGATATTTTAATCGTTAAAACAAATGTATAATTTTAATCATAATATCAATGTATTAGTTTTTACACAAATTCAGAAGATTCAAGAGATTCACAAACAAAAATTGACAATAAAAATCTAAACAAATGCATGATTTTTTTTTTTGATTGGATATGTTAAATTAACCAACCAAAAAACCAGTATTATAAAAGAAAAAAGTTTGAATCATGAGATTAGAAGCTACAAAACTTCACATAGGTATTTCTAGCTTTGGATTAAAAATCATTTTTGCACAACAAATGTATGATTTTAATCTGTAGTCGATTCACAAGAAATAAAAGTTATGAAATCAAAAGGTTATGGTTACAGCTGGGCTCTGCCTGTTTTTCTACCGAGGTCTTTTGTTTGGTAGCCAGAGTCAGCCAGTTTTTCATTAAATAGGCATAAGAGTATTTTAACTGCAGAAAAGTAGTGCGGAGAACTAGTCAGAATTGGGCCTGCCATCCAATTCGTGACGTGGATGATCCACCAAATCCATTGCTGACTTCACCACGATCGATTAGGTGAAACGGTTCTGCAAAGTTAGTTTGTTCATGCTGTAGTAGTCAGAATTGTATCAGTCATGCAATTCGTACTGATGGCGAGATTCCTTTTCCAGGCTCCAGGCTTAAGAGCCGAATTAGCCATTGGGATTGGTGTACAGACAAGACTGATTGAGATTCGTAATTAGCTGCAATAAAAGAATACGCTAGTCGATTCGCAAGAAATAAAAGTTATGAAATCAAAAGGTTATGAGATTTAGTCTGCATACAAAAAAACGACAATGAAGATCTAGAAGATCAAATTGAAATCCATTTTTTTTATTTCATGGAGTTTTTGTCAGTTTTATATTAAAATTAAAAGACTTTTAGAAATAAGTCAATGACACTTCGTATCTATCTCAGTTAATTAAAAAAAATAAAAATAAAAGAAGGGGATAATATTAGGTCGGTTATCTTCTCGCTTATATATATATTATAATATATATATATATATATAACACATGCACACTCTCAAAATCACAAAACCATTCTATCGATTCTACCCAAAAAACCATAAAACCCTAACCGCTCTCTGACTATCTCTTTCAGTTCTTAATTATCGATGGCAAAAGCTTCTAAAACAATCTGCTTCATCGACTATCTCTTTCAGTTCTTAACTATCGATGGCAAAAGCTTCTAAAACAATCTGCTTCATCGTCCTTTACCTCTTAATCACTTGCTCTACGTTGTCTTATGCGACACGTATACGTTTTACTCTTTTCCTCGCTACTTTGACATGGTTGAAGAGGAGGTCGCTGGCGTCGATCACAGCGAATCTGAGCCGTTCTCGTATCCAACGATGATCAATACGTCGAGTCTCTCATGAGGATGCGAAATCTTTAGATCGATCGTCGATGAAGCCAAAGTCAATGATGTTTTAAGACTTTCGAGTTCTCTTTTAGAAACATCATGAAGATACTATACAATTTCCGTTTAGAATATGTAAACATGCAGAAGCTTTTTTGTACGTCAAATTCGATGACTATATTACGTCTGTAGTTTTTATTCTATAAGGTCCTTTTTTTTTCTCTTGCTATCTATAATAATTTAAATCTAAATTTCAACAAATTCAAATTATCCAGGAGCTAAAACAAATTCTTGACATTGCTCAGCATGTTTCCTCTCCCCTTCCTAACAGGAATTTGAATCTAATGGTGATTAAAAGTATGTATTGTCACCAAATCGAAGGAAAACCCAAAACAACTCGAGTTCTGGTTCCTTCAAGATGTCTTTTCCGAGACAAACTGTTACGTTGTTCGAATTTGCAAATTATTTTAAAGCATCTGATTAAAATCGAGTAGTATTTAAAAGGATAAAAATGTTAGTTTTAAGAAGGGGAGAGGAAACTTGTATTGAGATAATCTTATGCATAAACTAATTAAAAATTTAGGATATTGTTGAGATAATATATTTTCATAACTTTATATAAAATTATTGAGATTATCTAAATCTCGGTCAAAGACATGAATGCCCTTTCTTTATATGTTGGAATCTTCTTTTGCTTTAAAAGCAGAAGCATTAAGGCTTCAAAACGCAGCGTTTTAGTCCGAAGATGGGTCGGTCGGAAAGCGGCTACCTTTGTTGCCTACAGAATTTGTTCGTTTCTTTTACTCTCTCCGACAAACCCACGAGAGCGACAGACAAGAGAATCGTCCATGGAGGAGAAGCTGAGCGACGATGCTGAGGTGTACCCGGTGGACAAGAGCATGCCGGAGGCAGAAAATAGCGAGAAAAAAGTGGAACCGGAGAAGGAGCTGTGTAACGGTGACGATGACGGATTGAGTCAACTCAGAGACGGAGAATCACTTAAGACTATCGATGCGGATATGGATGATTTTCACGATGGGGCGGTGCGAGAAATCACAGCTAACGATCAGGATCAAGGTAACGGTTTATTTGCCAATTTTTTTTTTGTTAAAAACATATCTTAGGGGTTAATTTTGAAGAAGTGATGTTTGTGTTTACTAGGTGTTCGACAAAATTCGGCTGTGGAACCAAATGGTGAACATGTAGGAGAGGTGAAGGTGAGTTGCTGGAGACTGTATCTTCTTTTCACTGGACTGTTAAATTTTGTTCATTTCTTAGCTGATTTCTTTACACTGACAAGTTAGATTCTCTACTTGACATCGATTGTGCCGGAATTTGTAGAAATTAAAGTTATGAAATCTAAAAATTCACTTCAGCGTACTCGATGTATTGGCCCTATGCGTTGTAAACAAGTGATCGAATTGATTTATCAAAAATTGCTTAGATTTCCTCTAGTCTTACAAACTTTATTATGCAAGTATAATTTCTATGACTTGTTACTAGGCAAAGCTGCTTGAAAAAATTGATATTATGGATTTTTTATTAACCAGAAGAAGGGAAGTTTTCATCTTTTAAGAATAGGTCAGGTACCCGTTTAGTGATTATTACTAGTACATGGGAAGAGTAGTCGTAATCATATTGATTTAAAATTTGACCAACATCAATCTGTTAAGCGAGTTTAAGCACATGTAAAGGCTTGACATTTGACTTTTTTTCTGTGGCACATTGGTAGGAGGATGTTGTAAGCGCGATTGTGACGGGTGATGAAGTTGTAGTAGAAAACCGTGAGGTAGAAACATGTCCCGGTCTGACTGCTTCGTCAGATCCATCAATGGTAGAGCCATCTCTATCTTCAAATCCTTCGGCTGCACAAGTTCTATCACTAATTCCATGTTCCGAGAAGCAAGAGCAAAGATATGATTCTCGAGTGGTTAATAGCTTGTCGGTTTCTCCGGTTTTGAGGACACCGGCTCGCGATGGTTACAATTGGAGAAAATACGGACAGAAGCAGGTTAAGAGTCCCAAGGGCTCACGGAGCTACTACAGGTGTACGTATTCTGATTGTTGTGCTAAGAAAATTGAATGCTCCAGTGATTCAGGAAACGTGATAGAGGTTGTAAACAAAGGTTCGCATAGTCACGAACCTCCCCGAAAAAATAGCTTCTCCCCGAGAGAGATTAGAGCTGCATCAGTTATCTCACCTGTTTCAGTGGACAAAACAATAGTAGAGGAGCTAGAAATAGTCCCTAGCGGTTCAGATCCGTCCGCTTCAACTAAAGATAACATCTGTCAGTCGTTAACAATCGATGAACGGAAGAGACACTTCGAGAATGAAGCTGTGGAGGAACAAGAGCCAAAACGAAGGCAAGTTTTTTGTAGAATCTTCGATTTCAGTGCTTTTACCCTTCACGTAGATAGAATTAACACGCTCGCCTCTTTTATTCGTGTGTTTCAGACTGAAAAAGGACAACTCACAAAGTTCAGATTCTGTCTCCAAACCTGGAAAGAAACATAAATTCGTAGTGCACGCAGCTGGTGATGTTGGGATCTCTGGTGATGGATACAGATGGCGCAAATACGGGCAGAAAATGGTGAAGGGGAATCCTAATCCGAGGTCTGAACTAAACCCCATTACCTAAACGCTTCTTCTAAAACGATTCTTTATAGATGGTTGATTTCGATTTTGTTGTGTATCCGAACAATTTAGGAACTACTACCGATGTACCTCTGCGGGTTGTCCTGTCCGTAAACACATTGAGACAGCAGCAGAGAACACGACAGCGGTCGTAATCACATACAAAGGAGTACACAACCACGACATGCCGGTGCCAAAGAAACGGCATGGTCCTCCTAGCTCAATGCTTGTGGCTGCAGCCGCTCCAACAGCCATGAGAAGCAGGTCAGATGATCAGGTGAACATTCCCAGTTCAAGCCAGTGCTCGGTGGGACGAGAAAGTGAGAGGCAGAGCAGTGAAGCAGTGGATGTTGGTGGCGAGAAAGTGATGGAATCGGCTCGGACTTTGTTGAGCATTGGATTCGAAATTAAACAATGCTGATTATTTATATGTATTTATTTTAAGTTAGAGTTGATCAACACTCAAGTTAGTTTTCGTCTCCTTGTTCTTGTTATATAGAGGAAAACAAAACCCATGAAGATATCCCTATAACTATCATTAAGAAATATCAGGTGTTGTGTTTAGTAATGGTTTGAATGTTAATCTTGTATCTTCCTAAGTAATTATATATCTTAGCAACTGTAAATTTGACTGAGTGAGTGCATATGCCTCTGGTTCGTATAGAAGGTCTTCAGAAACTTCAAGTGGACAAAACGACGACAACAAAACCCCTCTCTCTACTCTCTGTAAACCCTAAGTCCATTTGTGCTCTCCGATGGCGAGCCTTCGATGCCTTCGCGAGCTAAGCCGCCGTGCTACGACGGTTCTCTCGATTAATCAGACGCGCTCGATCTCTTCGCTTCCGGTGTTAGAGCTTTTCGGGAACAGCATTACTCATGAGACCCCGATTCCGAATCGATCCCTCGCTAGGGATTTCTCATGGTACAGTCTCCGGTATCGCTCCCAAGGTCGCCGTTTCTCTTCGAACACAAACGATAGTGATGAAGGTGAGGAAACCAGCGATGGGGAGGATGAGGGGGAATACGAGGATTCGGCGGAGGTGGAAGTAGAGAGGGAATATTCACCGGCGGAGAAAGTGGAGGCGGCGGCGGAGATAGGGTATAAGGTGATGGGTCCTCTCAAACCTAAGGAGCGACTCTTCAAACACTATGAACCAGTGTTCGCCGTTGTTCAGGTTTCGTCTCTGCTCTCTCTAGTGTTGGACAAAAATTCTTCCTTTCATTTTCACACACTCGCTGAATTTTGAATGGTTATCGCTCTCCTGTAGATTGGTTCGCATCAGTTCAAAGTAAGCAACGGGGACTCCATTTTCACAGAGAAATTGAAATTCTGTGACATAAATGATAAGGTATGGTAGCTTCTGCTCTTCATCATGAGATGGTTGCATTTTTTTTTGAGATCTTTGCTATTCTCTTCTCCAAAGTGCATTGTATGATTGCTGTGAAATATTGTCTCTTTGCAGCTGATACTGACCAAGGTTCTCCTATTGGGCTCGGCAAGCCAGACGATAATTGGCAGGCCTATCTTGCCAGAGGCGACTGTTCATGCTGTGGTGGAAGAGCATGTAAGTGTCCCATTGTCTTGCTTGGTGTTTTATAATACTAGTGAAGCTGTGCATTAAGGAAAAGAGAATTTGACAGTTGAATTGGTGAGAGTGTAAGTACTCAAGTAACATTTACTTTCATGTGAGTGACAGGCACTGGATGAAAAAGTGCTCATCTTCAAAAAGAAGCGACGAAAGAACTATAGGAGAACCACAGGACATCGACAGGTATAGTTCACAACTCCCTTTATTTGTTTCACCTTTGTCAATCACCTTTCTTCGAGCTCTTTCCATGAAGTATGTTTGTTGTTTTTGATCATTTACCAACTTATGTCCAGGAATTGACAAAGTTGAGGATAACCGATATAGAAGGAATTGAGAAACCAGAACCGAAGTTTATCCATAAGTCTTCCAGGGCAGATGATACAGAGCAACCAAAAGCTGAGCTAGTTGCTTAGAGAGAAGATTTGCTTTGTTTTTGTTGGTTCATGCCAATACATTTTGAAGCAACTTCATCTATAGTCGCAGAAAGGCATTATTGGTAGTTAGTGGTAATTACTAGGCTCCTAAGATATGAACGCGATTGCCTTTAGCTATCTCGTTTCTTCCCCACTTGTTGCTCTTCATTTGTATTGAAGCTGGCTCAGGCTTCTGGATATTGTTTGTTTTTGTTTCAGAATTCACAAATAAAGTTTTGCGAAAACAGTGGTTATTACACTATGCTTTTGTTATGTGCTGTGAGATCGAGCTCTACTGTTTTCTGTTTTTTTTACACTATGCTATTGTTTTTGTTTCATGAGCATCTCTCCATTAACTTCTTCTTTATGCGAGTCTCTCATAGATATAAAAACTCATATGCTAATAACTGAACAATCTGAGTCAAAATCTCGAGCTGTTTCACTATAGCTTCTAGTTCAGGTGATTTTACAGAAGGAATAATAATTCAAGATCTGATGAACTTGAATTTGGTTTATGCTTTCCTAATTTCCTAGATATGGAATCAAAATCTGAATTTTAATTCCAAACTAGACAAACACAAAGAAACATGTACGTACGTGAGAAACTACTTGTTAGTTCTGAAGTATTTTAGATAAATATGGTGGTATGTTTGATTAAAAAGAGAAGATACGACCGGTGTATATAAGTTAAGAATGGGTCAGTTATACGGACCCGAAACGGGCCGAGTCGGATAGTAGCTAATGGTGTTGTGAGTCAAGTAAAATAGTAGCAACCATCAGTCATCGGATAATAGCACACGGCGGCTTCGTCTCCTTATAAATGGCCGTCACTTTGGTTACGTCCTTTGCTTCTTCTTCCTCTCGCTTCCATTTCCGCTCCTTGTCTTCTTCTCCTTCACCGTACTCCTCGTGTTTCGTCCGATTCCGGTTGCCGCCTCGCCTTAGGCTCGCTTTCGCCGTCACGCCTCTCTACTGTTCTTCAAGAGCCATGGCTCATACACTCGCGCAAGCTACTCTCGGCCTCACTCAGGCCAATTCCGTCGATCATCCTAAGGTTATTATTCCCTCATCGCTTATGTGATCATTCGGTTTTGCTTTTATCTGTGTAAAAACTCGATTCTAGTGTTAATCTGTAATCGTCTAATCACAAGTTTTGCTTACTTCAGAACGTCGTCTAATCACAATTTTTAATCGATTGTGGTCAAGTATAGTCAGAGATTCGTAATCGATTATAGTCAGAGTTTGTAATTGATGAATGCATTCGAGATGTTTGGCCGTATTTTGATTCTTGGATGTTGTGTATCAGATCTCATTCTCTGCCAAGGAGATAGACGTGACGGAGTGGAAAGGGGACATACTCGCGGTTGGTGTGAGTGAGAAAGATATGGCTAAAGACGTGAACTCGAAGTTTGAGAACCCGATACTGAAGAAGCTCGACGCCCACTTGGGTGGACTTCTAGCTGATGTCTCGTCTGAGGAAGATTTCTCCGGCAAACCCGGCCAGTCAACAGTTCTTAGGCTTCCGGGTCTCGGGTCAAAGCGGGTCGGTTTGATTGGTCTTGGAAAATCTGCTTCATCTCCTTCGGCTTTTCAGAGTCTCGGCGAGGCTGTTGCTGCTGCTGCAAAAGCTTCTCAAGCTAGCAGCGTTGCAGTTGTTCTCGCCTCCTCAGAGTCAAATGAAACCAAGCTCAGTTCTGCTTCAGCTATAGCTTCAGGTGTTTGTTTTTTTGTTGTTGTTGCTGTGAATTCTTTTATTAAAAAACATGAGAAGTATTCTGGAACTGATCTTTGTGTGGGATCGTTGTTCACTTGTGACAGGCACGGTGCTTGGTTTGTTTGAAGATAGCAGGTATAAGTCTGAGTCAAAGACACCATCTCTCAAATCTGTGGATATCATTGGCTTTGGCACTGGACCTGAACTAGAGAAGAAGCTTAAGTATGCTGAAGATGTTTCTTATGGCGTAATTTTCGGGAGGGAGCTTGTTAATTCTCCAGCGAACGTGCTCACTCCTGGTATGGAGTGTTTTTTTTTCAGCATCAGTGTCTTAATTTTTTCCTTGTTTGTGTAAGGTGAGCATTTATGCGTATTGAAGTTTGTAGCAAACATTGGGTCTCAACTTCTGCGACATTGTATCTTGCAGCTGTACTAGCTGAGGAGGCGTCCAAGCTGGCTTCCATGTACAGTGATGTCATGACTGCAAACATCTTGAACGAGGAGCAATGCAAAGAGTTGAAGATGGGTTCATATCTCGCTGTTGCTGCTGCTTCAGCTAATCCACCTCATTTCATCCACCTTGTCTACAAACCTTCTAGTGGCCCTGTTAAGACCAAGCTTGCTCTTGTTGGAAAAGGATTGACATTTGACAGGTAATCACTAGGGCAGTTGTCTTCTCTTTCATTTTAACACTTATTGGTTATTGACCATATGGTTTCTGTTCACAGTGGTGGCTACAATATTAAGACCGGACCGGGTTGCTCAATTGAGCTCATGAAATTCGATATGGGAGGTTCGGCTGCTGTTCTTGGTGCTGCAAAGGCCATTGGTCAAATTAAGCCACCCGGTGTCGAGGTAAAGTTTTTATCACACGAAACTTGAGTTTCTGAGTTAACGAGAATGTACATTAACAAAAGCCTCTTTGAACAATCAGGTGCACTTCATTGTTGCAGCCTGTGAGAATATGATAAGTGGTACTGGAATGAGACCTGGAGATGTCATCACAGCATCGAACGGAAAGACAATTGAGGTATGTTTAACATTATTTCCTATATGAGTTCAGCTTAAAAAGGTTCGAGCTTTCCATTGTTTTGCTCTTACCCCGAACATTTGGTGGCGGTGTTGTGCAGGTTAACAACACAGATGCTGAAGGTCGACTAACACTTGCAGATGCTCTAGTTTATGCTTGCAACCAGGGCGTCGATAAGGTACTTTTTGAAAGATTTGTCCATTTATTGATACATAGAAGAAGCTACATGAGGGTAATTCAAACATTCTTTGCTTAAACTTGTGAAATTATTATATATGCAGATTGTTGACCTTGCGACGTTGACTGGAGCTTGTGTTGTTGCTCTTGGAACATCCATGGCAGGTACATAGGCTTGTGTTAAAAGCAAACAGAATAGCATTCACCTATGATGATGATTGAATATCTGTTTGGTTTTTGGTTTTCTGCAGGCATATATACGCCTAATGATGAGCTTGCAAAGGCGGTGATTGCTGCATCAGAGAGAAGTGGAGAGAAGCTATGGAGAATGCCACTGGAAGAGAGTTACTGGGAGATGATGAAATCGGGTGTTGCGGATATGGTTAACACTGGGGGCCGCGCGGGTGGATCAATCACCGCGGCTCTCTTCTTGAAACAGGTGAGAATTTTGATAGAACAGAAACAAAGAAGACTCTCGCAGTACTAACGAGCATTATTGTTGTCTAACGAAGAACCGGGTTTTGGTGAATGGTTGCAGTTTGTGAGCGAAAAGGTTGAGTGGATGCACATAGATATGGCGGGACCTGTGTGGAACGAGAAGAAGAAAGCTGCGACTGGGTTTGGAGTTGCGACACTCGTTGAGTGGGTACAAAGCAATTCTTCTTCGTCTTAGAAGATGAAACCTCGTAACTAGAAGACCACTCATTGTGTGATCCGAATGATTTACTTTTAAAAAGTGATCGTCTTTTCAGATGTTATCCTTTCTCGTCCTCTCGAAAACATATAATACACATTGACTCATATCAGAGGTTTAGTAAAAGGATTGTCCTTATGCTTCTTGTTTTTCGTAGCATCATTAACGTAATTAAAAGTTAAACGGCTGAGCTGAATTTTAAGCTTCTTGTTCGTCTTGGAAGAAAAGAAAACAAAAATAATAATCTCTTTTGAATAAATTTTAGCTCAAACCAATAAGGCTCTGAGAAAAAAACAGAGCTCATTTGCACAACAACAATCAGCATTTTGTGAAAAGCTTTAAGCAAGACAGGACAAGTGTTCTAGCTTTCCTCTTGAGCAGGAGCAGGAACAGGAGGAGTGGGTTCAAGCATTCTTACAGAACGAGGAAGCATAAACTCAGCGAACACAGGGTAGTGAGACGAAGGATACAACTCGTCGATTTTATCATTTACCACCTCACACATCACGGGAACTATAGACCTACCTCTGTACAGTATCCAATCCGTGTGTAGATCTTGTGTCTGTCGGTCCCAGCAGAGGCATAGAGCTCTGAATATTAGCTTCAAGAACTCGACCGTTCCCTGCTTGTCACCTGAACAAAGTCCCAATATGTTATGATATAAAAGACTCTAGATAATAGATGATTCTAAAGACTCATGAGAGAGTGAAGATGTTTCATGATATGTACCTTTGAAATCGTGATAAGTTCTTATGAGGGCGACATTCTTTCGTACTCGGGCACTTGGCCATGCGTCTCTCATGTCCCCTACCACACCGTGCTCTCTGCAAGTTGAACGAATACCCAAAAGACCATTTATCAGCAGCCAAACGAGGAAATACAACTTTAGTATAGCTATTATTGCATTACATAAAAGGCCTGAAAGGGAAATTCTATGAGATAATTCAAAAAAGCAAAAAAGAAACTTGTGAAGGTGATGCTACGGTACCTGGATCTGCCCAACAGAAATCGCCCGGTTGTTGATTCTTTCTGTGTGTTGAAACCACCACAGTACACAACGGGCAAGGTGGGAGGTAATGATGCTATGTGTTGCCATGTGAGCAAAGCACTTCGCCTACGGGCACGAGGACTGATTTCATCCAAGTTCGTGTTTACTATCTGAAACGAAAAACCCGGCGGCTCCGCTCGTCTCAGTTGGAATGTGTAGGCAGCTTGTCAAAGAAAACACAGTATATGTGACAGAAAGAACCAAACCCATACACTAGTAATCTAATTAACAGTTTAGCAAAAAATCAACCCCACACGTAATCAGGATATGGCCCATGTAGCTATACAAGGAACTTCAGAACCCCAAGCCGTGCTTCCAGGGACCGAGGGAGACTCCGACAACCAGAAAGTTCCACCCTCTAGCAGCTCGACCTTCAATTACCATAACGTACGGGGAAATTAGTCGTTAAGAAAGTGCCATTGATGTAGCTTTATCAACAGTCTAATACTTTTTCCTTGTTGTAGAAGATGGTGCAGGATTCATCAGTGGCATCCTGAGGACCGTTTCTTGATATGCCAAATTGGTCATAGGCTGCAAGCGAAGAGTAGTAGTATTCATCTCGTTAAGTTCAAGGACACAATGCAAAATGAAGAATTGTCAAAGGCATGTGGAACTAGAAGCTAGCTCCTTCGTTCTTAGTTAAGGCAAGCGAGCGAGTGAAAAATGTGAGAATACCATGCATAGCGTTACCATACAACAGACACATCAAGAAGTGCACTAGACTCTTGTTTTGTAGCTTAATACACTAACTTGAGGATGCGGACTTTGACAAATCGTCTGTCAGATTTAGGCAATGCCAACATATACTAAAAATAGAATCCAAACCTAGATCTCAATAGATTTATAAACAAGAAGGAAAAACTGTATCAAGTAGCCAATGATTCATATCGAAATGCATACTTATTGTGAATTAACGACGGTGCAGATTTGAAGAATCTGATAAACGGCATACAAACAGAGTTCAATTACTTCTATCTCATCAATAGCCACATAACTCAAACACCATTTAAGCCGAAAAATTATACTTTTACAAATGAAGACACAGTATATATACCTGGCAAGCCCTGCTGAAGATAATCCAACTGCGACTTCACACCTATACAAAGGTAACAGAAAAATATAACAAAATCACATCTCTGTTCAATACTCAATAAACCAATTTTCCAGCATTCATCCGCAGAAGAAAGAAAACCCCTTCTTGGAGAACACAAATCAAAACATGCCGAGATCACAAGTATGAAGAAGGAATCAAGATCTAAATTTAATCTATGGAAAAAAAGGAAAAGAGGGAGAGAAGAATGTAAAACCCTGTTGGGTGCAGAGAACGATGGGGGAGTAACTGGTGATAACACTGAGACACAAATCCTTTCTTTTCTGCCATGAATTAGGGCTTTCTTCAGGTTGATCATCATGGAGATTGAATGTCATCACACTCAAAGAGACACTCATTGTCTTGTCTCCTTCCTCCTCTCCTTAATTTTTCTCCCTAATTCTTTGCTTTGTAAGCGAATAAAAACAAAGGTCTCTCACATCAGCAGCAGCTCATCGTCGTGACCTACATGATTTTTTAAGTCAAAAGCTATATCAGTTTTAAGGTGAAAACAGCTCAGGAATCGAAGAAATCAATCAACATATTATATTTATTTAATATTATATTGGGACTCCACCGCGAATCAAAAGACCACCAACCTTTCTTCTTTCAGACTCGCTAGCGAAGAAGACAGTGGACAACATGGGTCTTGCACATTTGACTACTTTTGTCGAAAAATCTGTGAAGTGATGTCCTTTAATTATATAGATATGTAGCCATTTTCCTGAAACAATTGTAAAACATTTCTATAAGCTTCGTCAACATGTAAAATCTTTAGACAGAAAATCGGAAGAGGAATCGAAACAAATTTGAAGAAAGAAGAAGAAAAAACGGACCGGTGTAGGAGTCGTCGCAGTTTGCACGACCAGAATTAAGAACCATCACACCGAACCGGGATAATTGCTACTACGGTTCGGTGGAAATCGTTGCAGTTTGCACGACCAATATTAAGAGCCATCAGACCGAACCGGGGTAATTGCTTCTACGATTCGATTCGATAATTGTTCGAAACCGGATTAAACCAAAGTAAAACTAACAATCGAACCGAGATGTTTATTGTAAAGACGCGACGACGCGTTTGACGAAAGAGGAGACGAAGATCCAAACGCGGCGCTAAGCTCCGCCCTCGACGCCTCCTCCCAAACTATCCGACAAAGAGAAGGAACCCTAATTTATTTCTCAAATCCCAAAAGGTCTGTCTCTCTCTTCTCTCTCTTACTTACCTCCTCCAAATTCGGATGATTCCCCATTTCGAATTTGCAGAGAAAAACCGAGAAGGGGCTTCCCTTTCTGAATCCTCTCTTTCTTACTCTCCTCTTCCCCTTTCATGTCTTCTCAACTCGCCGACTCTCATCCAGGGTTGTTGGTGCCTCAAACCCTAGATTTTGATTTCTGTTCTCAAATTTCTCTTACTTCTTTCATCTCGTTTCCAGTGGATCTCTCTCTGAATCAGATTACGTGTTTTGGGCTGTTCTGCTGCTCTTCAATTGCTTCCCCGTTGCGTTGTATGTGCCAAATATGAGTGAAAAGAAGGTAATTTTCCCATCTTTTGTCTGCCTCTGAGCTTCTTCTTAGCTACATGTTGCTTCCTGTATAACGTTGTTTGTTCTGCATCCGCCAAGAGCTCTTGTTCTGCTTTTTTGTAGCTTCGCTTTGACCATTTTTGTAGTTGATATTCTAGGTGGTATGCCTCTATAGCTTAGCTTTGATCATTTGTGGTTGATACTTGGTTATTTTGTAGCTCTCTGAGGCCAATGTATATGCGAGAGACTATACTTATCTTTCATGTTTGCCTAGTTGGTGCTGTAAAAGCTATGAATATAATACTTTAGTCTTCCCTAACTGACACTCGCTATCCTTGTTTTGTTCATGGCAGGTATTTTTGTTTGGATCCTTTACGGAGCATGAAACAAGGTCATTACTTGAGCAGAAACCCATTAAGGCTCTTCAGAATCATAAAGACAAATCTGTGGGAGGTATACAATTCGGCTCCTTGAATATTTCTGCCAAAAACTCTTCAGTGAATACTAATGGCGAGCTGAAGAAAGGTCAGGCTGATGTGACCGTTAAATCTCGACCCTCCAGCTCTCATAAGGAGGATAAAACTATTCACTCCGCTGGGTTGCAAAAGAAACTTGATGCTCCTAGACCTTCCAGCTCTGATAATGATGCAAAACTCCCTAGCATACACTCTTCAGGAGTTCCGCAGCATGTGGAAGAAAATGGAGTTATTAAGGAGGTCTCTGAAAGAAAGTCTCTCAACAATGGTGTGGCGATGAAGAAAGATCCTGGTTTCGATAAGTTGAGTGTGTCAGATGGTGAAAGTGATTCTTTTTATAAAGCCTCGGGCTCGAAATTCCAAGCTCTGGACAGCGAATTTTCGTCAAGTGACTCTTCATCTGGCAGCATAGCAAGAAAGAACAACCAGATTGTTCCTTCTGAGTCTCTTCCGCCGATTAAAGACTTTACACCAAGAGGATTAATAAACGCTGGGAACTTGTGCTTCCTCAATGCGACTCTGCAGGCTTTACTCTCATGTTCTCCGTTTGTGCAGCTCCTCCAGGGAATACAGCTCCAAGATATTCCAAAGGTTTCTGACTTCTATTTTTCTCCCTGTGCTTTGGTTCTATCTTTCTAACTTTGTTGTCTTATCGTGATTGTTCATGTTCTGCTTTTGTTCAGGCTGGGTCTCCAACGTTAGCTGCGTTTTCCGAGTTCATTTCTGAATTAGATGCGCCAAGCAGTTCAAGCTTCAGAAATAATGTTGCCGTTGTTGAGTCTGGTAGACCTTTTACACCTGCCATGTTTGAAGAGGTCCTTAGAAAGTTTACCCCAGATGTACTCAACAACATGTCTGGCCGGCCAAGGTTTGTGACTTTCTTACAAGTCTGAAATTTTGATGTACGTATGTTTTTAATAGTATCTAACATTGTGTGCTTTGTGTTGGCAGGCAAGAAGATGCTCAGGAGTTTTTGAGTTTCATAATGGACCAAATGCATGATGAGTTACTGAAACTCAGGGAGCAGTTCCTGAAACTCACTACTTCTAAAGCACCGGTTGTTACTTCTGCCGACGATGATGAGGAATGGGAAACAGTTGGACCCAAAAACAAATCGGCTGTGACAAGGACACAAAGCTTTGTTCCTTCTGAGCTCAGTGATATATTCGGCGGGGAGCTAAAAAGCACAGTGAAGGCAGAAGGTATTTTTTTGTATTCAGTTTAAATTTTCTTTTAAAAGTCATAGAAATTCTGCTTCATCAGGCACTCATATGTCTCTTTTTTGGAACAGGGAACAAAGCGTCTGCTACTGTACAGCCATATCTCTTACTTCACCTTGATATTCACCCGGAAGCCGTGACGATGATAGAAGATGCATTGCATTTGTTTTCTGCACCAGAAGATCTTGAAGGGTATCGAGCCTCGGTTACTGGGAAGGTAAACTATATCTCTTCTCACAATATTGAATTATGTGGGATGTTATGAGCATGCGATTTACTCGTACTCGTACTATAATACTTCCTTACGAATATTCTCTTAATAATTTCCCTGTTTGCTTTGTTTGTCTTGTCTCATTTTCAGGCCGGTGTAGTGAGTGCTAGAAAAGCGATAAAGATACAGAAACTCTCAAAGATTATGATACTGCACCTAATGCGTTTTAGCTACGGAAGCCAAGGGAGTACGAAGCTGCATAAGCCCGTTCGCTTTCCCCTTGAACTCAACTTAGGCCGCTACCTTCTTGTTTCTCCTTCCATGGAGGTATAAATTCGAAAACAGAATTGTCTATGCATTACATTTCTCTCTCTCTCTTTCTGTCGATGAACTATTGCTTACTCAAATTTCTTCTTTTAGGGCTTAAAATATGAACTTGTGGCGACTATTACCCACCACGGAAGGGATCCCTCGAAAGGGCACTACACCACAGATGCTCGAAGAAAGAACGGTCAATGGCTTAGGTTTGATGATGCCTCTGTGACTGCCATAGGGACAAAACAGGTTCTGCACGACCAAGCATATGTCCTTTTCTACAAGCAAGTGTAAGAGAAGCAAAACCAAATCTATGAAAGGAGAGCAACATCGTACTTGGCTTAGTGTTTATTTTTAGTGTTGGGAAGTTTGAATGAGGGAATCTCAATAGGTAAATAGGTTTAGAGTACCTTGGTTTACACTGAAAGTTTTGTTATTCCTTGAGACGGAAATGTTTTAATCTGATTCAAACGTTTATTACTTCGTAGACTTATTATTCAGAAATTCCTGCTTACTTGGCTTATTCTCATTGATCTAATCTTTACTCACTAACGTGAATGTTGTGCCCAAGGAAATAGCAAATTTAACAATATCCAAAGAACTTTAACAGGACCTTCTAGAGCCCAAAGAAATAGCAAATTTAACAATATCCAAAGAAATTTAACAGGACCTTCTAGAGCCCAAAGAAATAGCAAATTTAACAAGTCATTAGCGTGTAAAGCACTAAGCCCAAAAATTTTAGGACTAAAGTGAAAAATTATGTGGGTTTTTCATATTGGAAACGATCAAATCACAGATATATCCCAAAAATAATCCAATTTTTAATGGAAATTAAAATGAAATTTCAAAGAAAGTCAAGTTAAATACTTTCCCATCCTAATTCTCAGTCTAAATATTTCAAAGTGCTCTATAATTCGAAAGTCTCTGTGTCAGAAGGAGACTCTAGGCAGCGTAGTGACGTCATTGACTGGTAACCTTAACCGGCGTAGTTTTAATCGGATCCCCAAATTTTGAAATTTTTGGTTATCCCATTTTCGCCGGCAAACGAAAGATCAATCCTTTGCGACAACTTCTCTCCCCCCTTTTCTGCAATGAATATCTGCAATACATCGAGGAATTTGACGATCTTTCTGCTATAAATCGAGGAATTTGTTGCTCTTCTAATTGAAACTCTGCTTTACATCGAAATTGAAACTCTTTTGTAGTGGGTGGTGATGGATGACGAGAGAAGGGTACTGTGTCCAGAGAACCAAGGTTTAGCGGATTATGTGTTGCAGAAGAAGCGCGAATACGCAGATAAGCCCAAGGGTTTGTCCGAAAATCTGGAGAGGACATTTCTTAAGGCGTATAGAAATGTCTGCGACTCCAAGGATCCCATTAGCACACTCAAAGACTTGTCGCAGATCAAGTATGTTTCTTCCCTTTCTTCTATTTTCTCTGTGGAATTTTGGTTTAGGGGAAACGTCGTTTCCTAAGCTTTCTACTGTTCTTGCTGGGTTTTGGGTTTACTGGGTTGATCGTTTCTTCTCTGAGGTGCTTTTTGTTTGTGAAAAAGATGTGACCTTTTGTGTTTCTGGTTCGAAATTCTCCGCTTTTCAGTATTGGTTGAGCGATGGAATGATTTAGCTACCGAGAGAGTAATAATACACTCATCAGTGTTAAGGTTTTGTGTTTGTTTCAACGTTGAAGTAATGAAGGTTGAGACTGTTCAAAAATCGGAGAATCTGTTTGCTCTCACATTGTGAAATCAAAGTGTTTCCTTTTTTGAATGAAAGTGTTTGTTTATGTCCATTCTAGTTTCGTAGATGCAGAACAGATCTTATAGGGAGTGGTTTTAGCTTTTGGGTGGCTTTGCTATTATCCACACAAGTGTTTGTTTTTCTTGATTTTGGCTGGATTTTTTTGCGTAGGGGAATTGGCAAGTGGATGCTTAAGATCACGAAAGGATATTTTGACACTGAGGCTGCAAGCTCTGAACAAGAAGAGTTATCTGAAAATGGTGCTGGTAATGCTCTCAGCTGTATCTATTACATCTAATATCACGCTTGTTTACATGAAATGTCAGTGGGAGGTTTTAACATAAGGTGCTTTGATCCTGTTCAGGGAAAAAGGCCAAGGGAAGAAAACGGTACATTCCACAGAGAAATTCTGTGGCGTACGCATTACTAATAACGTTGCATAGGTTTTTTACAACGTGCTCTTTATTTTCCTCTTAGTGTGCTCTTTCTTTAGTGAACCCTTCTTCAGGACCGTTTTTGTTTTTGTTTACCAGAGGGACTGCGAATGGGAAAGAATACATGGGCAAACAAGAGCTTATTGATGCTGCTGACGCGAGTGGGCTCTCACACGCTCCTGTTGCGTATGAATCAATCACGTTCCCAGTCTCTAATCTGTTGATTCTGTGCCTCAATCATTGCTTTCTGAATTATTCTTCTTTTACTGTGAGTAGGCCAGAGAAAGGAAAAGGGAAAGCAGGACTTGGAAACTCTAAGAGGGAGTGGTATAGTGGATGGAACTGCATGACAACACTTATACAGAAGGGATTAGTGGTGAAATCTAGCAACCCAGCAAAGTAAAAAAACTCATCTTCAAAACTCTGTGTATCTTGTGCCTTTTGACTTGTATTATGTGTAGAGAAGCAGACCTTACCTTGAGACATAGGATGAGATATTGTTTTTTCTTTCATAGGTACATGCTGACAGGTGAAGGTCGGGAAGTAGCAAACGAATGTATCACGCGATCTGGATTACCTGCACTTGACATCTTATCCGATGATGAAATGGTTCCTGCACAGCAACCAAAGAACACAATTCCAAATTCCACCACCTCTTGTACAATGAGAGAAGAAGAACAACAATATACCGATCCGAGATCTAGAGCAGAATCAGCCATTCCAAGTGATATTCTTGAAAAGGTACTTCAAAATGGTATTTGGAGCTTCAATTTTCTTTCATGAACAGTGTTTCTTTCTTGTAGAGTGTTGTTTGTTTCAGTGTTAATTTTTGGTTTTCTTCTATAGTTTACACCGTTTGGTTATTCTAAGGAACAAGTCGTTGCTGCATTCAGAGAGGTTTCAGATGGATCTCAGGACAAAGATCCATCAACTCTCTGGCTATCTGTAATGTGTCATCTTCGTCAAGCAGAAGTTTATAATCCCCGTTCAGACTCTCTAAACAGAACGAAAGATTCAGCAGGACCTTCTAGAGCCCAAACTTGTACGGTCTTTGCAAGCATATGTTCTAATATCTTTAGTGCTGCGTCTGGTAAAATTTGGACTTGTTTCACTTGATGAAGTCTTAGCTACAAATTTGCAGGCCAAGTTGATCTTGAGGGATCTCATGCTAAGAAGTTCCGCTCTTGCAATGATGGAAACGCCTTAAGACCACGTTCATCTGGTTCGAGTCATGCTTTGAAAGCCTGCTCATCTTCTGTAAGTAACCATTTGCGTTCAGTAGATTACTCTTTTACGATCAGCAGCATGTGGTTTTGCTGATCAGCTTTGTTTGTTCTTCATTGTTTCATGGTTACAAAAGTTACCTTCTGATGGAACGGAAGGAATAACAAATATTCCATGCCTTCCTCCTCTTACATTTGGAGAAGCGTTTGAGGAATCATATCAGGTGATCTTGATACTGGATGACCGAGAACAGTTTGCCACTAAGGGGTTCGTGGAACACTTAATCTCTTTTAATTCTCAATTTGAGTTTTCTTATGGTTTAGTTATGAAAGTGTGATATTAGTCTATCTACGTTGTTGTTGATAACACTTGAACCCATATCTTCTTATTCGCAGATCACGATCAAGGAAAATAGTTGAGAACATATGCTCTGAACTCAATATCAAGATTGAGGTTTGCGTTTGTTTTCATGATAGTGTCATTCAGATTCCAAAATGCACAAATTAACTGGAACAATGGTAATTGAATCTATAGGTTAGAAGATTACCAGTAGGGGATTGTATCTGGATTGCTCGGCATAAGTGTCTTGGGGCCGAATATGTTCTTGACTTTATTGTTGAGAGGAAGAACGTTGATGATTTACGCTCGTCCATTAGAGATAATCGCTATAGGGACCAAAAACTTAGACTTCAGGTGTGTGTGTGCGCTCTCAACTCCTAAAGTTTTCGACTTGCTCTATCTTTCGTTGATGGTTGTTACTCAATTTCTCGAATTCTTATGCTAAGTAGAGATCGGGATTCAAGAAGCTGATATACATCATTGAAGGGGATCCAAACCATTCTGATGCAGCAGAAAGCATTAAAACTGCGTAAGAATTTCTTCTCTTCTTTTTTCACCAGATTTGATTGGTTATGCCTTTTTTTTTTCTTTGAGATTTGGAACCAAACTTATTGTTCATATATATATATATATGTGCTTCTAGCTGTTTCACAACGGAGATTCTGGAGGGATTTGATGTGATGAGGACAAGCGGGCTTGGTGAGACGCTGAGAAAATACGGTTGTCTCACTAAATCAATACACCAATACTACAAGTCGCGGGTGAATGATGAGCAGAGCAAAGTCTCGGCTTCGTATCATTCTTTTGATAGTTTTGTGAAAAGGTGTCAAGACCTCGATAAAATGACAATCAGCGATGTGTTTGCCATTCAGCTTATGCAGGTACTGATCATCTTACTTGTTAAGCCTTTATTCCGGTTTGTCTATTCTCTGATATGTGAGTTTGATTCGGTTGATAAGCAATGTAGATTTTGTCTGCAACTTTTTGTGCGCAGGTCCCGCAAGTAACAGAGGAAATCGCCATAGCGGTTCTTGATATGTACCCAACACTTTTATCTCTTGCTTCTGCCTATTCTCATCTCGTAAGCCTGACTTTCTTTTTGCCTAAAGATCTCAAAATCTTGTTCTGCGTCAAAACACGAATCTTGGACTACAATGAATCAATCTCTCCACTATGTTTTTTGAAGGAAGGGAATGTCTCAGCGCAAGAAGAGATGTTGAGGAACCGAAGCAACAATGTTATCTGTGCATCAGCTAGTAAAAACATATTCAAGTTAGTTTGGTGCTGAATGACTTCTACTCCTGTGTTTGTCCTTTAATTTTGACATTTTTTGTGGTCTATAAAGTTTGTGATACTTGTCCTATCCTGAATACAATCGCAAATAAAAAAAAAAATATGCAAAAAAAATTATTTGTGATATATATAGTTTAAAAACATATCTCTATCCAGAGTACAACAATATCCCAAACCGTAATATTTTATTATTTGTGATAAATATAGTTTAAAAACATAGTATTCCTTTTTAAGTTGGGAAAACAAAAAAACATATTCTTTATAGAAAAAGGACAATATATCTTTTGATTATATAAACAAACGTACCCCATGTGATGATATCTCTCTCTCAGGAAAACAAATCCTAATCAAATTCGTCTTCAACAAGTAATGTCAACTCGATTGGGAAAGATCAGCTTCTTGTTCTTCGTCTTCCTCGTCTTGCTTTTGGTGGGATCTTCACAGGCTCGGAGGGGCGGGAATGGGCCACTATTCCTGGTAATAGACGGTGAAATAGTCGAGATGGTTCCTCAATTTTTTCCGGTGAAAGTGGAGGACGAGGACCTAATCACCGAGACGGCCAAATCGACATACATCGGTGACTTGCATGCTAAGCTTCTGGACAAATACGGCACCAAATTGATCTGGAGGATCGATGTTGTTCTGTGTCTTTGTTTGTCTCTGTTGTTTACCGATTTAGCTTTCAGGCTTTTCTTTTGCATTGAAAGCAGATGTTCTGCTCGGTTCTCAAAATCTGTTGTGTTTTCGAGCAGGTTTTCACAGCCTGTCTAAAGACCTATGATCGTTTTGTTATATTTCGTTTTTTTTTACTTCTAGTGTTGTGTTTGCCTCGTTGCCCCAGAGTGAAAGAGATCTAAAACTGATAAAAGTTCATACGTTCTTTTTAGATTTTGGACAGTTAGGCCTACAGAATCAATCACTCAAGCTTAGGCCCACGGTTGTATAACTGCTTTAGGCCACGCACGGGATCGACCGGTTGTGTTTCTTTTTCCGGTCAACACATCCCAAAAATCAAAATTTAATCACAAAAGTTCCGGTTTGCTATGGTTTGGTGTGACTTCTACAAAAGTGACCTAACTGTAGAGGTTAAATGTTTCTGCACAACTATCCATCATCTCCGGTTCGAACTTCGAAGCTTTACGAAAGTTTAATTTTTTTATTTATTAAATCAACTTCCTTTTTTTGTTTTTTATGAAACGGAATTACAGGCATGTAATTAGAACATCTTATGCCCAGTAGTATTTTATATCTTATTATAAAAATAAATACATCATACATCTCTATATATAATTATGAATTTGGAGTTAAATATAAGAATCTCTAATTTTTAGATTAACTTTTTTAGAATAAAATACTCCTCTGATTTAGATATGTTTTTATTTTTATACTTAAATAAAATTATAATAAGAATAACTAATGAGTGTCTCCTTGAGTGTGATGACATTCAATCGGAAGATGGAGACAAGACAATGAGTGTCTTCTTGAGTGTGATGGCATTCAATCGAAAGAAGGAGACAAGATAATGAGTGTCTCTTTGAGTGTGTGTGATGACATTCAATCGAAAGAAGGAGACAAGACAATGAGTGTCTCCTTGAGTGTGATGACATTCAATCGAAAGAAGGAGACACGACAATGAGTGTCTCGTTGAGTGTGATGACATTCAATCTTCACGATGATCAACCTGAAGAAAGCCCTAATTCATCAGAAAAGAAAGGATTTGTGTCTCAGTGTCATCACCAGTTACTCCCCCATCGTTCTCTGCACCCAACAAGGTTTCTCTTCTTTCTTCCCATGGAGTATAAGTTTTTCCACATGGTTCAATGATTGTTAGATCTTGATTCCTTCTTCATATTTTTGATCTGGGCATGTTTCGATTTGTGTTCTCCAAGATAATCCTCTTTTTTTCCTTTAGGAATGTTCTTGTGCTCTTGCCTTATGGAGTACTGAACAGAGATGTGATTTTCTTTTCGATCTTGAATTTCCTGTTTCCCTTGCTTAAGTGTAAAGTCCAGGTATATATGCTTTGTCTTTGGTTTATAGAAGTATAGTCTTGTCACAAATGGTGTTTGAGTTGTGTGGCTGTTGATGGGATATGTGTAACTGAACTCGGTTTGTATGCAGAGTATTTTAATCTGCACCTCCTCAGGTTCACAATGTGCATCTATTGAGATCTAGATTACCAGTAACGCGCGTAAACCATGTCAATATTGTAGTTCAAGGATCAAGGATTCTTTCATTCATTTTTCCATTAAAATACAAGATTCACTAACTGCACTTACAAAAAAGCATGCTTTTCAGAACTAAGGATGCTGGATATTCATTTGTGAGTCCTCATCAAAGAGGACCCCGCAGTCTATGCTCTCGAATGAAATCTTGCGTGCTATCAGGTCATACCCAATATTGTAGTTCTGCTGAGCTGACGCGCCGATAATATTGAGACTTGCGCTAGGTGTCTCGACAATGGATAGGCAGAAAACATCAGGGCTACGCTTCTCAAAGACACTCTTCACTTCCATAGACAGCTCCGCACCGCCTGAGAAATGGAATGTGACTGGAGGAAATCCTGACTCTACCAAGTCTCGCTCGATATCCCCTCTGTAGCACTCCCTTTTAACATTCTCATTATTGGGTGCCTCACGCACGGTCTCAAATCTTCCGTCAAAAAGATCTTCAATTTTTTCCTTTAATGGCTCATAGGCTTCTCCTGCCAGCATCGTTATCGAGCTGCCCGTGTCGATTATTGTGCCCGTTGCACAAGACTGGTAATGACGTTGGAATACCCGCGGCTCGATCGGGAGTAATGTCTCGCCCACGCTGATTGCTTCCATTCTAACGTAATACAATCCGTTCTCGATCTCTAACGACGTCGTATCTCCCAAAATGTTCAGAGGTTTGGCAAGCTTCTTTGTGGTAAGTAGATGATTTCGAAGGATCGAAAATGGGAAGACTTTGTGAATAACAGTTGGTGCAAGGACGGCACTGTACCCAAAGAAGATCACTTCCTGTGTCCATGTGGAGAAGCTGCCTGAATGGTGGGCTGCCGATTGATATGTTGACCAAGAAAGCTAGTGGTATGTTAGGAGAAAGGTGTGCCAGAATGTCTCCACTTGCTTTGGCTTGCAAGTAGTTCAGACGTTCAAGGGATGCTTCATCGATACCAGAGACATGTGGATGTTCTAGAGAATAGATTTGCCTGGGGTGAATGAGTTTGAGTTTGAGAATCGGTGATGCTGACAAAAGAACAACAGAGCTTGAAGAACATATGGCGATGATTAAGACAAGAAGAGGAGATGTAACAAGAATCGCCATTTTTTTCCAATGTGAAGCACTTTGATCTTCTTTTCTTTATAAGTTTATAACTGTGTGAAAAAATTTCGGACACATTGCCAACATATGTAAGAACACGTAAGGAAGATGTAAAAATAATTCTTTTAAGAGTTTTAGGTGCAAAGGCATCTTTACATTTTGTATAGTTTTGTTAGAAGTGTGGAGGCTCAAAGAGGAACTGGCGGAGAGAGGTATTCATGATTATGATATTCTTTAAGAAAGAAAGTAAAATCCATGATTATGATCCTCTCTTTTCGTTCATGTTCCTCTTTTTGTTGAAAATATATTTAAACTAGGCGAGACTAAACACATGAGATCCATGAACGTAATCTTTTTGCCTACAATATGATCAGATTGGTATTGAATCACTTGATGAGTATAATAAAAGTATTTAACTCGACTTTCTTTGAAATTTCATTACAGCTTTTCTTTCCAATACGATCACTTTTTGTATCCCAAATTTCTTTGATGAGTTTAGATTTAAATGTATAGAAAGACAAACGAGGCCTGTGTGAATACATTGAGAATAGTACATTTAGTTCTCTGTTTCAGGTTTCTTCTATATTCGTTTTACGTAATTAATTCAGATAGGGAATTAAGTATACATTTTATCTTTCAGTTCAAGAATGCGGTTTCTTATTACGAGTCGAGAAAACAATGGCATTCACTCTGTGTGTGAACTTATTTTTATTTTCTTGCATGTGATTTTATCAACATACCTTCAACGTAACATTCATACCAAAAAAAAAAAAGATGGATCTCATATGTTTATTAGTCCCGTCTAGTTTAAATATAAAAAGAGGAACATAAATATATTGGGCAGCGGAGTGACGTCATTGACTGGTTACCTTAACCGGAGTACTTTAACCGGATCCCCAAATTTTGAACTTCTTAAGAGAACGCCGGTTATCCCATTTTTCCGGCAAACGAAAGATCAATCCTTCGCGACAATTTCTGTGTCCAGAGTATGCCGGTTTAGCGGATTATGTGTTGCAGAAGAAGCGCGAATACGCAGATAAGCCCAAGGGTTTGTCCGAAAATCTGGAGAGGACATTTCTTAAGGCGTATAGAAATGTCTGCGACTCCAAGGATCCCATTAGCACACTCAAAGACTTTCCGCAGATCAAGTATGTTTCTTCCCTTTCTTTTTTTCTTCTCTTTTCTCTGTGGAATTTTGGTTTAGGGGAAACGTCGTTTCCTAAGTTTTCTACTGTTCTTGCTGGGTTTTGGGTTTACTGGGTTGATCGTTTCTTCTTTGAGGTGTTTTTTGTGTGTGAAAAAGATGTGACCTTTTTGTGTTTCTGGCTCGAAATTCTCCGCTTTTTCAGTATTGGTTGAGCGATGGAATGATTTAGCTACCGAGAGAGTAGTAATACACTCATCAGTGTTAAGGTTTTGTGTTTGTTTCAACGTTCAAGTCATGAAGATTGAAACTGTTCAAAAATGGGAGAATCTGTTTGTTCTCACATTGTGAAATCAAAATGTTTCTTTTTTTTTAGTGAAAGTGTTTGTTTATGTCCATTCTAGTTTCGTAGATGCAGAACAGATCTTATAGGGAGTGGTTTTAGCTTTTGGGTGGCTTTGCTATTATCCACACAAGTGTTTGTTTTTCTTGATTTTGGCTGGATTTTTTTTGCGTAGGGGAATTGGCAAGTGGATGCTTAAGATCACGAAAGGATATTTTGACACTGAGGTGCAAGCTCTGAACAAGAAGAGTTACCTGAAAATGGTGCAGGTAATGCTCTCAGCTGTATCTATTACGTCTAATGTCAGTGTGAGGTTTTAACATAAGGTGCTTTTATCTTGTTCAGGGAAAAAGGCCAAGGGAAGAAAACGGTACATTCCACAGAGAAATTCTGTGGCGTACGCATTACTAATAACGTTGCACAGGTTTTTTACAACGTGCTCTTTATTTTCCTCTCGGTGTGCTCATTCTTTAGTGAACCCTTCTTCAGAACCGTTTTGTTTTTGTTTACCAGAGGGACTGCGAATGGGAAAGAATACATGGGCAAACAAGAGCTTATTGATGCTGCTGACGCGAGTGGGCTCTCACACGCTCCTGTTGCGTATGAATCAATCACGTTCCCTGTCTCTAATCTGTTGATTCTGTACATAAAAATCATTGCTCTCTGAAAGAGCAAAAATCCAAATTCCACCACCTCTTGTACAATGAGAGAAGAAGAACAACAATATACCGATCCGAGAAGTAGGGCAGAATCAGCCATTCCAAGTGATATTCTTGAAAAGGTACTCCTTCAAAATGGTATTTGAAGCTTCAGTTTTCTTTCTCAGAAAAAAATCTTTCTTATATAGTGTTGTTTGTTTCAGTGTTAATTTTTGGTTTTCTTCTATAGTTTACACCGTTTGGTTATTCTAAGGAACAAGTCGTTGCTGCATTCAAAGAAGTTTCAGATGGATCTCAGGACAAAGATCCATCAACTCTCTGGCTATCTGTAATGTGTCATCTTCGTCAAGCAGAAGTTTATAATCCCTGTTCGGATTCTCGAAACAGAACGAAAGATCCAGCAGGACCTTCTAGAGCCCAAACTTGTACGGTCTTTGCAAGCATATGATCTAATATCTTTAGTGCTGCGTCTGGTAAAATTTGGACTTGTTTCACTTGATGAAGTCTTAGCTACAAATTTGAAGGCCAAATTGATCTTGAGGGATCTCATGCTAAGAAGTTCCGCTCTTGCAATGATGGAACCGCCTTAAGACCATGTTCATCCGGTTCGAGTCATGCTTTGAAAGCCTGCTCATCTTCTGTAAGTAACCATTTGCGTTCAGTAGATTACTCTTTTACGATCAGCAGCATGTGGTTTTGCTGATCAGCTTTGTTTGTTCCTCATTGGTTACAAAAGTTACTTTCAGATAGAACCGAAGGAGTTACAAATATTCCATACCTTCCTCCTCTTACATTTGGAGAAGCGTTTGAGGAATCATATCAGGTGATATTGATACTGGATGACCGGGAACAGTTTGCCACTAAGGGGTTCGTGTAACGCTTAATCTCTTTTAATTCTCAATTTGAGTTTTCTTTTTGTTTAGTTATGAAAGTGTGATATTAGTTTATCTACGTTGTTGTTGATAACACTTGAACCCATATCTTTTTACTCACAGATCACGATCAAGGAAAATAGTTGATAACATATGCTCTGAATTCAAGATCAAGATTGAGGTTTGCATTTGTTTTCATGGATAGATGTCATTCATTCAGCTTCTAACCTGTAGATTCAATTGAGATGGTGTGTGTGTGTGAATTCTCAACTTCTAAGTTTTTGACTTACTTACTCTTATGTCTCGTTGATGGTTGTAACTCATTTTCTTAAACTGCTATGCTAAGTAGAGATCGGGATTCAAGAAGCTGATATACATCATTGAAGGGGATCCAAACCATTCTGATGTAGCAGAAAGCATTAAAACTGCGTAAGAATTTCTTCTCTTCTTTTTTCACAAGATTGGTTATGCCTTTTTCTTATCTTTGAGATTAGGAACCAAACTTATTGTCCATCTATATATATATATGCTTCTAGCTGTTTCACAACGGAGATTCTGGAGGGATTTGATGTGATGAGGACAAGCGGGCTTGGTGAGACGCTGAGAAAATACGGTTGTCTCACTAAATCAATACACCAATACTACAAGTCGCGGGTGAATGATGAGCAGAGCAAAGTCTCGGCTTCGTATCATTCTTTTGATAGTTTTGTGAAAAGGTGTCAAGACCTCGATAAAATGACAATCAGCGATGTGTTTGCCATTCAGCTTATGCAGGTACTGATCATCTTACTTGTTAAGCCTTTATTCCGGTTTGTCTATTCTCTGATATGTGAGTTTGATTCGGTTGATAAGCAATGTAGATTTTGTCTGCAACTTTTCGTGCGCAGGTCCCGCAAGTAACAGAGGAAATCGCCATAGCGGTTCTTGATATGTACCCAACACTTTTATCTCTTGCTTCTGCCTATTCTCATCTCGTAAGCCTGATTTTCTTTTTGCCTAAAGATCTCAAAATCTTGTCCTGCGTCAAAACACCAATCTTGAACTACAATGAATCAATCCCTACAGCAGGTTTTTATAACCTGTCTAAATACTTATGATCGTTTTATTGTATTTTGTTTTATGGGTTAATATCAATCAGAGTTTGCTTCAGCTTTTTTATACTTCTAGTGTTGTGTTTGTCCTTTGACCCTTTTCTAGTGTTGTGTTTGTCCTTTTGACCATTGTTTGTTCACGAATTCCGCCATAACAGATTCCAAGAAGGCCAAAACCAAATGACTTTTAAACGAAACCATCTTTCTTCTTTCAATTACTAAATCTGAAGAATTAACTAAATAAATCTTTAATCTGTGTTATGGAACAAATCGTTTTGAGCTGATTCGTTTGGTAGAAAAACAAATTTCATAACATGTCTTGGCTTTTGGAATACCGGTATAATGTTTCCCGTGACTTCTCTAGCACTCAAATTAGTATTAAGATCATGTGAATTGGTCGGAAAACCATGAAAATTTGGCAAACATAGAACATAAGAAGGTTTGGGTTACACCACGTCAAGAGAAAGATGAGCGTAATATGTTTGTTTATGGGATTTTTCCTAGTAATTAATCTACTGATAATCTCCAACTTAATTATAAAAAAAGTTTGGGCCTGTGGATAGATACAGCTTATAGCTTTTCATGAGATGGGCCTCGGCTTCACTACAACAGATCATGAACTCCATCTATCACCGTCTGTCTTGCTGGCTCTCGACTAGTCGTTCCCGAGAAGTCGTGTCTGACGATCCGGTAAAGCTCCTATCAACTGAATTTTTGTTGCTTTCTCAGAGAAATGGTTTTTTTTTTTCTCAAACAATCTTTGATCACAATACGTATGAATTTGGATTCTTGTTCGTGTCAGATTTGCGTGGTACCGTGATAGACTTTAGTTATGTAAAGAATAGATTGAGATGAAAAGTACGTTTATTGATGAATCAAAGAGTACAGAAATGAAGAACAAGATCTCATAGCGATCTGCTCAACGAGTTCATCACACTCGATCCCTCAGCTCGAGAGCTTTGGCTTAGAAATCTATATCTTCGATAAAATGTAACAAAATCAACAACATTTGTTTTTTTATTCTATTTTCCAGCTAACAAACTCCAATAACGGTTTGCCAACTCAGCTGCCACCTCAGCCTCGATTATTCCGTCACATTTACCATATTCTTCTTCTTCTTCCTATAATATGTCCTGTGTAACGTATTATACCGATTCTTCAATTTCGAACACAGAGCTGCATTTTGGGAAATTTGTCCGTGTTCAGTTTCTATTTTCAAAGTTTTCCATTTCTGACATTCCTGCAAAACCGTGGATCGAAACAGCTCAAAAGCACGCATTTTTCTTATTTACATGAAATGTCAGTGGGAGGTTTTAACATAAGGTGCTTTCATCCTGTTCAGTGAAAAAGGCCAAGGGAAGAAAACGGTACATTCCACAGAGAAATTCTGTGGCGTACGCATTACTAATAACGTTGCACAGGTTTTTTTACAACGTGCTCTTTAATTTCCCTCAGTGTGCTCTTTCTTTAGTGAACTCTTCGAGCAACTCCTTCTAACTTCTCCAAGCGCACCCGTTAACACACCATGGCTTGATAGCTTCGCCATTGAGGACACAAAATCCTGTCGGAACAACTGTGGATCAGATGCGTATGCTCTGACCCATCGCAGGCTCTCTTCACTTCCCATGAGTTGATGGTCAGAAAATAGTACTCCTTTCTTCTGCATCAGTCTTTTGTAGTAGCGTACACCAAATTCAGCTTCTCCACCTTCATTGTTGAAGCTTAAGTCGATCACTCCAGTAGCATTCTTCTTTCCAGAGCTCAAACTATGGGATGCAGGTAATGACGCTGCTAAACCAGGGCACGGAGATGGAGAAGGAGATGCAGCTGATCCAGAGAAGGGGCACTTTGTTTTCAGTTCTTGGAGGAACCCTGTATTGAGTTCAGGATCAGGCTTGCCAGTTCCCGAGAAGTTGTATAGCCGGTCCTCAAAGAATGTGCAGTGGGTAATGCCTATGCTGTGAGCTCCTGCATTAGAAGAAAGGAATCATGACACAAAGAGTTAACCAAATTCTAAAGCAAAGAGAAAGAGAGAGAGAGAGAGAGAGAGAGTGATACCAGACAAGCACACCATTTCTCGGGTGGTAAACCCTCTAGAATAGAAGCTTGCAAGAATTTCCGAGAGATTAGCGTGTGGTGACGGAAGCTGTAGTTCTGCTTTATCCTTGAAGGCCAATAAACTATCTTTTCTTCCAGTTTTCAGATGGTATCGAGGACCACCAGCCTAATTGTCCAAAGACATGATTAAAAGTTTAAAGCGTTGCGGAAATTATTAACATAGCAAATCAGAAAGAGATGAATATTTACCACTTTGACCGATTCTCGAGCAGCTAAAACAATGATGTCAGCGCATGAAACAACTCCAGGACAGACGTTCTCTAGTATAGACTTAATGGTGTCAATCACATCAAATCCTTTCAATGAAAGGTTCGGAGCTGCCTCTTTCTCAGACGTAATCGATCCATCTGAGTCCAGAAGGACTGATGCATCACATCCCTGAAGATAAAAACAATTTCATAACTTGGACGAGTTCTAAAGATACTCACTATACTTGGACGAGACAGAGAAAATTTCAACATGTGCTAAAGTAACTCATCAAATCATCATCAATTTCATCCTTGAGACAAATAATATTCCCCAATTGCAACATTAGCAACATCAACAATTGCTAAAGAAATCTATTGACCTAAGAAAAATTCCACTAACTTAGATGAAGTTTGAGATTCATCCGTGTCTAACAGGACTGATGCATCACAGCCCTGTACACAAACACAATTCAAGAAATGGCTAAAGGAAATGTAGAATTTAATCCTGTAGACGAACAAATTCCCCAATTGCAACTCTAAGTAGTGTTAAAAAGGAAACATGGGATTCGATTCACCAAGTATGCCAACACATAAATCTATTGACTAAGCAAAATCACACTGACAAAGAACCTCGATGATGCAATCAGATGCAATCGTAGCCAAGATTGAGAAATTAAACAGCCGGAGTCTATTATAACGCTCAATCATCCATCCGGAAATTGATTGACTAAGATTCCAATGCCAAAGAAACAAGATACTATGAGTGGTTTAACAAAATCTGACCTCGATAAAGCAATCGTGAAAGAGGAGGCGGATGAGAGACGGAGCTATGCTAGGTCTGGCATGGTAGATTCTTCGAATTTCCTTGCGAATCAATCTCTGGGCGGAGGGGCATGAGTGACGATAGAAGTCGTCTTTTAAAACAGAGCTTGAATGATCCATCGTCGATCTGGGAATAGTCACACGCATGGACATGGGACTTTCCTCCGAGAACTTTTGGCCGGTTCGATTCACCTTAGGATCTTCAAACTCGATCTGGAATCGGCGGAGGATGCCGTTGTCAAACTCGAGACCGTAAAGGGCGACGTAGACGCTGATGGCAAGAACGAAGCAGGAGGAAACAATCGCCATCTTCCGCAATCGCCATTTTCTACCAAACGAATCAGCTGGAGAACGAAGCAGGAGGAAAAGATAACTTCGTCTCGAGCGCGAAGAAGAAGTTAAATGGAAAATTGTTTGTTACTGCTAACTTCGTTCCCAATTGATTTTTCAATAAAAGAAGAACAAATAATTGCTAGTAGAAAATCAATAAGATTTAAAATCCAGATAATGTAACAGTCGAATATATTTGGGTATTTGGGGTAAGCTATAAGTAAAATTTGTTTTCTCAATTAAAGGATAACAAAGAAAAAAAAATCTTCCCCGTTTACTTATTATAAAATATTTTATATATTTAATATATAATAAATATTGTATATTAAAACTGCTCTATTTATATATTAATAATTATGTATTAATAATAGTATTATATAAATATTTAATAATAAAAATAAAAGTGTTATATATTTTCATAAAAATTGAAGATAAAAAGTTATTAATCAAAATTTTAAAATAAACTTTTTTAATAAAAAATATAAATATAATAACTAATCATCTTACCGCTACTATGATATATATAGATTTTCAAAAAAATACTTCATTTATTTTTAAAGAATAATTTTAAAAAAAATTTTACTAATTAAAAAAAAATTGAAATAGCATATTTGCCGTTTATTTTTAACTTATATAGAAATAAATAAATAGATAAAGAAAATAAGAATAATTTTTGATATATTTAACAAAAACTATATTGAAAATGAGAAAAATCATTTTTATAAAACATATTTTTTTAAGATCATTCTTTTAGAAACAGAAGGAAGGAGTATAAATTATCTAATAACAAAAATTAAAATTATATTGTAATCAAGGTTAACAAAATGCATGCATGACAAGTTCGCATGCGATTTTGAATTTTGCACAACTAATATCTATATCCGTACGTACATTTGTGAAAAATGAAAGTATAGACTACATATTATTTGAAAATTAACATTATTGAAAATAGCTGACTTGTCAACACTACAACCAAAGTTAGTGTTTTTAATTGATGACATGTAAATGTGACATGTCAAACTTCATAAAATAAACGAAATATTTTGATTGGTTGATTTAAAATTCTAGAAATTGTGGAATTAAAACATAAATAAACTAGATTATATTTATAACACTAAAATTAACAAATTTAAATTAACAGAAAATAAAATTTATTACAATTTTAATTTTTTACATATATTCATAATTTCATAAAATATAATTACGAAAAAATTTCAACAATATATATATATATATATTATAATTTCATATAAAAACCAAAAAAAATACTAAATTATGCAATAGAATAATAAAAATTCTATTATTAATAATACTTGAAGTATGATATATTTTAATTTTGAAAAGTTATTAATTTAAAAAATATATTAATAACATCTAAACAAATTTTAAATAAACAAATTATTAAATAATACATTTTTAACTAAAATACAAACATGATAAAAATAATTTAAAGAATAAAATGTTAAAAATAATAAAAAATAATCAACTTTTATTGAATTTTTAAAAAAAAAACTTAATTTTAAATAAATTTTCTTTTTAAACCAATATTTATTAAATGAATAAAGTATATACTAATTATTATTTTATAATATTCATAGGACCATATATTTTTCTATAACTTTTATCATCTTTTTATTGTTATTTTCTAAAATATACATAACTTATGTTACCATCTCATCTTATCTCTTATCATATTTTAAATAAAAACAAATTTTATATCATATTTATATATATATATATACATAAATTTATTTTCATTGTAAATCAAAATTTTGAGAACATAAATAAAATGAAAAATAACCGAACAAAAGATTAAATTATAATAAGATGAAACAATATGAATAAGAAATAAAAATAGAAGTATATAAAAATAAATCTCTCGCACTTTTTTTTACAAAGTCACTTAAAAACTTTTTAACACGTAAGAGCCATATTTCAATCGTATATACATAAATATTAATTGTACATTAGTTGAAGTCACATGCGAACTTTTTCGTGCATGTATTTTGTTAAGATTGATTACAGTCTAATTTTTATTTTAATTATTATACAATTTATATTTTAAAAAAAAAATATTTATGTATTCTAAGTGTAGTGAAGTGGTTGATGTCCGCACAGGCGTGCCAACCATCTATCCGCTCTTAAGAATAAGTAAAAATGGTAAAAACTATTTCAGTTTAATTTACAATAAATTAAGAAAAAATATATACTTAAAATATATTATATATGTATCTGCAAATTCATATTATGTAAGACGCAAAAAAAAACATATTGTAGATTGTGTAAAGAGAAAAAAACATATTATAAAAATATTCAAAAAATATTAACATAACTTATATAATTGTGATTATATATTATTACAAGCATTATAAAAATAAAAAAATTTAAAATTCATTGGTTTCAGAAAGAAGTTTGTAAAATATTAAAACAATATATATATACAAACATACTAATATTTAAAAAAACTAATCAATATTTAAATATTACAATTAACTATGTATATAAAAAAAATTATACCTACACATATGTGCGGGCAACCACCTAGTAGCTTTTATATGTTAAAAGATATATTCTGTAATATATGTGTTGGGACCAATTTTACCATCTCCAAGGAGAGCACGACAGGTGGACACCAAACTATATTAGACATTGACACGGCTAACTAGCTCAATCAACAACCCTCAAATACTGTTTCCGAGCAGTTGGCGAGCTTCCTGGAACACACAAGCATCATCATCCTACATGCTCTTCTAACGCGCCGAATGGAGGAGACATGACGGAGAGAGACATGTATAAAAGATGAAAGATCCCCACAAGGGGGAGGAAGAGAGGATCAGACAGAGACTAAGGGTGGAAGAAACCTTCTTATAGCCCGATCTAAGAAGAATGGTGACATCACCCCGACTCGGACAAACGCACACCACCGAACAGCATAGTCGAGAAGGGATTCTTCCATTCCCTCTCGACGATGCTTATCAGGATAAGTCTTTCCTTAACCCGGAATCACGCTTTTCTACTCGTTGAACCCCTTCTTTCACATTATAGAATCCCATCGAAACACATATAAGCTGATAGATGTTATGATCCCCGAACGAGACTTCTCACTCAAATTTATAGAAACACCCTCCTGAGTATCTCTTCCCTGTAGGACGTTCATTGACTTGAGCGTCACAGAACCTTCGGGAGAGAAACTCCATTTCAGTCTTCTCGAGGACCTGATTGACTCTTTGAGTAGTGTTTGCAGGATCAGATTGGTCTTCTCCCTCGCTAATGGGACCCCGATCGGCTTCCATCCTGAAACGACGCGTCAGCTTTCCCTCAAGAGGACAAAACTCGAAGGCACAGCACCACTCCCCGAACGAATGATATACCCCACGTGGCATCCCGAAATTTACTCTCGAATAGTATGGTTAAATTTTATTTTTACCAAAATCTGTATATTTATGGTTGAATTTTTGTTTTAACAAAATATGTATATTTATGCATGTAAATTTGGGTTTCTATAAGTGAATTGTAATATTTAGATGTTGATTAATTTTTTTAATATTTTTCGCAAACGTTATGTTTTTATACAATATACTTTTTGGCGTTTAACAACAATTATGAAAACTATTTCTATCATTTTGTATTTAATTAAAATTTCTTATTTTTGCGTTTTATTACATATGATTTTTCAATAAAAATTATAATATATATATATATATATATTTGTAATAAAATTTGTGAAATCATATTTTATAAAATTCTCCTATAGCTCTCCACTCATTTCTTCGTCATCCTGTAATTGCTTGCTTCCACAAATTTTCTGTAACTGCAGCGTTTAAATCAGTCAAACCCTAAACTTATATGTGTATGATTTAAGCTATAAAATTACATATTTTATATTTTATTCTTATATTAAAAATTAAGAGTTTTTTTATTTTTAGTTTTGATATATTCGTAAATATTTGTGATTTATTTTTTTGTCCGTTTACTTTTTTATATAATTTTGAATTTTTGTTATATAATAAAAATTCATTCATATATAATATAATTTTGTTTTTGAAAAATAAATTTATTTAGTTTTAAATCAATCAATCAAAATATTTTATTTATTTTATAAAATTTGTAATGTCTCATTTTCATATTACTAAAATGTCTTCTAGTTGCAACACATCAGCATTTTCTAAATAATATATAAAATTTCGCTATTTGTAAGTGTCCAAGTGGATTTTGTACGATTAAGGTTCCGAAATTACCAAAAGATGATTATAATTAAGCGTTTCACTATAGAATGTAAAACCAAATCAAACAAACAACAAACAATATAATCGAAGCATTAGAAATTTTGGTTTTCGCTAATTAGCGTAATGTGTGTGATTAAGATAATTGAAGTTTACTGTGTTACAAAAGAATAATGTGTGTGGGTAAGATGATTGAAGTTTACTGTGATACAAAAGATAAAAATTCCACAAGATCACTGCAGAACTACAACAGACCAATGGTCTTGCTGAAGCTAATCTTTCTGCAATTTATCGGCTGAAGGTCGGTGAGACACTCTTCTGCGTTTTGCTCCCCAAGATATCTTACAGCTTGGTTCTTTCCTCTTTCTCCCAAGATAGCCTTGGCAGTTTTCAGAACCACAATTGCACTTTACCTCAGGACCAAACTGCACAAACCTGCAACAACAAAAACCAGCCAAAACATATCAGAATCTCATAATGCTTAAGCTCATCACCAATTGTACAGAAGTTGACCTGTAATCATATGTCAGTGGCTCTCCTTCTTCTATTTCACGAGCTGCAAAGACACCTATACGGGTCTCACCTTCAACTTGCCTGTTGAAACCACCATACATGCAATTACAATGATTAGACTGAATCATTCTCTCTCTCTTGAGCATCATCGACATATTCATATGATATAATATGCGGCTTACCACTTCTCCATTACACAGTTTGGGTTGCAGCTGTGATTCAGAAAGCGAGACGCATTCCCTTTGAAGGTGGCATCAATCGTAAAGTCTCTTTGAATCTCACACATGTAAAACTCTTTCCTGCCTTTGTCCTTCATATCCCAAAGCCTTTGCTCACATTGAGCATCACTAATCACTGTGGATAGAGTGAGAACAATCACCTTTAAAAAACTAATGCCTCGTTTCCACCAAAACCAAAAGGCTCTCACATACACAATCAGTTTAGCTTACCTTCACCGATGTATTCAATAATGAAGTCATCTTTCTCGATGGATTCTAATGCCTCTACTCCCCAACCGCAATGTTCGGTCTGTAAAAACAATAACATGACATGTCAAGACAAAAACAAAAATAAGAGTGTATAATGCAGAAAGGAGGAAAACAGATACTTACCTTAACAATTTTGATCTTCTTCTCTTTGCGGAATGGTCTGTTTCCACAAGTTTCAGGGCATCCACATCCCTCTGAACAGCTTATGCATTGAAACCTGAGAGAATGTTTTTCCAAAACAGAAACCATTCAAGCCAAAGTTCATTTCTTTTCGAAAAGAGAAGAGGTTGAGTTGTTTAATCAAATGAGAATACCTGCAAACACAGCTTCTACAGCAAGTAGGGCCACAATTCGTGCACCCAACACCATCATTAGCATCATCACGCTTCTTCTTGACAAAGTAAATATCTGATCTCGGTCAAGGAAAGACACACCTTTGTAGTGAGAAATGATAACCATGTACTTATATCACTAATACCGAATTTGGAAGAAAGTTATGCATAGAAACTATGAAGGATACTGCGTTTGATTTGCACATAATGAGGCCGCTCTTCTTTCGCAGCAGGTGCTTTCGTTGTGAAGTCAAAGTTGAACTCCTCTTCAACATATGGCAAAGGCAATTGGGAAAAGACATCCTGAAATTGCAAAGTAAAGGAAATAATTTGTAAGAGAAAAAAAAACTATATCCAGATTCCCAATCTCTTCCCTCAAGTCTATATAAGAACTAGTTTCCTTCCCTAGAAAACCTAATTTCAGACTCGGCAAAGAAACACTGACCTCCATCTCACTTTTTGGGACTTCATCCTGCGCAAGGAAGAGATAAACGTATCAGTCATGTAAGTGAGTGTTGTGTGTATGAGAGAATACAGCTTGTTAAGAAACTTCAGACAAGATTCACAAAACGCAAGAAAACCGACCTTCGAGTCTAGTCGCCAATCAGATGGATGCCTCCAACAGACAGTTTTTCCTGGTTGGTCTTTCAGGTGAAGTACTTCTTCTGGCCATGCAGCATGCTTGTCGTGAGCCGCCATTGGACACTTGACACACTTCCATTGGCTTCTTTTCTTGCAGACAAAGCACTCCTGCGTAATTCCCATGCTATCAGATACACGAGAATGATAGATGATAGTGCACAGTAATCCAATACAGTTTCCCTATCTAACGGTTGAGTATCTTATAAGATGGCCTAATCTTTTGATTATGCAATTCCTACCAAGATAACAGCGAGGGATATAATAGCAAAGTGTATGTATGTATATATATATATATGGTAAGCTTCTTTTAATAGAAAACAAGCGAAAAAACATGAAGAAACATTCCTTAATCTAAACAATGCAAGAGGATCTTACATGCTGAGGACACCTGAACTTGCTGGATTTCGAAAAACCTAGACTTTCTTTCGCACATAGCGAGTGATAAGCGCCTTTGCAGCCGCCGACGGAGCACGCTATCTCTTCTCCGGGGTACACTGTCTTCTGGCAAACAAGACAGTCCATCTGACACCATATATATAAGCCATTGTGTCAATCAACAATCTGAAATTGACTTCAAGATTCAATGAGAATATATATATAACCTAAGATATTAAACTGATACTTAAACGCATATCTCCCTGATTCTGGGACAACAATTAAAACCCTAACTTGGGTCAATAAAGGGTGAATTTTCTCAGTTTACAGTCAACAATATGATAAGATTTGAAATTTCACATTAACCATTCGATAAACATAAAGAAAGCACCAAAAATACCATTTTCTTGGCTCCAACGAGAAAAGGGAGAAAACATTTCGACTCCGGAACTCCGGAATCCACTCTTCTCTTGACCCAATCCCTCACATGATCTTCTAGAACAGACCCTTTCTTCCCACGGTCAGACTGATCCTTTTTCCGGGTACCAGCAGCGGTTTTGTCAGCGTTTTCGATGTCTCCGGCCTCTTCATTCGGAGGAAGCGTCGGTACATGTTCCTGATCGCAGTCTCCGGTTATGTTGTCCGGGGAATTGATCGATTTGGCTAGTTCCGGTCCTAAAGCCACCGGAAGAAAAGCAGGGCAAGACGCGATAACTACAGATGCAGACATTGACATGTTGCCTAGATCTAACATCTGAACAGGTGAAGTCAAGAGGAAGAGGAAGACTGTTAACTTAAGTTGGTAAGAGAAAAGCAAAATGAAAACTATGGAGGGAAACTAAGGCGGGATGTTTGTAGACCACTTTAATTTGGCTCAAAGAGCATGAACAATCATATTCTAAATTTGGTGACAAAATTTTATTTTAGAATAAAATCTTCTATAGTCTTATGACTCTTATCTCATTTTTTATATTCTAAAATAGGATAATGCCCTTTTTTTGAAATTAGACTTTTTATTTATGAATAGTGATTCAAATTTTAAAATAATTTTACTTTAAAAGTTATAGGAAAAATATTTAAATTGAGATGATTAAATTTAAATCAACTTTTGTATAATGTGTAATCTTTATATTCTAATGATTGTATTTAAAAAAACACCATAACTTATGTAAATTTTAAAAGAAATTAAATAAATAGATTAATCTATAAAAAAAAATCAAAAAAATATATAGTTAACAATTAACAATAAGATTAAAAAAGAGAAAATAATATACTTAAAATATTATTTTTCAAAATAGAAAATGGCAATACATTGTATAGATATCAAAGTTTCCATTTTGCAGCTATTCTATTTTGGAGTGAAAGATGGAATAGGGTCAAACATTCATTTTTCAATTACTCTCTTATACCAAAAATGAAATAATACATTGTACATATGCTTTTAAAGGCCAAAATTTTGAAAAGAATTTTGTCGATGTTCTCGAAATTGATAAAATGTAGTCATATTTCTAGCTTTTTTGTAAAGGCCCCAAACTTATCTTCTCTTTTGTTATTTTTTTTTTAACACCTAAAACGCCAACATTATATATATACCCATAACAGAGATACACGCAATTATCAATGTTGTTAAAACCAAACTGACCAAACTGTTTAAATTAATCAAACCATGATTTGGAAGTTTATCTGCTTGATCAGAGTTCGGTTTGTTAGTTACAAACAAATATATTTGGATCACATTTGGATATGACTCTATGTGATTTTAGTTTGGCTTAATTTCTCCAACTAAATTAAGTTAGCTATTCCTAGTTGTCTCGCTAGCTTACTCTCTTGTTGAAATATAAGAAGAATGATTACTTTCCACCCACATACATATTAGTATATTACCGTTAGAAACGAGTAAACCAATAATGACAAAACCATAGCATGAACAAAATAAAACCAAAAACCGGTTGTTAGCGCATACGTCTGCCCTAACTTTTGCTGCCTAGAATTTTCTGATGATCTAAATAAAATTGTCCAACCCACTATCCTAAAATCTATATTGCTTTGTTAAACTATATTTTATGATATTTGTTTTTGAAGTTTCCGCAATTAATTCACCACGTAATCGCAATAGTCACCTTTATATATTATACACTTTACAAAGATGATGAGTAATCTTTAAGTAATCTATATAATTACTTTCGGTGTGTTTTTTTTTTTGTTATACTTAATACTCGTCGCAAGAAATTAATGGCGTCTAAGAATCGATTTAGATGAAAAACGGACCAACGAAGCAAACTAAGATATGTTACTTCACGACAACTTGGTTATATAATATACATAACAAAAATTCTTGTTATATTGAAATATCTTAAAATATGTGTATGTGTATAGTACAAATTTGAGTGATTACCTGTATTTTTCATTAATCAATCTAATTAGCCAACTGCATTAGCCCCTGCCATGGCTTTTTGTCTTCTAAAACGATTAGATTATTGAATCCAGATATTAAATAGCCAGAAACATATCAATAATAAGATGGACTCGAATCCAGAATTTAGTTTAAATTAATTAATCTTAACTGTCTGATAGCCTCAAGAAATCTAACTTGCCTAGCACAACTAATGTCCAGTCAATGATCAAGGTATGAACTATGTAACTCGCATTTATCTCTAGAGGTATCGTGAGAGGATAAGTGACCTTATAAAGCTGATTACTATTCTTTAGCCTTGAGAGGATTAAGGATAACACAAGCTAACTAATTTGTTTTCGAAAGACAGAAAACACGTACGATACAACATACAGTTACGGGCAAGGTATTCTCACTAAAGACTCGTCATCGTTCTTGCTTGAGAGGATATCGAGTTTCATGATCAATTTTACTGTCCGATCTCATACATTCTGTCTATAGTTTTTTTAGTTTTCCAAAAGCCATCTTATTAATTAAAACATTTCTCGATACCGTATCAGTTTTGTTTTGTTTGTTTAATGTGTCTGAAGGGATTTAATGCGCTTGTGTTGTGTTGTTCACGTAGCATTTAAAAGATGTCGACATTCTATGAAACTGTTTTATAATATCCCACTAAAATGTCATTTCTGAACTAAATCTAATGCTGTCATTCGAGGAAGAACAAATGTTTGATGGAACTTCAAAACATTTGTGAAATACATCTAAAGGATGCCATTTTTAGTATTTTTTTCTCATATTTTCATATATTAAGAGTGGAGACAACCTTAATTAGGGTGAAGTTTTGGTAATCACTAATCAGTACCTATTCATTTCAAAAACGAGAAACGCACCATGTCGTAGTTACACAGATCTAACTATGATGGGTGTGACTGTGGACTTCCAATTAGTCAAATTAATTAATTATCATAATCACACCGTGATTATTACCGTTAACCTCTAGTTTCACTCGTTATATTCATTCCACACTAACTATATCGTCGTATTCATATGCAGCTCATTCCATTGTCTCCGTAGAAACCATGCCATAACCATTTCTTTCTTTCTTTTTTTACATTTGATGATAACAATGTATTAATAACATGCCAACATCAAATTCTGGGCCAACTGTATTTTTTCTGGGTAAGCGAACCATTCGTCCAGATTATAATTTTATATTCAAATGTTTGACGCGTTTTATCTACTAATCAGTTTAATATAGAGATGTACGTGTTGTCTTGTCTTATGAATCAATCCTCCTTAGAGAATCTTATGCCATATAAACCAATTAAAATTTACTTATTCTTTCAATCTACCTCGCTGTGGCCCATATCTTAATCAGCACGCCCCGAGTTAAAAAAATAATTTCGCAAATCTATAAATGATACGAAACATGAATTGTAATTACTCAATAATTGTTAACCTAACCGGTTTCTGATTATAGTGACGACACTCGATGAATAAAGAGAAATGATTATAAACTTTAGTAAAGTACTAAAAGTACCAAGTATATATACTTGGGTAATAGTCCGAACGTGAACTCGAAAGTCTTGTTCAACTTTGGAAACGACAATTCACTTTGGAGTATACGACAAAAATAATTTAGAGTTACTCAATCACATGTTGGTTTCGAGAAATGTACATGAGAGGGGTTAGGCCATAAAACCTTAGGGTAAAAACAAGGTTTTTTCGAAATAATAATTACGTCACTCCAACTTGTGTAACTTTGAAAAAAGACTAATTTGTTTAAGACACCACAATTTCTGCATTTCTCACCTTCCAACTGTAACTTTATTATTTGTTTCAAACTGACACGGCGCGTAAAAATAATCAGCTGTATCCTTCCTCACACTAAGCAAAAACAAGTTTAGCCAATGGCTAAGCGACACGTTCAAACAAAGACCGGTCAAAGCCGCCACGTAGGCAATCGGGGACGAAAGTCGCGAAGCTTGCTCGTTTTAAAATTCAAAGAGGTTTTCATCTCCGTATAAGTAGGAGACGAAGCGTTCACGAACATCTGAGAAAACACAAAATAAAAAAAAATCAGAATCCGAATCTTGAAAAGAAAAAATTCAGAAGGAGAGAGAAATCATCGGTGGTTGATTCGCCGGGGTCAATTTCTCGATTTCTTCCTCATAATCTTCCGACGAGCTCCGAGAGGGAGGTATTAATCATGCAGAAACGGAGAGCGGCGAGGGAGACTCCGAAGATAACGGTGAGAAATGGGAAGGGTTTCGATTCCGGCGAGAAGAAGAGATCTGAGAGGAGATTGATGAAGTTCGAGGAGTTGCCCAGGTATCTCAAGGACAACGAGTTCATACACAACCATTATCGATGTGAGTGGTCTCTCAAGGAAACTTTCCTCAGCGCTTTCTCCTGGCATAATGAGACTCTCAACATCTGGACGTATGTTTAATCGATTTCCTGTTTTAGCAAGCATTTGTGAAAATTTTGGTTTCTTTTTTTGAAATTTGGAATTCGAATTTGCTGCAGGCACTTGGGTGGGTTTCTGATATTCGGTTGGATGATGGTGGTGAGCTCCATGGAAACGACGGAGCTCGGCCTCTCCGGCTTCGTCAGCATCTTCTCCGGGTAAGAATCCCCGAGGCCAAAAGCGTCATTTTACAGCTCCCTTTTTGTCGCTTGGTTTTATGTTAAACAATTCAACCTTTTTGGGCTGTGTGGGTCCCAATGACAGAGCAACAATTCGCTGGCCATGGCCGTCGATGGCAATGGCAAATGATGTTTACTCCTCCTCAATGCATCACGTAAGATTCTTATGTCTTTCTTATTTTTTTCCTTCACATTCTGTGACATTGTTTATTCTAATACAAGTTTGTCATTTTCAACAACGAATTTAGATATGATGTTCTGAATTTGTTAGCTGCAGTAATGGTAAAGTGGTAACTTTCACCTACCATGTGATGTTTCTTTAGATTTTCTGTTTCTTACATTAGTCAATAGCTACTTCAGTATCTGTTGTAGACTTGCTTTATGCCCACCTACTTTGAAATCACACGTGATTTTCTTCGGCAATTAAGGAACAAACAATGGACTTATGATTTTCCTGATATCTTTCATGGATTTTCTCTCACTTCAGTTTTGTTTAGCAGTAGACTCTTTCTCTGTGCTCACCTAACTTTCCCAAATCACATGATTTTTAAACTGATTTTAAGCTAAAAGACTGGTCTTTTCGTCAAATAAAACACTCATGACTCGGACGTGTCACTTGGCAGGATTCGAACGTGACACACACAAGCTCGTTCTTGAATTCTCACGGAGAAGTCAACTACGAAACAATTCCAAAATGGCCGTGGCTCGTCTTCTTATCCGGAGCAATGATCTGCTTGATCTGCAGTTCCATGTCACACCTCTTCGCCTGCCACTCCAGACGATTCAACCTCTTCTTCTGGCGCCTTGACTACGCCGGAATCTCCCTCATGATCGTCTGCTCCTTCTTCGCACCTATCTACTACGCGTTCTCCTGCCACACTCACTGGCGTCTCTTCTACCTCTCCTCGATATCAATCCTCGGCCTCCTCGCCATCATCGCTCTCCTCTCTCCGTCCCTCTCAGCTCCACGTTTCAGATCTTTCAGGGCAGCTCTGTTCCTAACAATGGGATTCTCAGGCGTCGTACCGGCCTCACACGTGCTTTACCTTCACAGGGATCACCCAAACGTGCTTATCGCCCTCGTCTACGAGCTTGCGATGGCTGTGTTGTACGCAACGGGAGCTGGGTTTTACGTTAGCCGCATACCTGAGAGATGGAAGCCCGGTGCTTTCGATATCGCCGGACATAGCCATCAGATATTCCACGTGTTTGTAGTCTTAGGAGCTCTTGCTCATAGTGTTGCCTCTCTTCTTATCATGGATTTTCGACGGGCTTCACCTTCTTGCGCCTTTTAAGCCACCCATTCACAAGTTGTAAAACGATTAGTGGTAATATCATTCAATGTTAATTCATTGTAACAATGTATTAATGTACTACTACTACCCAAAATATTCAAAGTAAACAAACCGTTACTTTCTCATACAAGTATGGAGCTTTTAAGTCTGTAGAGTCCATGATCAAGTTCATGATATCAAGATCCCATCTAACTGATTTTGATTAATTAAGCAGAGCGTTATACTGGCTTGGTGTATTGTATATACAGAAGGAATCAAGGAACCTCTTTTATTCAGTTGATTCATTGGAAAATGAAAGGGCAAGAAAGATACAGAGAGGAACAATAAGAAAAGCAGCAATCTTCAACAGTTCCTCTGTTTCTTTGGAGACTACACCTATTCTTGACCAATCACCACTATACCTGAAGAGTTATCAACAACACTGTGATAAAGGAAGGACTCTACACTCTGCAATTTTTGAGCTTTTGAGGGTTAGAGAAAACTTACCCAGCATCGATGAATCCCAAACACAGAACAGCGATGGCAGATCGAGCGAGGATTGTGTTCGGCACATTGATTTGCAAAATGGGTCGTTTTTCGTTTGATTTCTCCGGAAAGTCTCTCTTTTTGCAGATTACAGTGACTAATCCGCCGCCAGTTTTCCTGAAGACATTACCAAAACTTCTGAGTTTGTCGTTAGGAGAGATGAAGCTATTGTGTTGTGCTTGTAAGGTCAGCATTTTTCACTTTCCCAGAAATCAAAGATTAGATTGAAGAGATTCGCAGAGTCTTTGGTACATGTGTGAATGGTGATAAAGGACAGTGCTGTTTTTGTGATAGTAGTCAAAGATTGAGGGTATTTAAGTAAATCAACTTCCATTTCTGCAGCTTCTAATTTTCCCACCATAGTGTTTTTGTTGGTTCGTAGAGAGAGTGGGGATTTGCTCCTAAAACCCTAGAAACCTCTAGAGCCATGGAGATGCAGGATTCGTTCCAGGTCCATAGAATACCGCAATCGAAGTTCGTGGACGGAGTCAGATGGCTTCCACAAGCTTCCGCTTTGAATCGTTTCTTCACAGCAGCCTTTTATGACCCGGACTCTGAATCTTCGTCGATCGAGATCCAGTCGCTCGACCCGACTAGGGGGAATCCGAACAATCACCCCTCGGTGGATTCGTTATCTTCATGGAGTTCACCTTCTCGCGTTTCGTCACTGGAAGTCGCCGGAAGCGGCGGCTCCTTCAAACCTTTGGTTTCGGCAGCCACGTCTTCCGGTTCGCTCCACGTTCTGATGGCTGATCTGGTGGAAGGAGCGGCGATTGAGGAGGTTTACGTGGCGGAGGGAGAGAAGTTCCATGTGGGACGCGTGGAAGGTGTGGATTGGAGGGAGGCAGGAGAGTGTGTGACCGTTGGTGATGACGGGAGAGTGAATGTAGTGACGATTGTGAATGGTGAAGGTCTAAAGTACAGAAGGGTCTTTGAAGGGAACGGGCTGGTGGCTTATAGAGCCGTGAAGTGGGCGTCTCCGACTGAGTTTGTCACTGGGGGATACGGTTTTGGTCTGCAATTGTGGGATCAGAGGAAGACTGGTGAAGCTGTCTCGCAGCTCAAAGGGAACTGGTGAGTTCTTAGTTCTCTCAAGAGTTTCGTAACTAGTTCTGGTTTTTCGGCTCTTTCAAGGTTATTGAAGTTGAAAGTTTGAACTTAGAACACATTCGTATCATTGGATTTCGTGAGCTGTTTAGCAAATTAAGACTGAGAATGGGAAAAGTGAATCCGTTGATGCAATAGTGTATTCAAAAAGCATAAACATACTCTGTTTCATTTGATGACAACATCGCAGGTTTCAAGGCAAAACTTCTGCAGTTGTCCACTCCATTGACATTCATCCATCTCGAAAGCACACTTGCATTGTAAGTATTTGTTTTATAGACGTGTGTGAGAGATCTGCTTTAAGCGAATATATGTTTGAAGTTTGAACCACCTTTTCACCAGACATTGATGAATATGAGAATTTCTAGCGTGATCCGCCAAATTTTGGTTGTTTTAGCCTTTGATAATTTTCCTTCATCTTGTTCTTTGTACTTATGTCCGGCAATGTAAGATATCTCTTCTGAGATGAAAGGGAATCATTTGGTTTCTGTGTAAAAATGTTCCACCTCCACTATTTGAAAGGACGTTCTCTCTCACATATACACAATCAAAAATGTAGGTAGCTGAGTGCTTTATCATGTAAAATTGACTCACCGAGGTTTATTTGGCTAGCATATTAGTATATCCCTATAAGTGATAGAATGTCTTGATGCTGGTGTATTTAGGCGGGAGGTTCTTCAGGAACTGTTTTCGCTTGGGACCTTCGGTGGCCGAAACAACCGATCGTTCTTTCTGGTGTTGGATCAAGTGAGAATATAAACAATCCTCTGTCTGAAAGTGAGGTGTGGGAAGTTCAGTATGACTCATACACAAAATCCAATATCTCCTCCTCAAGGATTCTCCCCGTTATGACCTGCTCTGAAGATGGAATCCTTGGTGTCATCGAACAAGGTACTTAGTCCTTTCTACCACATTACTTCTTATATACTGTATGATTTACCAAACTGATGTTTCCCTTTTTTTGTTTCTGGCTATTTTGCTCAGGGGAAGAACCGATCGAGCTTCTGGCTGAACCTTGTGCCATTAACAGTTTTGACATCGACAGACAAAATCCACAGGTGAAAAACATCATTTAACTCTGTTTCAACCTTCTCTAGTTTTACTTCCATCAAGTGTGTTTTCTTAAGCTGGTGTGTATTGGATTCTGCAGGATGTGATATGTAGCTTGGAGTGGGAATCAATAGCAGTCTTCTCAAGGCCGTAGTAAAGAAAATCAAGTCCTCGATATGGAACCGTGCACTGTGGTATAATATGTTTTTGGTTTTCTTATCGGAGCCACAACAAACAACAAAGAAATTGAGGAAGGTGGTGGTGGTGGTGGTCATAGATGGTGAGGGACCAGGCGGAAAATGATGGAATCAAAAACTGAATGTGTTTATAGTTTCATGTTAACAAATTCTTAATTACAATATGCACAAACAGTGGTTGTATCCACCGTAACTTGAATTAGTGATCTCAAAGATTTGCAGTTCTGTCTTGAATTTTACGTCTGAATCTTTCTCTATCGATGATGTATGATGTATCAGCGTGCAATACAGACACAAGTCTAACCTCGAGTAGGTATGTGACACGTGGCAGAAATGAAGTCGGCCACCTGTAGGTCCCACCGGAGCTAATACTTGTCCCTCTAATGAACCGTTGAATCTCATTGAAATCTCTCTTTTTGTTTTCTATTTCAATTCTCCTTTATTAGATTAGAATTTAACATAAGAATTTTTCAAACCACAATCAAAGATGAGATGACATGCCCCACGCAAAATTAAAGGCCACATTTAAGCTTTAATCATCCAAAGATTATTTCACCAAATACGTTCCAGCTCTTTTCTTTGAGATATTCCAGCATTTCATCATTATTTTACTGTTTTTTGATACAGACCCTATACTTTTTTTTTTTTTTTTTTTTGGGTTAGTAGTTTTCCTGTATAATTCGAACTGCGAAATTGATTTTTTTCTTCTTTTCTTTATGCTGAGAAAAAAAGTTGAAGAACTTTGTCCTGTTTATGATCTGAGATATCTTTTGTAATTTATCTACTTGATACGGAACCTTAATGATTTTTGTCTGGCGTGGCTTATGTGATTGATTATATTCTCTTTATAGAGATAGTCTTCCCCTTTGCTTTGATAAATATTTCTGTGTAATTTACCTGAGATAGTCCTCACTACCATCCCAGGACAGGATCTGCAAGCTCATCAACCAAATTCCTCCTCTTCTCTAACTTTCCCGGTACGATGAGATTCTGCTGCTTTTTTATTTTTGTGGTTAAAGAAAAGACTTAAATGTAATTTATTAATGTCATGAGTGGGAACATGAATTTATTACAGAACATTATGTTTAAATCTGTTATCTGTGTCTGTGTGTGTTCTGCAGAGACATGGTTGAACGAAGCCGCAGTTTAAGGATTCCTGGAGCTGAGAAAATTGATCTAAGAATCGCTCTTTATGAGCGCAAAGAAGTAGTTGAGAGGCTCCAAGATGAGTTGAATGCAGAGAGAGAAGCCTCCTCCACGTCAGCGAACGAGGCTATGTCAATGATTCTTAGGCTTCAAGGAGAGAAAGCTGAGCTGGCTATGGAAGCTGCTCAGTACAAGAGAATGGTCGAAGAGGAAATGTCTCACGCTGAGATGTCGTTTGCGCTTTTGGAGGACTTTATTTACCAGAAAGAGATTGAAACCACCGCTCTTGAGCGCCAAGTTGAAGCTTATAGAAGCCAGCTTTTGAGCTTGGGGTACAGTGACTTGAACAGCTTAGATGATCAAGATGAGAATATGTTGAAGATGAAGATGAATCATCCGTCCTTGAGTGATAGATCTCAAACACCCTCTCCAGAACTGGTTAATGATCTTTCGATTCCCGTGGAGAAGGAAGTTATCGAGGAGAGCTTGGATTCACAGAGGAGTTCCTTAGATGTGTATTGGGAGCAGATCAAGAAACTGGATGAGAAAGTGAGAGAGCTTACAGATTTTAAAGATTCGATGAAACACCAGACTTCATTTTCTGATTCTGGATTAAACATGGGAGAAGAAGATGTTGCAAGCTCATCAAACTTTCAAGAAGATACACAAAGAAAAGAAGCAGCAAAGGGTTTGTGTAAAGCTGATGGCACTATGGTGATAAAGGTTGCAAAGCAGACAAAGATGGAAAAGAAATCACCTAAGCAGACAAGAGACAGAAGCGGCAAGAGAAACCGTGCAGAGTATCAAGCTGAGTTGCAGCGGTTGAGACAGAGAGTAGAGCGGCTTGAGCGGGGAAGAACTAAAACGGAGCCTGAAACTAGTGGTGTGGTTAAGCAAGAAGAGATTAGTCTCTTGCAGGATATGAAGGAGGAGCTAACTTCTGTGCAACCATCTGATGAAGTGAAGAGCTTAAATACAATGGAGAATTTACAACCTTGGATCGACCCAACCATTGTTTCTGTTCAAGAGGTACATTCATACAGATTTTCAAACATATTTTTAACTGTTAAAATTAATCAGTATTGTAAGTACTTACAAATATCTGGCATGTTCATTGAAACAGGCAATGCTTTACTTCTGGCTATGAGACAAAGAAAAGAAAGGTACAAAAAGATTTTGGTTTTATTCTTGAGTGTTTGTCATCGTGTTCTGTTTATGTTTGCTTCAACTCGAAATCTGTAACTCTTTGTATAAGAAGCTACTTTTCTCTGTAGATCTTCTTTGAGTAACAATTACCAAAAACATCATCTTGTAATATTTTGTATGTAAAATATCTATTGAAGAGAAATGCAAAGGGTCTTGATGTGCACTGTTTTCTTCGTCCGCAAGTTATCAAGACCAGAAACTAGACGTTGATGTGCAATGCAAGTAACCAATTCTCGCACTCTGTAGTACTTCTGGGGTATCAATTTGAAGAAGAACTGCACCCTACACTCTACAGTCAACTTTCAGCAAATCTACTTTCTGAAAGATTGACATTTATTCATTGACTTTTGATCACTGATCAGATTGTACACGTATGCCTCAAAAGAAGCAGCAGCTATAGACACAAAAAAATACACAAAACAATCAGCTATGTGTCTGTGAGAACTCTGATTTATATACCCATTTGCTTCATCCACAACGACCATTTAATAGCCTCAAGAAATTCATCGTTCCTGCGCAAAGCTGTGACCAAATTGGTGTAAGTTACTTTATCAGGTGTTATCCCTGTTACCCTCATCTCTTTCACCAACCCAACAGCTTCTTCAACCATTCCTCCTATACCATACGCCTTTATCAGCGTGTTGTAGCTGCACAAGTCAGGACCAAGTCCAGATTCTTTCAATTCTCTCAGCACATCCGTCACTTCATCGATCCATCCTTGCTCTCCATATATATTGATCATGATGTTATATGTATAACGATCCGTCTCACAAGTAGACTTCTTCATTCTTTTCAAGATACTTCTGAATATCTCCATCTGTTTGTCTTTCCCGTATGCATCCAGCAGAGAGTTATAAGCTTCAAGAGACACAGAGAACCCGTCGAATTGCATATTTCTAACCGCTGATGACATGTTTGCGAAGTCCTTGTTCTGTCCATAAGCGGCTATGATGGTGTTGTAAGATATCACATCCACAACTCCGTGTCTTCTCGCTAGCAAGAAAACCTCCTTGACTTTTTTGAAGAGCTTGGCTTTACCATAAACATCGAGGAGGACATTGAATGTGACTGTATTAGGAGTAAATCCACACCGGATCATCTCCTCAAAAGCTCTTGAGAGTTCATCGAGCGGAAGCGCACGTGCACAGCAGTTTATAACACAATTGTACATCTCCTGATCCCAATGGATCCCGCTCTTTCGGATCCTGTAGTACAACTGCTGGAGTTTGTCCTGAAGACCACACTTCTGATATATCCGAAGCATATCACGAAACAAGAACACATCCGGAACAATGTCTTTCTGCTCATCCATGATCTCTAGAACAGAGCATGCTTCTTCCAAGGATCCGGCTTTCATGTACATTCGCACCACGATGCTGAACCCAATCCTGTCCAACACAACTCCAGAAGACTTCAACTTTGAGTAAAGCTTCTCCGCTTCACCAAATTCACCCATCACAGTGTAGATATCAATCATTGTGGATGTAATGTGCAGATTTATCACGCCATCGGATTCCATCGTATGGTTGTATATCTTCACAGCATCGTTAAGCCGACCAGATTCTTTGCAAGAGCAAATCAACAGATGATACAAGTGGGACTCAAACGCCGAGTCTCTCCACTTTTTTTCCCGCAGCAACGCCAAGCAATCATCAACCATACCATGTTTGATAAAAGCCATCACTAGAATTGAGAAAGAAGTCTGGTTCAAACGGATGTGGTTATGAAAAGAACCTTTGAGAACAGAAGGCACTACATCAAGCTTCTCCACCTTCTCATAAGCCTGAAGAATGATGCCAAGGATCGAAGGATATTGGCATCCCACATTTACCATATCCTCGATAGTCTTAATAGCACCATCGTTGTCTCCATACTTAGCCTGCAGATTGATTAAAGTAAAAAGATTGGATGAATTGGGTTTATATCCCAACCGCTTCAGCTCTTGATAGTAACATTTTGCTTCCTCGTAATTGTCAGCACGGCCCCATCCTTCGATCATTGACCTGTATGTTGTTTCATCCGGTTCCAGCCCAATATCACAGAGTCGGTGGAATAAACTATGTGCAGCCTCCATTTTAGAAACCTTACCATAACCAGTGATGAGAGTATTGTACGCAATGATATTTGGAGCAAAACCTGCTGCTTCCATAGAGGTTAATACAGATTCGGCATGCTCCATCTTACCCTGCTGGCTATAAGCGTTAAGCATCACTAACCAGTTCTCTAGATTCAGCTTCACTCCATCTTCTTTCATCAAGCGTATAACTTCCTCTGCTTTAACATATAATCTCAAACGCGTGTAAATCGTTATCATAGAGGAGTAAGCAGATTCACACACGATCCCGAACTTTCTCATATGAGAAAACGCGAACTCGGCTTCATCGACGTTCCAGTTCTTCTGATAAAGACCCATGAGCATACCTATGGTAGCCACATTTGGTCGAACACCGAGCTCCAGCATCATCTGAAACCACTTTGAACCTAACTTCACGTTCTTCTTTTTAGAACACGCGTAGATAACCGTGTTGAAGACCTGAAAGCTCTTCTGAAACCCCTGCATTCCACACAACTCTTTGATCAGATCCTCGGCTCGATCCCATTCTTCTCTCCTTCCTAAAACTCTGAGAATCAAACTGTAGGCTCCAATGTTACCTTCTAGTTTGCCTTTACATCTCATCCAATCAAAGAACTTGACGGCATTGGTGTCACTGCAACTCTCGAGCCGTTTCAATATAGCGTTGTAATGCTCCAAACTCAGACCTGGTTTAATAGCGGAATAGTTAACATCCATTTCCCCATTGGTCACAAACAAACCCTCAAGCTCAAGCTCATTGCTTTCTCTTCTGAAACTGAAGTTTCGAGCTACATCTTTCTTTGCCCATCTCTTATTACCACTCGAGAACGTATCTCTACCTTTCAGTTTAGAAATCCGGATTTTCTCGACGGTAGCTTCACTTACAGAACCATTTTCGGTCGAAGAATCAATAGCATTCTCGGCCTCGTTTGCTTCAGTACCGAGGCGAGCGACTCGGGTTTTACTAACGCTAGTCGGAGAACCGATTGTGAAAGCTCTAGTGGCGGAAATACTACTGGTAACTGAAAAAATTGGAAATTGATCAGGAAACTGAAGTGGGTTCGCAGAAAAATGAAACCTTTTCGAGTCAAATGGGTCCAATGGAATGGAAAATCTTAACGAACCCATCAACGCTCGCTACCACACCATCTGCATACACAGGATGAAGCTGATAACAAAAGGTTTCCAGTTTAAAGATTCAAACTTGACGATTAAGCGGAACTATTCTATTTTGTGAGAGGTAAATGAGAGGATAGAAGAAGAGCCTACGCGTTGTGAGATAAACTTATTTTCTTTCTAGTTTCTAGAATTGCTCTGCTATTGATATTTGTTAGTAAACCGGAGATCAAATTGACCGATGGTTAAAGTTCGGTCGAACCAACTTAACCATTATTGAGAAAATTGTGTTATATAGATGGCTGTAAATTGATCTTGTCAACTATACAAAAAAAACAAACGAACACAAGAGTAAACAGACAATGCACCGAGACAACAATGGAAACTCTAATTACTTCCATACTCAAAGCTAATCAACCAATTTGGACCTCCTCGTCACTGTCCTCAAACCCAAATGCTTGAAAATGCTTCTTCCAAAGCCCTCTTCTTGCTTATCTCCAGAGAAAATCCTCCAGCACGTGGAGCTCTCTCTGCTTTGAGCCTCATCATCGCTTCGTCTTCCATAGAGTAGCGTTGATGCTCTGCTCCTCCTCCTATAGGTACAGGTTGTGGGCCCATTCCCGTTGGTCGTGGAGCCTGGCCGTGTGAAGTTCCAGCCGTAATCCCATGGTTTGACGACTAAAATTACGTAAACCAATATAAAAAGAAGCTTTCAGCTTTCGTCTGAATCTTCAGCTTCTACTAGACATGAGAATCAAATTTCTATTTTACCGTATCAGCATTGGTCTGTGGGAGTTGGCCCTTGCAAGCTGCTAACGCTGCAGTTAATTCTTCAGCCTGTTGGGCCAAATTGCATAATTAGGCTGAGAATCTAGAATAGAGAATGAAACAAGGCTGTTTCTATTTGTACAGCTTTTCTTGAGGTCTGATAAGAAAAAGTAAAGGCTAATGAAGGCAAAAATTACCTTGCGGGCTCGATTAACCATTATCTGTTCAGCATTCTCTTGAGAGTATCTTTTGATTTTCTCCTCAATCGCCTCAACGTTTATTCCATCTACCAAATCGAATACTGTGGAGTGGAAGATATACACATTGGTCTCGTCACACATAGATACAGAATCTCAAGAGAATGCTAACAATCCTGTAAGGACAACAAGTGACACTAACCCATGCACTCGACTTCTTCCAAGTAGTCATTGTAATCCTTTAGTGATGGAAAATCCTCTTCCCGTTTATTGTATCTGCAATTCATTCTTTCATGTGACTGGTAGAAACAAATAGATGCTAGCTTATGATAACCTATTTCACACCCATTCTTTCATGTGACTCTAGAATATCCCAACTTATATGCTAACAAATACTGGAAAACAATCCATATATATATCCATGGAGCCAAAAACAGGTGAATTACTTGATCAAGTGCGTGTTATCAACAAAATCTTTTCATGTAATGCCTTCTGATAATTCTAATAAGACAATCTGTGGAACATTTTACCCCATCAGTGATAACAGTCCGTATTGATCAATGCGAATAGATTCATCTTCTGGGGGTTCTATATCATCATATATACTACATAAGCAACCATAATATGTGTGACAAGAGAAAAAAGATTGGGACGAAGAATACATCTCAGAAATTTTCCTTCTGACATTTATTTCCTTGTTGTGATGGTTGGAATTAGACACCATCACCATGACTGCTGCTGTTTCGGCTACTTGTCTTGTCCTCTAGCTAACAAGTTCAAACATGAGTTCATAAGTTCCATATATTTAACAAGACAAGAAACAGTGCAGAGCCATGAATCACTGAGGAGCTAAGAATTAGGCATTAAAGCACGCACGAGGTGTAGTTTTTGTATTCTAATAGGATATCGAAATCGATGCACAGAGTGGCAGAGACATAGCTTCCTAACATAGTCGACACAGAACCACATTGATCCGCAAACGAGAACCTAAAGCTGCAACTACGCCTAAACTACAATCTGAGGAAAATCAAATCCTACTGAATAAAGCTATAAGGGTAATATAATCAAATTCTTATAGACCATCGAGAAGTACAAGTACAGACCAGAGAGAAGAAAATTCAATACAGAAGAAAGCGACAGACAAGTGAAGGTTTCGGAATGTCAAACAAAATTCTCAATTTAGTCCAAAACCTGAGCCACCCGAAAATTGCAAAACCTCAATCAAAAACGTCGTAGATCTCATCGGGTATTTTGGAAATCTCAAACAAACAAAAATCCTAAGTAAACATAAAATTTTTAAAAATGAAAGCCTGACCTTAGAAATTCCTGCTTCCGGCCAATCCGTACAATGTTACAGAAATAACAAACGGAATATTTGATTAAAGGAAGTTATATGTGCAATCACGACCGTGAAATTCAGTTCCAGTGGTGGTTTCTTCAGTTCGAACTTCCCAAAGGGGGAGAGTTGGATACAAGAAGGAGAGAAGAAGCAAATGAATATTATTTTTTTATTTTAGAAACCCCTAATTCTTTTTAATTTGGGCTCATGGCTCATGGCTCATGGGTCAGCCCAAGCCCGTTTCATATTATTTCTTTTAGACTTATACAAGTCTAATTTCTATTTTGTAGCCAGTATTAAATCCAATTTTCAATTTCGCAGAAACAAAATGTTAGAAACTTGATAGAATATGGAACTGGATATGGCTTAAAAATGGTAGACACTTGATAGAATCCAATATAAAGTGTTTGAAACAAATACAGTACTCAGAAGAAGAACCAACGAACGAAACCATTCTTATTTATTCTCTCCCTTTCTTCTTCTTATACAATGACTGAAAGTTTCTGACTCAGAGAATCCCAAACCCAATTCCACATTTCATCAAATCAGAGAACTCATCATGAGTCACTAACGAGCTCAGACATGTCGCGGCTGATGCTGTTATCGGATGTGGACAACGGAGTTCCAGATATAAAAGCCTTCAAGAGCACAAGAGCCTCCTTCGGTCTGTGCAAAGGAACTTCATGGCCTGCACCTCTCACAGTCACAAAGTTCAGACCATCATACTGCTGAGTCCACCCTCCCACCTGTTTCAAAATTCATTGCTATACAGTTAAAAACATAAAGAGAAGATTAAAGATTAACACTTTCTCAAGTTGAGCTTGTTTTTTACCTGTCCGTCTATGTACCAAGGACTATAAGGACTCGATGGACGAAGCTTCAGTGCATCTATGCTGTACCGGGTTGATGTGACTGGTACAACAGCATCCGCGTCTCCACTGTTACCAAAGAACCAAACTTTTTTAACCACCAAAACGCCACAAAAAAAAACTTGAAGAAAAGACATCACTAAATACAGAGGAGAATGACACCTGAAAACCCAGATACGAATCCCTGCAGCTATAAGCTCGTGGTAAATGTTTAGAACCGAGGAAGGACAGTCATTCCAGTGTTCATTCACGACATCACTGCAAAACCAAAGCTGTCCGGATCAGAATCGTTACAAAGCCTTAAGCTTTTTCGAGTCTCGTGTCCTCCATAACAGAGTTCTAAGATATCGTAAGGTGAATTTTTTTACCTGCAAGTGTCCCATTTGGATGGTGCAAGTCCTGGTGGGATATGGAGGGCTTCTTGAACCTCTGGACGATTGAAATACACTACAGAGTGTTTCTCCGTGCAAGGATCATACTGTTCACTCACACGGCTGTTCATCTAACCAAAAACAAAAAGATGACATTACTTTGAAACCCGCTATGACCTCGAACCAATAATGAGAGAATTTTAACAAGGCCACTTACTGGTCTTTTCCTTAGCAACATTTTTGCCTGGGAAGCACTCGCAACACAGGTCGGGGTGAAGACACTGTAATGGTCTATGTTACCTATTTCCTTGTCCGCTATCTCCAGAACCTTGTTACACGTTTCGGAGGAGTGAATAAACGGTTCCAAACCACACTGAAGTTTCAGTAAGCTGTATGTTTGGTCGGAGATAAAACCCAACGACCAAATATACTGGAAAAGACCGAGCCTGTCATGGAAATCATCCATCAGCCCGTTTCCTACCTGCAAACAAACATTCATCACAATCTTTACAGAATTTTATAACTTTCTAAATATAGAGATCGATAAGAGGACAGGCTCACCATGTAACCCTTCAGATTAATAGTGTTGTCGCCAGAAGCTTGGTTATGTTTTACAATGGCTTCACTCAGCTGAGGAATGTAATGTCCTACAACAAGCCAGAGAAGGTTTAAGACAAAAATAAAAGGATGAAAAAGTAAGATGAGCTTTGAAGTTCTTACCTGCATAGCTCTCACCAACTATATAAAACTCCCTTCCTTTGTACTCCGGAAAACGCTCAACCCATTTCAGCAGAAATTTCAGAGAATCTTGGGCTGTGAAAATCATAAAGCCACAACTATAAACCCCACCCACCAACAAGAGGATCTAAATAGACAATGAGCTTAAGCGGCTAAAACATTACCAGTTCTCTTATCACCATTGGTGACCAAGTCAGAAGAAGTGTTCGAGTATGAAAAACCAACTCCAACAGGTGCATCAAGGAACAAAATATTCGCAGCTGCAAAAACAAAACAAAAGTTTTAAGCTTTTTTGAGTCATTATCTCTCCCAAAACATACTCTGCAACATGTCATTTTATTACCTTGGTTCCAAGAATATTGATTAAGGTAAAGAGTCTTCCCATCTGGCTTAATGTGAAACGGTCCTATCTCTTCTGCTTCACCAAATCCCACAGATGAACATCCTGGTCCTATAGAGGGCAAAAGTAATTAAAAAAAAAAAACTGCATCTCAGACATAAGACTAATCGATACCAGATTGCTATGAAGATCCGTTGATTGTTTAAAGAATAAGAAAGTAAGCTTTTCCAAATCAAAGGATTGTTTAAATCCTAGAAAATCAAATCCTAAACTTTGAAATCCAAAGTAGGCACAAGACGATCCCTAAAAGTAAAAAGCAAGATCCATATCATATAGCAGTAGCGCATAGTGATCCAAACAGTTGAAAATCCATTGAGTTACTATTGATTAAGCTGAAAAGGAGAGGGATTTCGAATTCAATAAATAAAATCGAGAGACGAGGTTTTTTTGGGTTCTGTAACAAACCTCCATTGAGCCAGAGAACAAGAGGCTTAGACTCAGCATCTTCGGTGGCTTCAAAGAGCCAGTAGAAGAGTGCTCTTCCCAGTTCCTCATTAGTAGTAACGAACCCAGAGTAGTGAGCAAAGTCAACATTGAAATTCTGACCAGGCAATTTCGAGACTTTGTCCTGTTCTTTCTGAGACAAGACAGCTTCACAGTTACAGAAATGGGCAATCGCTAAAATCGCGATTGCGAAGAGAGCGTTGACGAAACAAGAATCTCTGGTTTTAGCCATTGTTGGTATGTTGACCCCAGAAAAACTAACTTCACAGTACAAGGGAGATTTAAAGACTGAACAAAGCATGTGGGTGATGACGTCACGAGCTAACCAACGAATGCAAAAGAATCGGACTTTTTTAGTTCACTCATCGTGCGTGCGTGGTCCTGACGAATTGGGCGTTGCGAAAGGACATAAAAGGGCGTGTTCGGTACTAGAAGTTCCATTTCTTTTAGACGCTAATTATGTTTTGCAGTGATTACGAAGACCTTATCTGGATGTTTTCATTAGAGTATGTGTTTGTGTTGTCAAACGCTGTTTTGGTATAATAGCGTTCACAGATTCAAGACGCAAACGCAGTTAAACGCAGTCCTGCGTTGGAGGTAGTTGCGTGTAAGAGGCAGTAACTGTATGCAATTGTGCAACAGAAGCAAGTGGCAAATGGTTTCACGTGTTTTCGACGATTGGGATGTTTCCAAAGCAACATCACATTTCTCAACGAAATTATTGCCTTTCTACAAACTTTCTTATCATCAATCTTTACGTTTTGGTAATGTAATAAAACAAGGTATATTAAACTATGCCATGTGAAATACGCGGTCTTATTTTTTATAGTATTATAGTGAAGAATCTTGCATATCATTTTTAACTAGACTAAGTTTTTAGCTTTTGTTTAAGTGCTTCTGTAATTGGAGCTTTATTTTGACGATGACTTGATAAAGTTTTGAGAGGTCCTACATGATCGGAGCTTGTATTAAAATATGGCGTAAATTGTGGATCCACGTTCGTATCATTTTTCCTTTATGATATGAAAGATGGAAAAAAATGGTATAAAAGTTGGTTACGTTTGAGACTATTGGGGTCTTGTTTTCAGTTTGGAGCAAAGTAAATTGAGTATCCCCGAACTAAGAAAAGTAAAAACTTTTGGATGAATTAGTGACTCAAATACGTTCGATTTCCAAGTAAATGAAAATTTAATCCGTATGGGTTTTGATTTCATTCACACGTCTTGTTATGTAAGAGCTAACGGTAACCTATCACCACTAAAGGTGAACTATACCCACTAAAGGAGTTATCTTGAAACTCAACCAAAAACTGATAAAGGGCAGACCTTTAATCCAGACTTTGATACACACACTCTTATAGCTAAATCGAATGAAACAGATCGAAACAATGGTTACCATTGAATCAAGAGATGATGATACAACATAAGAAACGAAGTCACAAACTATGCTTACTCTCTTTGCATGGAAAATTTTCAAAAAGTCTGAGAGCTTCTTTACATTCCAGTAAATGCTTTCTTCCCAAATGCAGAGCTCCCAGCTGGAATGACCTTCAGGACGTTGAACCTCACCGTCTTTGACAGTGGCCTGGATCATTAAGTTGACTAGTTTAGAAAGTTCTGCGATAAAAAAAAAAGCATTCTACATAATCATGCATTCCATCTGGAACAAAACCAAGATATGGATAACGTGATCTCCTTCTTTGACACGGAAGCATGGTGAAACATGAGCAGGAATGTTTGAGTGCCTTTTCTCATATCTGGTGATAAGTTCACAAAGCTAAAAGTCTAAGCATTCTATGGAGGGTTTTAAATCATGGTATCTGAAGTGAGAAAAAAAATAAAAATAAAGAGTTTCCAAAGCTTCACCTTTGATACTTCTTCACAAAGTGGAGATAGTTCCTACGAACAATGATTGTCCTCTGCATCTTTGCATTGTGACATGAATAAAAAGGCATTCTATATAATCATGTTCACCTGATAGTTGAGTTTTTGGATGTTCCACCAGCGCAAGATAGAATATTGTGTGGAGTTGCTGATTTGAGAGCGAATTTCAACCTTCTCTCCCAACCGCCATTTATGCAACCACAAATGTTCAACACTGTTTTAAGTACCCGAGAAGATTTTCGTGTCTTTGCATTTCAAAGCTTCGGGGCACCAGGGTCTGTGATCTGTGGACAACGGCCTGTATATAGACTGGCAATATCGTACGCGATATCTATGAATTATAAGCTAATTGAAAATTTATTTTTCAAAAGAATCAATTAAAACAATTATAATTATTTATTTTTATTTATAATGACTATAATAAACTCAAATTAAAATCAACTTTTATAATGATTATAATGAATTATTATATATGTTTATTTATTATAATTTGAGTAATTTATATTCAATTTTTAAAATTTAAATTATAATACATGTACAAAAAATCTATATATTTTTATTATATAGATGATGTGATAATTTATATACTTTACAAAAGCAAGTTTAAATTAAAATAAGAGAAAATAGATTTTTGGTAGAAAATATAATTAAAAAAAATAACTAATATGATATATTTTTGGTAAGAAAAAAAAAGAGAATATTTTAATAAATTAAATGCTGATTTATAAAATGAAACATAACATATATATGGACATAAAATATATAATGACATATCATGTAATTAGTCTAGTAATTTAAGTCTTTTTAAAATAATTAGCTAAAAATAAATGTGGAGTTGACACATCAGCATAATGACATCACTATAAATACTTATAAAAATAAGGTTACTTTTTAAAAATGCTTCTCAATTAATATATAGAGGATGATGATTTAAGTTATTTCTTTATTTGAAATGTGTTTGTAATGATTGATGACACATTCAAAATTTTTTTTTTTGAACAAAGATTACACGTTCAGGTTTTTACTTTAGTTATTTTTAATATTTGGTATGTTACAGATCGCTTACTAATGCGAGAGATTTTTGATTTTTTTATGTGAGATGTTATGTGGAGTTAGAATCCAAAAGAAGTTATAATTGATTATCTTAACATTAAAACCAAAAAAAAAGTTATAATTGATTAATATATAATATTGATTAGCTGATGATCAAATCTGAATTTTAATTTATTCTTTGTAGCGATATCTTTATGGTGTTTTTATTTTATTATAACTTGTGGCTACAATCCAAACTGAAGGAAAGTGAGAGAGAGACATTAAAGACTGAAACATCTTAAAACCCTTCAAAATCAAATAAGAGAAGAGGAGAAATTCTAGACTTGTAGGCACGAAAGTAAGAAGTTTTTGAAGATCAGCCAAGGTAAGAGAAACCAGCTTTCGAAAAGGAACAATCCTTGATTTTTCACAGCCTTTCTCTTTGTTTACTAAATCTTCTAGTTGATTCGCAGATCCAACAGAGATAGTTCTAAAATTCGGAGCGAAACATCAGCAACGTCAATTCCATGAGGCATTTGCAATCCAGTATAATCGCTTTGGAGAGGCTCAAGAAGCATGTGATACTCGGATTGTGTAGAGGAGAAACTGTATTGCCCATCTTTATCTCAGATATGCTGCACCATATAATGTTGAACTCACGAAGCTTGTTCATAGTTACTGGAAGTAATATTCCACATGATTCAAGATGCACACCTGTGACCGTTAGGTCTCGTGTACAACACGTTAACCTATAAGACCTCAAAAAAATCTCCAAACTTGGAAGAAGATCCATGTCTATGGTTAAAATCTCCAAATATTCCAAGGTAATCGACTCCTCTTGAACATCGCAATCCAATGAAATACCAGTACGTGACAAATTCAAACTGAAGGTATCGCGTCTCAGCTCCCATTTCGAAATCCACAAACTTCACTGCGAAAAGAAACAATATAACTAGTAAGAACACTACGAGATAAAATGGAATGACAAAATGCTATCGAGAACAAAAGGTATATTATCGCCAGTAAATCATGACCATGGCCAGCAGAAAACGAAGGAGAACATAGAATCAACAATAATATAATAGGATGTGAGCTATATGAGATCACCGAACCAGATTTATGTACCCTTGACACCAAATTTTCCAAAAACAGCCTTAAGATCTTCACGCAAGACAACATCTTTATGGGTAGCTAAAGCACCCTTTTCTTCTCTCCCTCCATTCTTAATTGGAGAATCAGAAGGCTCCTCATCATCTTCACCCTCTGTTCCTTGGCCCCGAACCTGATCAGTGTTTTCTTTATCGATTCATTTTCATCCATTGTCTTAACGGTTGGCTCCTCACAACTGTTCTGTTCCGTGGTGCCCTCTTCAGCTGAGCGCTTGAGAGTGAATGAAATGATCAAACCCTTGGGATAACTACAATATTACACAACAGCTATAGTCAGTTGAAGATATTTTATAGCAACAATACACAAGAAACTTACTTTGCCTCATAATCAGAACCCTTCTTATGCTCAGAGCGATTTGCAGAACCCTTTTGAGAAGGGTAGTTAGCAAACTTTTATTCATCCTTGTCCCTTTCATCATCAAACTCTTTCCTGAAAGAAAAATATCATCTTTAAGTTACGCATCCAAACAATCAATAGAAAACACAACCAAGGCAACGCCACAAAATACTCTCGTCACTGCTACATGACGAGGCATCCTCACACTATTAACCTGAAAGGAAAACACATCACACACTTGCATAACCAGATAATTTGGATTAATAAGGTTTCCACTGTCTGAAGCAGATGAAGTGAACACATCACTGTTAAGCATTGGTCACTCTGCAGTGAATTCCACAAGTCCTCCTCTTGTGCAGTCATGCCTTAAGCTGTTAACAACGCAGCATTACTAAAAAATCAGATTACTCACAATGCAGGAATTGTCAGATAATGTCTCGAGAACCATATTTAAAAACACTAAACAATAACCTTCTTAGCTGCTTCTTATCTAAGCTAAATATGCCTAACAGTATACCAACAAAGCAAATGCAAAAGAGAATCCAGCTTTTCTGAACATACCATAACATCATCATAAGATCAAGCTCTCAGACAAGGTAACAGAGAATTTCAAATTGTACCTTCAATTGCATCTCTTGGGGTCTTGAGACCAAGGCCAATGTTCTTCCAGAAGCGATTGCCTCCTTTTCCAGGTCTCTTTCCCTTACCAGATTTCTTCGAGCTGATCAAACGTATATAATGATAAACATAAGAGACCATTACTATGATCCGTGTAAGTATAGACACAGCAATTGACCTTTGTGAACTTCACCATAAGAAAACTTTTGGTTGCTTCAAAAACGCCTTCTCCGTCTGCAACACACGAATCCGACATTAGGAAAAGAGAGTTCAGGAGCTCGCCCAGAGCACTAAAATCGAAGAAGATGGATAAGCAGTCCTCAATTATAGATAATAAAGACAAATGTAGATAGAAACCTGCTCCGCCATGGCTGAAGTGTTAGTGAACACGCAGAACCACTCTCCCGACGAGAACCAAAAAATCCTAAACACACTCTATGGCTTCGTTAGCACGCTTATATATGGGCTCTAAGCCTGTAACCAATCCTTGTTTGGGCCTTAAGGAGAACTTCAAATAAATTAATTTTGGATATTTGGTTTAGGAAAAATTTAAAAGTACAACTTTCAGGCCGACAGTGCTTGATTTAAATCTGATTAGTTTTTTCCTAACCGATTAATGATTGTTTTGGCTTCTACTTTTAGCTTCCTTATCCACACCTTAGACAATTAATCAAGGCACCAAACGTAATTGTATTTTCTTTTATTAAACTCAAATCGTTGATGGGCACGTAAACAAATTCAAGAATGGTACCTTATGTCATAAGATGACATTTTATTAGCTGGTAGGTCCAACATGATGGGAGCTTTTATACTTTACCATATCCATGAAACTCAACCACTTATTCGCACAACAAGGACCCGATCTCAAAGTTAGATTATGTGGAAAGATATACATCAATTCGAAAACCATACATAATCGAAATTCAGAGAAGATGAACAGGAGGGGTTAATTTTATAATTCACAAGTCCATCAAAGGCAGTAATTGCCAAGGATTAACATGAGAGTGCATAATTATAGGAAATATAAATAAGCCATAAAAAAACAAAATGTGGAGAGTTTGTGGAATCCATGTTATCCTATTATTATCATCTGTGTGGGGTTGCGATGGCTCTGTTTGATTCCGAATCCAAAGCTAAAGTTGTCAAATACGAATCTCACAAGATTCTATTTAACTCATGTCAACTTAAATCATATACTATTATGTTTGTCTCAGGTGGAATCACATTTTCCGAATTCTTTATAAGCTTGGAATTATAGTAGTTGCAAATTTTGTTTGTTCCTGTGTTCTATAATTCTTACAGACTGAGGGGAAATGATATTCGCAAATATGTTTTCATGTTTGTTAACAAGCACAGTAGAAGTAGTTAGCTATTACTTTGATATCAAATTATTGTATTCTAAGCCATATTCATTCTATATTTGAGTTTCGCAGTATAATACATTTATGTGTTAGAATATAGTATTTTATATATCTAAGAATTATTTATATGGTATATATACAGAAGATTACAAATTCTCAAAAAATTCCCATGTGGAAGCTCAACCAATCTGATGCTAAGTACTAGCCTTTGGAATTATGCGAGGTGTTACCTTTTTGTCCACAGCTATTCATAAAATACAATTACAATCAAAAGGTGGTCCGTTTACACCTTGTTGTTGTGGATAACATTCATACATAGAAGAGTGCAACATATGATATTTTTTTTCTTTTTATTTTTATCTCGAGAAGTTAAATAAAGCTAAATGCAGTTATTTACGTATACCAAAACATAGTGTCCAAACGAGAAAACATATAGAAACAATATTTAGTAAATTTAATGCAACGCATATCTTCATACTACGGCCAAAAATGTGTAGAAACATTGAAATATCACTTTCAAAATATCATTTTCAATGTCAAGTTGTTTGTATAGTTAATTTAATTATTTTTCTCTCCCAAAATAATGGACCGCCTATGACCATTTTTGTGTGTATGTGGTCCAATTTACATCACATGCCAATCAAGCTGGATCATATGATATAAAATGCTAAATTTACCTTATACATATATCTGCTTCCACCAATTTGTACAAGCATAAGATCATCCTATCGTACTTAGACAGTGAATTCAGAATTGGTTATGGTCACATTGATGGTTATAATCCAGACCATTAAACCAGTAATTTCATGTTGATTTGGAGGTTGGTATGATTTTTAAAATCATTTTTCAAGATTTTTAAAATCAATTTTCAAGATTGCGATTCATGTTGATACTTTCAGCTCAATACCGTGCAAATGTAAACAATGTATTAAATAAAACCAAACTTGCAACCAAAGTAGGGCTAAGGATAATGCCTTTACGTCGATATGACTTGCTGATGTATAGCAGGTTTATATTTGTAATTTACAAAACTATTGGAGAGAATTCGAAATAGTTATAGAGTTACTGCCTCGCAGTGAAAATATTAAAAATTAAAGTAAAGACCTTTATAAAAATAAAACAAAATTAGGCTTTATCTGTTCTCTCTTGACACAGAGGGAGAAGGGGAAAGGGTTTCTTCGACTCTGGTCTTTGCGTGAGAGAGTAACTTACATCAGAAGCTTCTGCGTAACTTTCCATTAATAAAAAAGGTGGAAATTTATTGAAAAAAAAAAAAATTCGTTGTTGAAGCGAAAGAGGAAGAGGAAGGAGAAGAAGAAGAAGCCTTCTGGGTTTCGTAGAAAAGAAAATGAGAATATTAATTGTTTAAGGGAAAATTTATAATTTTTAGTGGTGAAAGGGGTTTTCGTGAGGAGAAGTTTGATCCTTTTTGCGCCTGGGATAATTCCTCGACTTTGACACTCGTCTCTTCACGCAATCGCGTTCGTTTCTCGTATCACGTCTGCTTTTGCGTCTTCTAGGGTTTGCTTAACCTTTTTTTTTTCCTTTTAATCAAAAAAAAAAGTTGGTTCTGTGTACGAAGGCGAAAGAGGGGGGATTTTGATTTGGTTGAATATATTTCTTTTTATTTCTTTGGGAAGGATATAATAAGTGCTGGATTTGGCTTAAATTTGGAGAATTTGAGGATATTTCGTGGTGGGTACTTGTGAAAACTCTGATCAATTCTGAGCTGACGCTGGATTCTGATTTTGTGCGCGTCTCCTGGTCGTAATCAGGTCTTGGGGTTTAAAGGTCTTCTCGGAGATTCCGCAAGGGTTTTGATGAATCTGGGTTTTGGTCAAGGATCGAAGAAGTTATAGAAAGCCTTGTCCTTTTGCAGATTCGTGGTCGGGACTTGTATCGGAGAGATTTTGATTTGGCTGCTTTGCCTAATTGTGTTCCTAATTGATTTGGTGAGTCACCTTGGGGAATTCTGCTGCAGAGGATTTCGGGTCTTTGGTGGGTACGATGAGCGGAAGCTTCACTGAGAGCTTCGCCGATGATGGCAAGCTTATGCTCTGTGTGGCTGAGAACGGCCGCTCATTTGAGTTTGATTGCAGCGAGACAACTTCAGTTGAATCCGTGATGCGTTTCGTTGAATCCGTTTCTGGTATCGGCTTCTCTGATCAGCTTCTTCTCTCGCTGGACATGAAGCTCGAGCCACAAAAGCTGCTTTCTGCTTTCGGGCTTCCTGCAAGTGATCGAGAAGTGTTTATTTTCAACAAGGCTATGCTGCAAAGCAACTCTCATCCGCCATCACCGGAAGATGTAGACTTGCAGGAAGTTGATGATGCGTTAGCTTTACCACCGGCTTCATTGCATGATCATCATCCCTTGGACGATGCATCGGATCCGGCTCTAAAGGCTTTACCTTTATATGAGAGGCAATTTCGATACCATTACCATAAAGGCCGGACCATCTACAATTGTACGGTTGTGAAGCATGAGAACTGCGAGAGGCTGACGAGAGAGCAAAAGGTACAACAGCGGGCTGTTGAGGTCGCTACGCGGAATCTGGAACAGTATTACAGGGTGATCTATCAGAACTTTCTTGAGTTTATGAAGCGTTACAAGCATCAACACCGCCTGCACTCCGATCTGCTGATGAATTTCGGAAGGGATATTGAGAAATTGAGGTCAGCGAAGATTCACCCTTTCCTGCAAACTGAATCGAGGAAATGCTTATTGGACTTTGTCAAGGAAGATAACCTTAAAAAGGCTTTGGAGAATTGTGCAAGCTCTCACAGGCAATTTGAGAATAAGATTGCACAGTTCCAGCAGATGTTTGTCGAGGTCAAGCGCAAGGTAGAGGAGTTGTTTGCTTGCAGGGCTTCCTTATCAATGAAAAACTTAGAAGTGGCTGTTAAGGATCACGAACGCTTCATTAACGAGCAAAAGAGCATAATGCAGTCTCTCAGGTTTGTTCATTTCGTAAACTGGGAACACCTTTTCATTTGTCACAGTTGGAATTCAAATGATGATTTTTTTCCAGTGTTTACACAATGACAATTTCTGCTATCTAACCGAGTTGTATGAATCTTGAAACAGCAAAGATGTCAATACGGTTAAGAAGCTAGTGGATGATTGTATGTCGAGCCAGTTGTCCTCATCTCTCCGACCTCATGATGCGGTTTCAGCCCTGGGTCCTATGTATGAAGTGCATGACAAGAATCACCTTCCCAAAATGCAGGCTTGCTATAACTCCATTTCAGAGTTGCTGGATTTCTGCAAGAACAAGAAGGATGAGATGAACAACTTTGTACACAGCTACATGCAAAAGATAACGTACGTCACATATATCATCAAAGATGCAAAGTTACAGTTTCCTGTTTTCAGAGAGGCAATGGTGCGTCAGGATGATCTATTTGCAGACCTGAAGTTAGTTCGTGGTGTTGGCCCTGCTTATAGGGCCTGCCTCGCAGAGGTGGTGAGAAGAAAAGCCTCTATGAAGCTTTACATGGGCATGGCTGGACAATTGGCAGAAAAACTTGCTATGAAGAGGGAAACGGAGGTCAGGAGACGTGAGGAGTTTCTTAAAACACATGGTCCCTTTGTACCGCGGGATGTGTTGGCTTCAATGGGTTTGTATGATACTCCGACACAGTGTGATGTCAATGTCGCTCCGTATGATACTAGTTTACTCAATATTGAATTCACAGACGTTGATCGATATGCTCCAGAGTATCTGGTGGGGTTACATTCAAAGGGTGCATCCTCAAGGAGTTCACTGGCCATGTCTAGTGATAGCTCGCTTTCCGCTGAGCCTGAAGAGATTGGTATAGAAAGTTTGGAAAAAGACAATTTTGATGATATCCTAGCAGCCTCTGAATTATTAGAGATAGCTGGAACTAGCAAGATGGAAGTTGAGAATGCAAAACTAAAAGCTGACCTTGCTTCTGCAATCTCTCGGATTTGTTCATTAGGCCCACAAGTTGAATATGAGGTACTGGATGAAAGTGAAGTAGAAAGTTTGTTGAAAAATGCCGCAGAGAAGACAGCAGAGGCATTGCAGGCCAAAGATGAGTATAGTAAACATCTTCTTTCTATGCTCAAGGAAAAACAAATGCACTGTGATTCATATGAGAGGCGTATCCGTGAACTGGAACAACGTCTCTCAGATGAGTATCTACAGGGACAGAGACATGCTAGTAATAAGGATGCATCTGGCTTAAATCTTATCCACGGAAAAGTTAGTGAATATAAGGCAGAAGGTTCAGGTGACGTGGAAGGCAACAAAACTCATGCATCTGGTTCAGAGCCCATGGATGAGGTCTCTTGTGTTTCAAATCTTTCTAGCAAGCAGCCATGTAAAGCTCGGGAAGGTATGGATGAGAATATGGTGGATTCCTCTCTGGTACTTGGTCATCCGCTTGACTCATCGATGCTGGAAAGTCTGCAAAACAGTGAGAAAGGTGGAAAGGATAATGTTGTGGGAGAAATGGGTGGATTTCTAAGTAGCAGTTCGACAGCCGAGAGCCCACCAAAATCTACTAGCAGAGGTTTAAATGCCAAACACAGTGATGATATTATCTTGGAACTTAGAAATGAGCTGATGGAAAAGTCCAATAAGCTGAGTGAGACGGAGTCCAAGCTTAATGGTGCTATGGAAGAGGTAGACAGTCTGAGCAGAGAGTTGGAAATGAATCAGAAGCTTCTTGAAGAATCTCAGGTTCGGCAGCTATTTCATGTTTTTATTTTCTCTAATCTTTCCAACTCTGATATATATTCATTGTATTATTAGTTAGAAGCTAGTCTCTACTTTTTGGTATGTTATCTTTCCACCATTTTCTGTCACTCTTCTGGTTGCTAGTATTAGCACTGTCCATTTGTCCCAGACGTCTAGTTATTCAGTAACCAAGGTACTGGGCTCAGGTCTATTTCTGTGATATGTAACTAGTAATGATGTGAATCATCTGGATTAGGAAGGTTCTATATACTTTTGCATATTGCCTAAACCAGTTAAAGCCAATGAGTTCCAGGAGTCAGAGATCGAAGCTTTCATGAGATCTTGATTTACACCTTGTTGACTAATTATTTAAATTGTAGGAGTTTGTCGTTTCTCTTAGTTAGTTATCAATACAATCTGACACGATGGCTGTGAATAAGTTTCATGTTTGGGTTTACCAGACATTTCACGTAGTAAGATCTAGAGACACAATAAGCATGGTTCTCCTGTTTCAGCGTCACCAGATAACTTATGTACCTTGCACGTTATAGGAGTTTTTTTCACCTTCTTGATGTGGTTAATTTTGCTATCTTGGCTGTAGATGAATTGTGCCCATTTGGAAAACTGCTTACATGAAGCAAGAGAAGAAGCCCAGACCCATCTTTGTGCTGCTGATCGTAGAGCTTCTGAGTATAATGCACTTCGTGCATCAGCTGTAAAGATGCGAGGCCTCTTTGAAAGATTCCGGAATTCTGTCTGTGCTGGTGGTGGAGTTGCTGGCTTTGCTGACTCGTTGCGAACTTTGGCTCAAGCTTTAGCCAAGTAAGTTTCTGTCTGTACCGTTGATTCCCAAAAACTAACATTAGTCCTTCTTATTTATATGGCGGTTGTTGTCCACTTTTGAATCTCTCGTTTCTGAAAATGTTTTCTGGATTTTCATTTCTCCTACTTGGGAATTTCACAGCTCTATTAATGACAATGAAGATGATGGTACTGCTGAGTTCCGGAAATGCATTCGAGTCTTGGCAGACAAAGTTAGCTTCCTCTCCAAACATCGGGAGGAATTGCTTGAGAAGTGCCGAAATCTTGAAGGTACAAGTGAACAGACAAGAAAGGACTTGGAGGAAAAGAAAGAGCTGGTGAAAACACTGTACACTAAGCACCAACTTGGGAAGCAGGTAGACTCCTCTTATCTCGAGTAACAATCATGTTGTTGTCGGGTTGAATCTCAAACTTTCAACTTATGTTCTACGTTTATAATTTTTGGGACTGTCCTTGGTTTTGAATGAGATTAACTTGTGGACAGGCAAATAAGGAGAAGATATCATTCGGTCGTCTTGAAGTCCATGAGATAGCAGCATTTGTGCTAAACCAAGCAGGGCATTATGAGGCAATCAACAGGAACTGCCCGAACTACTACTTGTCCTCTGAATCAGAGGCATTGTTCACAGACCACCTCCCAAACCGGCCTACATACATCGTTGGGCAGATTGTCCACATCGAGCGCCAAACAGTGAAGCAGCCGTCACTTTCAGCTTCTGCATTTCCCGAGGCGGGTAAGACAGATCATCTCGGCTCAGACCAGGGCTCCAGAACTATGGCATCAAGTTCAATCTCAACAACATCTTCAGCAACAACAACATCAAACCCTTACGGTCTCTCTTCAGGATGTGAATACTTCATAGTGACAATAGCAATGCTCCCTGACACTGCTATTCATCAACAAGCTTCCTGATCCGTTTGCTTGTTCTTAAGGCAGATAGATGTGATGGAAGAAACCCCTCCCTCCCCCCTCAAGAAAAGAAGAAAACGAAAATGTAAATACTTCAAATTCAAATAACAATCAAAAACCGGACAGCCCCTAGTACGATTTGTGGGTGTTGGGTGTCATTTGTCTCTTTTTTTTAAATGTTTTATTTCATATCTTTCTTCTTTTTGTACAGCTGATGATCACTGATCTTAGTTTAATCTTTTATCCTCCTTGTACATACACTCTGCTTTGCCTTAAATGTTGTAATAAGAGAACAATATAATTATTATTAAAAAAAAATGATAAAAAGTTTAGGATAAATAATGGAATGCCTACGCATTAGCAGGCATTGTTTATATTGGGTGATGATCTACACAAATTCATTTAAAAAAAAAAAAAAACTTGTTTCTTCAAATCCATGTGGGGTTCTAGTTACCAAGAGAAATTTGATTTACAAGAAAAACAGAAAAAGCTACTGGTTCAAGTTCCTATACTTGCCAAAACCTGAAAAGAAAGGGGGAAATCTATAAAATTATCTATTATATGCATCACCATCTTCTTCTGAAATGTTGGACAAGAACTTGGGCAGGGATGTGATCCGGGGGAGGTGTAATAGCAAATCGCCGAACGAGTCTTTCCTCAACATACCCTGTGGTTTGCTGCTGGAAGCTGGATCAACAACTCTGTTGTTGTTGTTGTCAGACACAATCCCCTTCAGATCATTCGGTTCAGGCTTCAGTCCAACCGAGATTTCGGTATTGAGCTGTGAGTTTGTAGCGACGTTTGGATCCTTGTACAAGAGGTTGAATAAAGAATTGACCCTTGGCATGAGAGACTTCTCATCTGGTGTATCGAACTGGATATTATCGCTTAGCAACTGCTGCTTCATGTTCTCAAACTTCTCCATGTGTTCAGGATAACTTCCACCAGCAGAATCAGAGAGAAATCCAACGAAATCGCTCACTGACATAGATTGGTGTAGCCCAGGCACTTTTATCTGACTCGAATCAGCTATGTTTCTCGAATCAGATAATAGTGCAACGAAATCACTCACGGACATAGACTGGTGTACGCCAGCTACTTCTTCAACCTGACTTGAATCCGCTGTGTTTTTTGGATCACTGAGAAGTGCAAGGAAATCGCTCAGCGACATAGAGTGGTGTAGTCCAGATACTCCGGTCTGGCCACAATCCGCTGTGTTTCTTGAATTGACTGCTTCAGAACCCCCATTTCCTTCATTTGCACGAGCATCTATCACTAGAGATAAAATGAAGCAAAAAAGCAGGATAAGAAAACACACATTCTTAATTTGGCTCATTACAAGAGCAAAGGAAAAGAAATAAGAGTTATGAAAGTACCTGAGCTGGGAGATGGTGCTTCATGAGACAGATACATAGGTTCAGATGAAGACTGAGCCCCAACAGGAGATGCTAAATTATGAGTCCCAGATATTGAAGGACCTGTGCTAAGGCTCAAAGTACCATAAAGATGGCCTTTTGATTCACTTGGATCCTCAAAGATAGATTGCCGTGCATCAAAGTAGGGAGAGTCCATGACTATCTCCGGCTGACGGCTTAGATGGAACAGGCGATGATCACATTGAACGAGTTTTTCGAAATGTTTGTTCATTATCCCTTGAGCACATTGCAGAAAATGCTGCCTAACAGATCACAGGGAGACAGACTATCATTAGCTGAAGCTAACGCAGGCATACAAAAATGATTCAGTCACAAAATGCTAATTTTCAATTGCATGAAATCCTGTCCTCCTAAGTGCAGAGGACACAAGAAATGTCTGTACCTGTTCATGCTAGCTTGGCCATCGGTGAAATCTGATGTCGCCTGCCACAAAGTATGTTTTCTAGGCTGTGGGTTTGTTTCCCGGAAAAACAAGGGCTGCCTAGCAAGCTGAAACAGAAAGAGACCAAAGATTAGCGCTAATCAAAGAGAATAGGATGCGCGAATGAAAAAAAAAAGCATGAACAGAACTAGTACCATGAGAGTCAATGTTCCAGGTCCATCTTCAGGACAGTTGGCCTTCAAAGCCATAATATCTGACCATTGGATCTCGATTTTACTCTTGAGGCCTTGTTCCAACACTTCCCAAACAAGTTTGTGCTTTGCGAAGTAACACTTTGCCACCAAATCACCTTCATACCTTGATTTGTACTAAAGAAAAAACAGAACATTGTCAAGTCGGATACTGAGAACACCATGAAACATATACCAAAACAAAAAAGCAAAATTGCCTAGGGCTCACCTCCCACTGCCCGATCTTCAAAACCGAAGCAGGAAAGTTGGAAGCTTTCAGCTTCTCAATACTTCCTGGCGCCGACGTCGCTCCAACTGATGCAACAGTAACACATTTACTCTCTTTCTTCACACCAGAGCCAACTGCACCAGCTTGTAGCGTTTCGGAATTTGGGTCGCCACTTTGAGTTAGCCTCATCTGAATCAACTCCAACAAAGACGGACTCTTCCTAAGGGTCAGACCAAGAGGACTCGGCTCATCAAGCGGGTTATACTTAGCCGGTGCCATTAGCGATGAGCTTGTCCCAGAGCTCCATAACTAGTTCGTTGCAAGAATAAAAAAAAAAAAAAGAGAGAGAGAGAGACATCAGGAACGGAAAAGAACAAAACAAAACGCCAATGAGATTTTCCACCCATTAGTAAGCTAAGAACCAATTTCTCGTACAATTTTTTTGATCGATCCGCTTGGAAACTAACACTTTCCTATCAAATTCTCGGAGAAACAAAACAGATCAGCTAATTTGAAATAAGGGAAGGAACAAACCCTGGATCGCTTGTTGAGAGGACCATGCGCTTCTTCTAAATCATCCTCCACGATCTCCAGCTTCACCGGCAGCTCATCTCGGCACTTGGCCGCCAATTCAGACTCCGGTCTCATACCCCCAGATTTCCTCATTTCCACCATCCAGAAATGAACACTTTCTACCGGAATAATCCCCGAAATCAGATGAATTGCGAATAATTCGCTAACGAAATCACGAAGAAAAAAAAAGTAGAATTATTATCACAGAGGATTATCTGGAACGCGAAGAAGAGAATCAGCGAACCCTAGAAATTAGAGTAACAATTAGGGGATCTATCTATCTCTCTCTATTTGATTGAAAAGAGGATTCTCCTGGCGGCTTTCGACGCGAGTATCCCGCGATGCGCGGCCACGCGCTATCGTAATTTGACTAAAAAGGAAAATTGGAGTGCTGGAAATTCCCAAATTAACCACCGCTTTATGCCTATTGACAGAAGGCTAATATAGTCATTTTATGATTTTGATTAAATATATAGTTAATTCGCTGGCGAACAGCCAGTAGTTCTTGATATAGTGAGTGGGTCCCATAATTGCTTATTCTTATGACGGCTATAGATAGAGAATTTGCCACGTGTTACTCGTCTCCACTGCTTATTTAATTACCTTTTTTTTGTAGTCACTAGTCAAAAATGTTTTCTCAGGCCACTTACGGTAATGAAACATAAATTAAAATTATATTTAAAAACAAACACTGCCGGAATGAACAAAAGTCTTAGTTCTGACCTTGAATTCCAATTCTAATTGTGGTTGAGAATAGAATAATGCTTCGAGTTTCCTCTAAAAACAAAGAGAAAATGGAATGCAATTTCTTGAAATTTATGTTTTTAAATTATAATAAAACATAGTTCTTGCTTTTAGTTTTATTTTTAACATATATTTAGAATAAATCTAATGGCAAAAATTACAGTTTTTAGATTTGATTTGTTATTGCTTTAAATGCTATACATTGCACATCTATATTTATGTTTACAGCTCTAAATCATATCAATTATGTTTTATATATTTTATATTTTTTTTTATTTGCTTATTTCTTTTGCTGTATAAAGATTTTTTTCTAAAAGATATAATTCTATAATTTTTAAATTTTACAATTCTACAACCAAAATTTTAAAGAAATAAAATCTATAACTATGCAAAAAAATCTTACAGCTATATTTCTACAGCAAAAATGTAAAGCTACAACTATTAACAATCAAGCTATTTGGCATTTTTGCCGCATCCCATATTTAGTATTTGATAATATAGAAAGCAAATCTCGACAGCACTAAAATACTATATTGTATTTTGATGATAAATATTTAAAACTTATACAAGTTTCCTCGCATTTTTGTTAGACTTCATACACACATAAATCATTTATATACATATCACATATCTCCTTTTACAAAAGTAAATATATATACATATCATCTCTGTAATTAATTAAGGTTGCAAAAAAGCTTGAAAATGATTTTGATCCAACGATATTAAATGTTACAGGTCCTGTATCTACGGACGTCCCTCTCCTATGGAATGGCAAATGGAGAAAAAGAAAAGAAAAAAATGACTTTTGCTATTCTTGTCAAATTATAAGTCACACACAAACAAAACAGAAATTAATACCCTCTTGTGTTTTGTTGTTCTTCCTAATCGCTCTTTTTTTGTTGTTGTTCCTTGTGTGTGTGTGGGATCTATTCCGTTTATTCTTTGATTCAACCTGATCATCAACCTATCAACCTAATTAAAACAAAAACAGAAACAACAACAAAAAAATCTGTAGAAAGAAGAGGAAGAGGAAAAACATCAGATTGTAAATGGAGGATGATATAGTAGTACGTACCCTTGAACGTTCCTTGATCCTTCTTTGAGAACGATCTTTCATTACAAAGAGAATAATGCCTGTGCCAGATCCACGGGCGGGACAGGCATTCATCTGTCTCATTACCTTATTCCTGTTCCTATCAATCGCTGTCGGAGGCGGTTGTCTAATTGCATACACAGTCCTTCCTTACCCACCGATTTGGCTCTCTTACCTCGGCATTTTCTTTGTTTGTCTCCCTTGGTTGTTTTGGATCCTGACCTTTGGATACCGCATTGTTTCACGCACGTTTGGATTTAGGATGGTCATTGGGTCCGGTGGTAATAATAACAACGCGACTGGAGAGGACATGCCACGCGATCTTGACCCTCCTGATCAATCTTTAGAGCCTCATGATGATGATCCCGAGGCAGTAGCTCACCCACAAGGCCAAGTTCTAGTGTCGAATGATGGGAATCAATCCAAGAAACGAACGTCAACCTCCAGCAATTCTACTGTCGGTTCGCATGAAAGTGAGATGCCACTAGCCATTTCTATGGGCTCATGATCATATATACTTGATACAAAAGGGATCTTGCCGTAGACAACAGCATCATCAGATGGAAATTAGCCTCTTGAAAACATGGGCAATTTTTGCTTCTTTTTCTTTTTGTTCATTTTATTTTTTACAGATAGATTTGTAGATTCAACAAAAGAAGAAGTTACACCTTACTGCCAAAAGTTTTCCCTCAAAGCCAAACCCCCAAAAGATTTGACAAGGTTAATTTCTCAGTTTTTGTTGTAAAAAGCGAGAAGTGTTTGTTATAAAGGGGTACGTACGTACGTATATAGCTAGTTTGAGACGGTTTTGGCGTGGCCCATGCGTAATGTGGATTTTATAGGGTAGATCAACATCTAAGATTCATCTGTAATTTTTGTATATATAAATCTATAACTAGTTTGGTAATATTTATATAATTCTGCATGTGAAGCCTTCGATTTTTAGGGCTAACACTTGTAGGTTCTTTTATATGACGTAGTGGACAAGTTATTAGATTGCTGACTACCAAATGCATACAAGCCAAGTTATCTTGATTGCCGACTACCAAATGCTGGCATTTGCAAAGTTGGCCACTTAACTGATTTGTGCCACGATGTGATGACTGATGATGCTGAATCCAAAATCTTACAATATTTAGTTTTTAATAATTCAATGTAAATTGCAAAAGATTTAAAAAAAAAAAAAAAAACTCACAGCCACACATATGGCCCGAGGCCCAAATAAAAACTATAATTTTTTCAGCTTTAGCTATTAAAAAAAAGAGACGTAGGCACGCACGCATGGTGCAGAAGAAGAGAAACAACTACCCAAATTTTTTTCCCAAACCCTAAATCGTCCAAATCACTACATAAACAATGAATACAAAAAGGCAGAATCGAGAGCTACCCCGCGATCTCGTGGAGGAGATACTGGTGAGACTTGCCGTAAAACCACTCTTTAGATTCAAATCCGTTTCGAAGTTGTGGAGATCAACGATCGAGTCGCGCTTGTTTGGGGAGAGACACTGGTTGAAGCGATCCCATGATCAGCTTGCAGTTGCATCCATCTACGCGGTTAAACCGGCCACAGGGTGGTTCCAACAGATCCTTTCTCCGTCGAGTCTCTAACTGTTTATCGACGGTGAAAACAGACAAGAACCGAACCCACACGGTTACAAATAACTAGTGTTGTCATCTACTTGTGCTGTGCCTAGTAGTCTGTTGGAAGTTTTTGATTTTAATGATGCGATTTGGAGGAGGTACGTGGTGTACAAAGCAAGCCGTCGGATTGTTGGAAGCCCAGTTTTGGAGGATGGGTCACTGTATTGGGTAACGCAACCACATGATCATGATGGTAGTATTGCGAGAGTAGTATCCTTCGATCTCGAAGCTTTTGCAACTACATCCCGCTTTGAGTATAAAGAGAAAAAAATACATTGTGTAAAGGGAAAAAATACATTGAGTATAATTAATATAAGATTGAAAAGTGAGAAAAAATATTTAAAAAATAAAAAGGAACAATTATAAAAAAAAAATGCCTTAATATGTGTGTAATATGTAAAATGTCATATTAAAAAAAAATTAGAGAGAGTATATAAATCCATAGCGATTTATTGAAATTGCAAGAAAGAGTAACATCATTCACTTCAGTTTTTATTGAAATGCTAAGAAAGAGTAACAACATTGAATAGTAATAATGGATTAGCTTCAAATATAATCAGTGATTCCTATTTTCTCGCCATAATCGTGTTAGAAAGAAACGACTAAACCAAACGAATCGAATCGAACCGAACAAACCGGATTGGACAGAACCGGACTCGATTCGATTCAGTTTCAAATGATAGGATAACTCTTTGGGACAGAGACGAGAGATCGCATTTTAGTAGTCCGAGTTTTTACGATGTCTCTCTCGCAAACGAATTTCCTCAGTTCTTCATTTCTCTCATCGAGCCATGAGCTGCGTATACCTTATTCTAGAGCGTCACTCCCTTATCCTCGTCTCCAAACACACCGGATTCTCTGCGCTGCGAAGCGAACCGGGAGACGGAGATACCCTTCTGAGAGGAAGAAGCTGAGGACGGAGCAGAAGGGAGCTGTGGCAAAGGTTAAGAACAAGCTCGAAGGAGTTTGGCGTCTCTCTAAGCTCGGTGTTCCTGTCGGAGATGACCCTGGAAAAGATTTTCTCGGAATTTCACAAGGTTTGCTTCAAGCCATCGCTAAAGTTATCGAGTTTCCGGTGAGTTTTCCGGTGAAAATTTCGAAACTTTATTCTTAGGGTTCGAAAATGAGCTTGAGTTTGAATGGTATCTGGATTGAAATTTTAAAGCTTTATCTTTTTTTTTCCAGGTTGCTTCAATGCTGCCAGAAGAAGCATTTTCAGTGGTTAGGAAATCGTTTGACGCTAGGAAGGTAGGTTTCAGTTTCATCTCGCATATTGTGATTATGATTGTGGTTCAAGTGAGTGAAATTTATCATCTTTTGTTCAGATTCTGAAAGAAGCCAAGTTTGTGTATACTGTGGACTTGGATGTGGATACGCTTCTTGAGCTAGAGCCTCGTGCTCATGATTTCATTTTCCGGCTAGAGCCCAAGATTGGGCTTGTTGAACATTTGCCTCCCGAGAAGATCGTTTCAGGCGACTTGATCAGTGTTGTAAACGATTGTAAGAGAAGCGACGAAAATAAAGAACCACTGATCATCAATGGCACTGGAGATCCACACCAGCACGGAGGAGGGGGAAGCAGTAAACCGAAAATCGCGGTTGTTGGTGGTGGTCCTTCTGGTTTGTTCGCAGCTCTTGTTCTTGCTGAGTTTGGTGCGGATGTGACATTGATCGAAAGAGGGCAAGCAGTAGAAGAAAGGGGGCGTGATATAGGCGCTTTGGTAGTTCGCAAGATTCTGGACATGGAGAGTAATTTCTGCTTTGGCGAGGTCTTAAAAACCTTCTCTTTAACTAACTTTACCATAAGTGCTTATCGGTGGTTTTCTCGTCTTGTTTTGTGATTGCCATTATAGTCATGTTTTAGCACTTATGGATTGCAGGGTGGTGCAGGTACCTGGAGTGATGGGAAGCTTGTTACTCGAATAGGAAAGAACAGTGCCACTGTTTTAGCGGTTAGTACTTTGAGACTTACAATCTCGTATATAAGCGCACTTCACGTTTGATTACAGCTGAAAAAAATATGACTTATGGCTTTAAATGTTACAGGTCTTGAAAACTTTGGTTCGTTTTGGGGCTCCTGATAATATACTGGTCAATGGGAAGCCTCATCTAGGAACAGATAAGCTAATTCCATTACTCCGTAATTTCAGGCATTATCTTCAAAGCGCAGGAGTAAGTTTTAAAACAAGAGATTGATTAAAGTCTCCTTTACTTTGATATGTCTTTAATCCTTTTTTTATCGTGAGCTTACATATGGTTAATTAGGTGAATATCAAGTTTGGGACTCGGGTAGACGATCTTCTGGTAGAGGATTCTCGTGTGGTTGGAGTCAGAGTCTCGGATTCATCGGACCCATTGCAGAGTAGCTCTGAGAATTTAAAATTTGATGCAGTTGTTCTTGCAGTTGGTCACTCGGCACGTGACACATATGAGATGCTTCTTTCTCGTAATGTGGAATTGACCCCGAAAGATTTTGCCGTAAGTTTCTTATATGTATATATGTTGTGACTTGTGAGTATATTTTCTGGCTTGGTTTTTTCATTTGATCTATATATGGATGTGTGGACCAGGTTGGTTTGCGCGTTGAGCATCCACAGGAGCTTATTAACAGTATACAGGTTGGCTCAGTTGCACATTAACACCAGAAATCTTCATTATATCAATCAAATTCCATGAATTTGCTGAATTATGATGCTCTTCCTTTGTTGCTGGTATGTATTGTAGTACTCGGATTTAGCTAGTGAAGTTCGCAAAGGAAGAGGTAAAGTACCAGTGGCGGATTATAAGGTTGTTCAATACGTGAATGAGAAGGAGGATGATCTCTCTCAGTCTTCATCAAAACGTAGTTGCTACTCCTTCTGCATGTGTCCTGGTGGTCAGGTACAGTTTCCTTATAGAGTGTCTTGCTTCTGTTCTTCTTTGATTTGTCATGAATTAAGACTGATTTCCATGTTTTTTTTGCAGGTTGTTCTCACCAGCACAAACCCAACCGAACTCTGCATCAATGGCATGTCATTTTCTCGCCGTTCATCCAAGTGGGCCAATGCTGCACTCGTTGTCACAGTCTCAGCAAAAGACTTTGATCTTCACAATCTTCAGGGACCCTTAGCTGGAATTGAGTTTCAGGTATCAAATCTGAAAGTGGATTTACTATTATTACTACTCTCAAGTCATATTCAACATTTCTCCTTTGATTTTTTGCTTTTCTTTAGAGAGAGTTTGAAAGAAGAGCGGCTATAATGGGTGGTGGCAATTTTACAGTTCCTGTACAAAGGGTTACTGATTTTCTGCAAAACAAGTTATCTGGTAAAATCAAAAAACATTTTCCTTAATACTCAATTCTCATTTTGGTATATTTTCGGTGATACATTAGCATTCTTGTGCTATTAAACAGAAACACCTTTACCTCCATCAAGCTATAGATTAGGAGTGAAGTCTGCAAATCTGCATGAACTGTTTCCTGCTCATATCACAGATTCTTTGCGACAGTCTATCTCTATGTTTGATAAAGAGGTTGGTTAGATATTTTCTCATTGCTATAAACAAACCCGTAGCTTCTCTTTTGCTCTAAACACTTGAACTTTTCAGTTACCGGGATTCATCTCAGAGGAAGCACTCCTCCACGGCGTAGAGGTATAAAATCTTATATATCTTCCTTGTCCTGAATCAGTATACTCTTGAGACAAGAGGTAAACAAATGGTTAAACTTTGTATAACCAGACAAGAACAAGCTCTCCTGTTCGGATACCTCGAAACAACGAGACTTACGAGAGCACGAGCTTGAAAGGTCTATACCCAGTTGGTGAAGGAGCTGGTTACGCTGGTGGGATTGTAAGTGCTGCAGTGGATGGTATGTTTTCGGGTTTTGCTGTTGCCAAAAGCTTTGATCTCTTTGATGGAACCATAGAGTCAGTTATTGGAAAGGCTCAAGGTGCTGGACTTGTGAAGTACTGATCAGGAGTGATGATGTGATGATGAAGAAGAAGAAATCTCCTCCATCTCTCTATTTTTTTGGCACTTGTTGAGGTATAGGAATATCGATGGGGACTGCTTCTTCTTCCGAATCCCTTTTTTGGCTGCACCAAAGCTTAAGAACTAATACATTCACCAGCCGCAAGAGAATTTTGCCTTAGTTATGTAAGTAACCCAAACATTAGTTGTTAAGAAAGTAAACTAGTGTAATTTCAAGTGACAGTTTTCTTTACTAGTAATCTAAAAAGTTTTAAGAGTTCGTTTTAAGTTTCTAATGTTCTTCACTTTTTCATATTATAAGAGGGAAAATTAAAATGCTACTTTTTGAGAAAACAGCTAAGCGACAAGCTTTAGACAAGAAAAGAAACATTGTGAAGACATGACATTTACAATAACTCTAGCTTCTAGTGTGGTCAATATAATTGTGCTAAGCACGTGAATACCTATCATTTGGCTCTTGCTTAGTATACTTAATCACACCAAGAAACAAAGTTTTATCTTTAATTTCTGCACCTACTTTAATATATGAGGACTATAATAGTAGGTTGGTAAGTGTAGTTAATAATCAAATCATTGTTATGATCTACTATATATAAAAGGTACGATTGACTTCGTTTGTTTTCGTACTGTTTTCTTTCTATCTCGGAACTCCACGATATCTATCATTTGTATCCAATTACTAGCATATTTCAATTGTTAAGATGTTTATAGATGAACTTAATAATATTTCGTGTGAACAATTTAGTAAAATATATGTTAGATAAGATTCAATAACTTTTGCTTCTCAATAAAATGTGAATCCAGAGACATCCGGAGAAATTGAAGCCATGGGGGACTAGACGAGTAGAGATAGGCCATCATATACATGAATGTGTGCTAGATTCAATGATTCTGAAAATTTGGCAGTACGTACATGTGTAGCCAACATAAAATAAAAGATCTCTAACAATATTAGAAAATTGGAGAAACAAAAGAAAGAGGAATTCTTAGATATAATAATATTAAATAAATAGAAATCCAAGTGGGAGTAAAGTTGGAGCAAGAAGACTCCACGAGGTAAGGGACACACAAATGAAAGAGAGACAAAGGTCTATAGAAAGCTTAAGATCATATGATATGTCCGAATCATCTCATGTGGGAGCAAACCTCACTTTTTCCATTAAAAAAATGGGTTTATTGTTATCCTATTTTTTAAAATGCTTGTTTTATTTATGTACTGAACCTCATCATACTGGCTAATGAGTTACTAGAGTCGATCATTTCACAAAATTTTAGTGGATGAAAAATTAGAAAACAAACACCGTGTAGACATTTTTGAGGGAAATCTACATACCGAGCATTAAGAATATGAATTAGCCACTAGAATATATGAATATGAATTAATGTGTCTAGTAAAACATATAACAATGTGATTTCAGATTATTTTATGTATTTAATATGAATAATATTACAATACATGTATATAGTGAGAGAGTGAGAGAGTTAACTACTAAATACATAAGTTAATCAAACAAGAAAAATATCAAAAAAAAAAAACTTAGTTGGGGACTATCCATCATCGTAAGTGTTTGGTAAATTTTCTTTTCTTAAGAAGAAGAAAAGACAAATAAGCAATACAAGAGACCAGACACTTGTCATGAGTAACCATCATAGTTCCATTTCTGCAAAAAAGAAAAAACTATATTGTTTATTTTCTTCTATCTATGTTCATTAATTGTTTGAGAGCTTTTCCTCATAACTCTTATGATTATAGTTAGGGTTAGGTGTACAAATCTAAATTAAGCTTTCGGCGTAAAATGGTAATTGTATAACAACAACAAAAAAAAAGTGCTAAAAAAATACTCACGAGACATCATTAGTTCGATAAACTGTCACCTTTGTCGTCGTTTATTTGCCGTTTCATTTTTCCTAAATGTTATGGTAATTAAGAAGATCAATACTAAAGAAAAAAGGTTACAATCTAAATGATCATTATTATATGTTTGAAGACTCTTGCGAACGTATGCGTGACATTAAGGAGGTGCGGACAACCTATCAGATGTAGACTATCACCTACATGCTCGTGTTTGATTGACAACTTATATGACATTTTGATTTTTACTTTTCTTATTTTTTTTTGTATCTCGATGGTTACCAAATTTATGCTGAATCTGATATATACTAAAGTAGGAAGGACTCTTAACGATTCTGAAATTTAAATAAACCTAATTTTTTTTTGGGGTAGCTTGATACGATTTGAATCAGATCGGTTGAACCGGAATAATCACTTAACTCGATAAAACTAATTAATTCAAATATTATTTTGTAAGGAAAAAAAATATACACTATATATAATTAGAATATTTTGGTCTCCTTGTATTCTTGTTAGTGACCTCTACGAGCAAAGAGGCTTGAAAGATTGTTTTGTTTGGGATTGTTCCGATTTGCGAGAAGAGAGAAGACTCTTTAATATCAAAATTAGGTGGCGCGAAAATAACGCCCTCTCTCTCTCTCTCTCTCTCTCTCTCTCTCTCTGATCTCGAACCCATCCTTAAATCGACCGATCAATCTCCGGCGTTTTCTTCTCTCACGAGCATTCTCTCCATCGCCGTCGAAAGATTTCTACGGTTTCAAGCTTGGCTTATAAACATCGGTCGCGTTCGTTAATCCCCATTTCGAGCTGAGAAGATTTCGAGAGGAGAATCACGGGTATGCTTTTTGTGGGGAAATCGAAGGGGTTTTTCGTCTCTCCTGGTAAGTTTTTTCAATTTTCCAAATTTCAGATTTTTTCTCGGATCTCTAAGGTTTAGCTTCGCATTTGGTGTATATCAATCCAATCACGATTTTGATTCAATCAATTAATATCGGAAGAACCCTAATGTATCTGGGTATTGAATTTTTGTTGCTGTGATCTGAGAGATTTCGTGAGTTAGGAAAGTAAATGACGGCTGTTTTGGATTTGATCGTCTGATAGAAAAACTAGGAATCTGTTTATGGTTGAGACTTCCCATTCATGTTTCGGTTTTTCGGTATTTTGATGATTTGCACAGAAAAAAATTTCCTTTGGAAAAATTACTAAAATTGATCGATTAAACGTGTCTGTGTCATGAGAGACACGAGTCGGTCAGTAATAGACAAATTTGCCTTTTGGATTCACTCCAAACAGTAAAAGTGTTTTTGTTTCTTAATCCGAAATTTTGTTGTTTCTACTGATTTTCGTCCCTCATCCTTCACTATCCCGAGATAATGTTAAGTGTTCTCAAATGGTCAAAATTCAAAAACACCAGGACTAATCATTGTTTCTGCATTTTATCATTTTCCCTCTTTCTCTCTGAATTTCTCAATCACTCTGTGATTTTTCTGGGAGAGTGGTCACATATTCTTGATTCTTCCATACACGTGGTCCCATAATTTGGATAAACACAAAATAATCTGTAAATGTCAATATGTGCTAACTGCTAAATAAGCTTATACTACTACGATCATCAAAACATTGTCTAAAATCTCGAGCTTCTAATATAGTAAGTTTACTGTCAGTGAGGTAGTAAAAGGAAGTCTCTTATGTTATCTTTGAGGGGTTGTGATTTTGATGGAAAGAAGAAGAAGAAGAAATTGGTCCATTTAATTTTCCAGCCCATCCGACAATGGCACTTTTGTGATAAGGACACAGGAAAAGATTCTTCCTCTGATTAAAAAAATATCCCTGAGATATTATGAATCTGCAACTAACTAGTTAGAACTCAACCCAACTTTCTCTCTTGTTTTACTTTTCTTTACCTGGGCTGTTCAATATCCTTTTGCTCTTTTTTACGCTTTGTCTATCTGTGGAGGTATCTTACTTTTTCTCCTCTGTTTTACGTTTCTTGCAGAATAAAGGGACTTCCTTTACAGCAACTGGAGCTTTTTTTTACTGTTGTTTAGCTCGAATGCAGAATTGAGACGTGAGGCGTGAAACTGCTGAATCCAACCAATGCAAACTTTTGTTTCATTAGCTTGAATGGATGTAGCTACTGATACTTCTAGACGGCGTCTTGTTCCATCAGAGAAGAACAATGCAGCCGCTGTCACTCGCCGTCCTCGAACAACAGAGGTCAGTTCAAGATACAGATCACCCACACCGACCAGAACAGGGCGATGCCCTTCCCCAAGCGTCACGAGGCCAACGGTGTCTTCGAGCTCTCAATCCGTGGCTGCTAAAAGAGCTGTTTCGGCAGAGAGGAAGCGTCCTCCAACACCGCCATCTCCTACTAGTCCCTCCACGCCTATACGCGACACGTCTATAGACTTACCAGCTTCGTCTAGGAGGCTATCTACAGGTCGTTTGCCTGAAAGCTTATGGCCTTCCACTATGAGAAGTCTCAGCGTTTCGTTTCAGTTGGATTCAGTCTCAGTCCCTGTTAGTAAGAAGGAGAAACCGGTTAGAAGTTCTTCTGTTGATCGAACACTGAGGCCTTCTTCGAATATAGCTCAAAAGCAGAAGGCTGAAACGACCTCTGTATCAAGGAAACCTACGCCAGAGAGGAAAAGAATTCCATTGACAGGGAAGAATAGTGCGTCTGATCTTTCAGAGAATTCGAAACCTGTAGATGGTCCTCATAGCCGGTTAATAGAACAGCATCGGTGGCCTAGTAGAATTGGTGGAAAGATCAATTCTTTAAACAGAAGCTTGGATCTTGGCGACATGGCTTCAAGGGGTCTATCAACTTCAGGGCCTGGAACAGGGCAGTCTCTTAGGAGAATGTCACTACCTTTGTCCAGCAGCTCGAAAGCTTTGCATAAAACTTCTAGCAACGCATCTAGTAATGGTGGATTAGTGTCTCCAACAAAGTCGGAAGATAATAACATAGCTCGAACTTCCGGGGCTCAAAGACTCATGTCTGCAAGTTCGTTAGATAGAGCAACCTTGGCGACGGCTGTACCTAGGCTTCATCCATTGCCGGCATCTGGATCTCGACCTGCTTCGCCAAGTAGATCATCGTTTTCGTCTTCATCGCCTATTTCCCGAGGCATGAGTACTTCGAGAGGAGCGAGTCCATCAAGAGGACTAAGCCCTGCAAGAGGATTGAGTCCTACAAGAGGTTTAAGTCCTGCAAGAGGGTTAAGTCCTGCAAGAGGGTTAAGTCCTTCACGTGTCACAAACTCCTCCTCTTTTGCTAGACCATCAACTCCACCTTCAAGAGGGCTAAGTCCTTCAAGGATAAGACAAACAAGCAATTCTACACAATCCACTACCACAACTTCGGTTCTCAGCTTCATCGCGGATGTCAAGAAAGGCAAAAAGACGAGCTACATCGAAGACGTTCATCAACTGCGTCTGCTCTACAATAGATATTTACAGTGGCGGTTTGCAATCGCGCGAGCTGAAGCTGTAATGTACATCCAACGATTAACTTCCGAGGTATGTAATACGTTTGTCCCTCTATAACAACATGGACTGTTCTTTAACAGATTGATGAAAATGCATCTGAAAAATTCAAGTTTTGATAATTCAGGAAACTCTGTTCAATGTGTGGCACGCGATATCAGAACTACAGGATGATGTGACCAGCCAAAGGATTGTCCTGCAACAGCTAAAGCTAGAGATCAAACTCAACTCACTATTAAACGATCAGGTTAGGTTCTCTCTCTGTAGTATACCGACATTGCATTCATCAGGTTATGCCGTGCTTATGCATAAATATGTGCACAGATGGTGAGCCTTGAAGATTGGGCCACACTTGAAAGAGACCATGTCAGCTCTTTAGTTGGAGCCATAGCAGATTTAGAAGCAAACACTCTCCGTCTTCCAGCGACGGGAGGAGCAAAGGTATATATATATATATATTGTCACTATTGCGAATACACATGGAAAGTAAATCTAGAAGATAGTTATCATTATATAACATCTCTTCCTACAGGCGGACGTTGAATCTCTGAAAGCAGCTATGTCATCTGCCCTCGATGTAATGCAGGCTATGGGATCGTCCATTTGGTCTTTACTCTCAAAGGTGTGACTTTTTTTCTCTCAATAAATAACATTTTCCAAATTTATCCTCTTGACATAACTCTCAAGCGAGTGAACAATGATTGTATTTGCAGGTGGAGGAGATGAATAAAATGGTGTCGGAACTCGCTGTTGTCGTTACCAAAGAGAGTTCTATGCAAGGCAAATGCGAAGATCTTCTGGCATCAACCGCGATCATGCAGGTAACACAATGATAGTTTAGCAATTGAATGAAACCAAAATGATTTTTTGTAAAAATGAACTGAAACCGAGTGTTTGGTGGCATGAAACAGATAAAAGAGTGTAGCCTGAGGAGTCATCTGATACAAACTAGGAGAGAAGGAGAAGAAGATGCAGAGGAGGAGACTCCTGAATTGTTGCCATCAAGCAAGTTTCCATGGCCATAAATAACACGCTTACAGTTCCACACGCTCAACACTAATCACCTGTAAATTTCTCTTTGATGATCCCACATTTCTCTTGTCGAGATCCTTTTTTTGATCTTTGCTTGTTATAGTTTTTTCTTTCTTTCTGGTATTCAACATTAGCATAGGAAAAAAGGAAGTGAGAGATCGCAAGTTCGAAGGTCTTTAGGATAAAAAAAGGGAATTTATTTAACATTTGTTCACATGTAAGCTTTGATTTTGATCTGATGTGGGGTTTTTGGGGGAGTTTTATTCTTTAGTCTCAATTAGTTTACTAATCAATTAATTTTAGGACTGTTTTTTTGGCTTATTAATTAAAGAAATTGAACTTTTTTAAATCACATTACATGTAATTGTATTTGCCTTATAAAACCAACTTAAATAAAAATAGATTGACATAATAATACTTTTGCTATATTGATTTTCTTGTAATTTATAATTATTTCTTAGTTGAAGAATAAAGAAAAATGATAATGACAGAAGTGGGATCGTTTTGACTCAAAGTCAAAAAGCCAAATGCTACTACGAACCGTATCGGCAGCCACCGCCGAGACAACCGTCGGAGTGATAAACAGGAACACCTTCTTCGATCTCTTCAAAAGATCAACTTCTCTCTCTCACCTTACGCAAACCCATGCTCAGATCATTCTCCATGGCTTCCGAAACGACATCGTATTGGTCACCAAGCTTACGCAACGGCTCTCTGATCTCGGCGCCATTCACTACGCGCGCGACCTCTTCCTCTCCGTCGAGAGACCCGACGAGTTCCTCTGCAACGTCATCATGCGCGGATTCTCCAACAATGAATTACATCACTCCTCGCTTTCTGTGTTCGCCCACCTAAGGAAATCAACTGATCTCAAGCCCAATAGCTCCACCTACACGTACGCTATCTCGGCTGCTTCGGGTTTTCGTGACGAGAGAGCCGGCCGTGCGATTCATGGTCAAGCGGTCGTCGGTGGGTTTGACTCGGAGTTACATGTTGGGTCGAACATCGTTAAGATGTATTTCAAGTTTTCTCGAGCCGACGATGCTAGGAAGGTGTTCGACAGAATGCCTGAGAAAGACGCAGTTTTGTGGAACACGATGCTATCTGGGTACGGAGACAATGGAATGTATGAGGAATCTATTCAGGTTTTCAGGGACTTGATCAACGAGAGCTGTACCCGTTTGGACTCAACAACGTTGCTGAATATTCTTCCCGCTGTTGCAGAGTTGCAGGAGCTGAGACTCGGGATGCAAATCCATAGTCTTGCGACAAAAACAGGGTGCTACTCCCACGTTTTTGTTCTCACCGGTTTCATCTCAGTGTACTCGAAGTGTGGGAAGATTGAGTTGTTAAGTACTCTGTTTCGAGAGTTTCGTGTACCAGATGTAGTAGCTTACAACGCAATGATTCACGGGTACGCATCAAATGGAGAGACTGAGCTCTCCTTAAGGCTGTTTAAAGAGCTGGTGTTATCTGGAACAAGGTTGAACTCAAGCACGCTGGCGAGTCTGATCCCTCCCTCTGGTCATCTTATGCTTATATATGCCATTCATGGTTACAGCTTGAAATCAGGCTTCTTGTCTCATGAATCCGTCCGAACCACGTTGACCACGGTTTACAGTAAACTGAATGAGATAGAATCAGCCCGAAAGATTTTTGAGGAATCTCCGGGCAAAAGCTTGGCATCTTGGAATGCAATGATCTCGGGTTACACCCAAAACGGGTTGACGGAGGACGCGATATCTCTATTCAGAGAGATGCAGAAGTCTGAGTTTAGTCCAAATCCGATCACAGTAACTTGTGTTATATCGGCTTGTGCGCAGTTAGGATCGTTGAGTTTGGGGAAATGGGTACATGGTTTAGTAAGAAGTACAGATTTCGAGTCTAGCGTATATGTGTCTACTGCTTTGATTGACATGTATGCAAAGTGCGGCAGCATTGCAGAAGCACGCCGGTTGTTTGACTTGATGCCGAAGAAGAATGAAGTTACATGGAACACGATGATTACCGGTTACGGGCTCCATGGACATGGACCTGAAGCTCTGAATATCTTCTCTGAGATGTTGAATTCCGGCACTGCACCAACGCCGGTCACTTTCCTCTGCGTTCTTTACGCTTGTAGTCATGCTGGTCTGGTCAAAGAAGGTGAGGAGATTTTCAATTCCATGATCCACCAGTATGGTTTTGAGCCAACGGTCAAGCATTACGCCTGCGTGGTCGATATTCTTGGCCGAGCAGGACATTTGCAGAGAGCATTGCAGTTTATAGAGTCAATGCCTGTTGAGCCGGATCCTTCCGTGTGGCAAACACTGCTAGGAGCTTGTAGGATTCACAAAGACACAAACCTTGCCCGTACAGTTTCTGAGAAGCTGTTTGAGTTAGATCCAGACAATATAGGATACCATGTTCTGCTCTCGAATATTCACTCTGCTGATGGAAATTATCCACAGGCTGCAACGGTCAGACAAACCGCAAAGGAGAGGAAACTAGCCAAGGCTCCTGGTTGTACCTTGATAGAAATCGGTGAGACGCGTCATGTCTTTACTTCTGGTGACCAGTCACATCCACAGGTAAAAGCAATCTATGAGAAGCTGGAGAAGCTCGAAGGGAAGATGAGGGAAGCTGGGTATCAACCCGAGACTGAGTTGGCCTTGCACGACGTGGAGGAGGAAGAAAGGGAGCTGATGGTGAAGTTTCACAGCGAGAGGCTAGCCATTGCCTTCGGACTCATAGCCACCGAACCAGGAACCGAAATCCGGATCATAAAGAATCTACGGGTCTGTTTAGACTGTCACACCGTAACTAAACTCATCTCAAAGATCACAGAGAGAGTGATAGTTGTAAGAGACGCCAACCGCTTCCATCATTTTAAAGACGGTGTCTGTTCTTGCGGAGATTACTGGTAGTGACTTGTTTTGGCCTCGCTCATCGAGCCATCGTGTAACATTACATCACTCGTAGTTGATAATTCTTTACTGACTCAATAAGCCTTTGATTTGTTGTTACAATCTATATGACTAAGCGTAAAAGTTGTAATGGTATACAAAAACGTTGAGGAATATCTTCATTCAGATAATCTATTTCTAGTTACAGATACATAGGAAGGAATGCAAGAAGCATAGTAGAAAAGGAGCTATACAGAGATTTATCAAACAACAGTACAATCATATGTCTTTAAGTTGCAGTTATAGCTGCTGCTGAAACTTCATCATCCGCTGGCTTTTTCTTCTTTTTCGGGGGTGGTTCTTGCGCTTTCCGAATAACTTCCTTGTTTGGCACCAAGACAATAAACAAGTTCCTGTCCCGAAAGTTTTTGCTCTCCTCAGTCGCAAGCTGCAGGTGTTGGCAGGTTTTAGAGAGAAGAACAAACATGCGAATCCAAATCACAAATACAATACGAACCTCCCCAACTTCATTCTGAAAACGTCTGAGAAGCTCAATAGCAATATTTCTGAACTCGTTTTCCCGGCCTTTCATGTTCACAATCACTTTAACCTGAGTGTATTACAAGTCACGCAGCAGCAAAATGTAATCACTCCCGTAAATGTTCCGATAGTAACAAAAAAAGAAAAAAAAAAAAATGGGAGCAACCTTGTCACCGTCTTGCAAAAACTTCCGGGCTGCTCTCATGCGTACAGAATAATCATGCTGATCAATGTTATAACTATCAGGGAAAACAAAAAGGAGAAACCTTTTGAGAAGAAGAAGTTCTAAACAAGCTACAGACAAAAGAGAGAGAGAGAGAGAGAGAGACATAGCTCAATTTACCCCATTTTAAGCTCCTTCAAGTCCATGCGAGTTGCTGACATAAGAACAAGCCTCAGTTACAATCCATTCAGATAAATACAACACAGTAGGTGAGCTTATTGTTTTTGTAGAAAAGAATGATCAATACTCTTCTTCTGCTGTTCCTTCTTCCTTTTCTGCTGTTCGTATCTGTATTTACTGTTAATGAAACAAAAGGAAAAAGGAATCATTATTCTCCATGAAATTTCCCTATACACACAAACCATATAAACATAAAGCAGGCCAAATTTAAGATAGTTTACCTGTAATCCATCATTCTGACAACCGGAGGATCAGCATCCGGCGAAAGAATCACCTGAAAACCAAATCCGGCATACGAAATACTTACTGAAACGACACATAAAAGAAAAAAGATCCTGCATTTCAAGAAGAAATATAATGTAATCATCTATGAGCTTTGAATTTTCAAAGAAACACAAACCAGATCAAGCTCGGCTTCTTCAGCTCTTCGAACCGCTTCCTCCTTGGAAACTATACCAATCTTGCATAGCAAATGGAACTTGTGGTGTTTTAGTAGGCTCCTCTGTTTTGCTGGAATCAATAAGTAAACATGGAGAGGCACTTACCATGTTCTGTTGCCCATCAATAAGCCTGACAGTGGCTGACCTACTCAACCCACAAATGTCCAATACATCAAAAATCAATCAAAATTAACTTCAGCTAGAGAAACTCAATCAATTTGAAGTTTCTACAGTTACCTAATAGCCGAGATATCAAGCGCATCATCATCTTCGGATTCCTTTTGCCTACCTCGCCTATCTCCAGGGAATCGTGAGCCACCGCCACCTCCTCCGCCTCCGTAACGGCAGGTGATGGCGGGGATACGGCGATGATAAAGCTCAAGAGTGACAATAGATGATAATTCGGGCAAAGAGAAACGAAGTCCGAAGAGCTTAGATTTAACAGAAAAGTGCGGATGCGACACCGTATTGGTGGTTCCGGGGAGAATTGCGTTGAACCCGATGGTGCTGGTTATCCCAGCCATGGCGCTTCACAGTCAGAGCCTCTCTACGAATCAAACAAACAGAATAATAATTTTTTTTTAAAAAAAATAAAGCTCTTATCCAGATAATACACAAGATTGCAATCCATAATAATTCTATACTATAATTTATTTCATTTTTTCTTTAACAACTTCTTCATTAATCAAATATGTAAAAAAATCCTTACGAGTGTGTCAGTGTGATAATGTAATTTAGAGTCAAAAGATAACAACTCTCATTCCGCGAATTTCAAATCGTCCAAACCGAAAAGATTATCAATTCCAGCTTGAGTAATTAATTATTATTTTGAAATAAAACTACGAAATAGAAATGTAACTTATAAAAATAACTTCTATTTTTAATTACCTTATTGTAAAGTAATTTAACGTATGATTTTCTTTGATTAGTTTATTTCTTTCCCAAAATGGTTTGGTTGAGGCCCAAACCCTAAAAATGCTTTGGGAGTTGGGACAGAGCTGAAAAAAAAGAAGACAAAAACAGCCTCTCAACGCTCTGCGCCGCGTTCTCTCTTTTTCACACAAACACTCAGGTAAGCGAAGCTTCTTCAATTTCCCTCTTTTGATCATTAGTGTTTTCGCATTTTGTTCCTGTGGGTTTCGTTTCTAACGTCGACTTGATCGCTGTGATCGCTTGTGCAGTCTCATAACCACTCCTTTCTTGTGCCCTTCCTTTACCGCGAAAGAGTTAAGAGTGATGCAGCAAGGTGACCAGTCGGTGTTGAGCTTGAGGCCTGGAGGTGGTCGTGGAGGAAGCAGACTCTTTGCCCCACGCTCAGCCTTATCTTCCTCTTCTGATGTTTCCTCTGATCTTACCAATGGCGGAGCTTCTTTTGCCGTTAAGGTATCACTCTGCTTTTGCCTTGTTCTATTATATATGAGCTGTAAATTTGAGTGTCGGATTCGTTCTTGTGGTGTTGAATTGGGTTATGGAGAAATTTTGCATCTTTTGCTGATTCTTTTAGTTTTGCTCTCTGTTGAAATATCATTCAATGTCCTAATTCTTGGTGGGGCGCTTAAACAATGTGACCTTGCTGTAAATATGGACAAAGATCAATACTTGTAGGCTTTTAGGTGGGCACTCTATTAGTGTTTGATGCTCATAAAGGACCCTACGTACATTCTTGATTTGAGCTCATGCATATATTAATCATCCAACCATCGTTTTTTTTTATCTCGCGCTTATGAATTTTCTGAGGTGTAAGTTTAATGGCTTGTTTATGTTTTGCAGAGGGGAGACTCAAGATTTGATGGTCGTGAGATTTTGCGGTTCACCCGAGAACAGCTGCTTCAGCTTAAAGAGGTAATCAGTTAACTTTGCTTTTTGTTTCTCTGTTTTGCTCTGAGAGGTGTGGTTTGCTCTGCTTTTAATGCCTTCTACTTGTTAGTATCATTGAGGTCCGGAGAAGATTCCTGACAATAGTCCCTCACCATTTCTCTTGTGCAGGCGATGCAAGTCTCTGAAGAAATCCTGAAGCTAAATCAGGAAATTTCATCTGATCTTTTTGGCGAAGAGCAGAGCTGGGGCCGTTCCGAAATTAAGGTGAGTGTTCTCCTTTTTCCTTCTGTTTTTCATTTTCTTTTTCTTTCAGGTTTGTTGAGAAACCAAGGATTTAGATTTCTGTTTTTTTTTAATAGTTTCGTTCTTGTTTGCTCTTTTTCTAGCCTGCAGTTCAAGTTCAGAATCGTTACTCAGAGCCTGATAACCGCGATTGGCATAGTCGTGCACCAATTCCGTCTCCAAGTAAAGAGAGGTCTAGGGAAGACCAGCGCGATGCGCATACTGGACCAATCCAAGCGGTGAGTGTTGACTGTTCTGCCACTTTGTTTTGACAATGCCTTTGTTTGCTCTTGTGTTGTTATTGCATGTAACTAAAATGATAACTCATTGAAACAGTCTGGCCCTCCTCCTGCCCTGGTGAAAGCAGAGGTCCCATGGTCAGCTAGAAGAGGAACTCTTTCGGAAAAGGACCAAGTCCTTAAGACCGTGAAAGGGTATTACATTCTTAATGACTATAATGAGTGTTTTTCTTTTCTTGGGTTTGTTTTGCTTTTGTATTGAATGGTATAATTCTTGTTCTCCGTAGTATCCTGAACAAGATGACTCCTGAGAAATACGATCTCCTGAAAGGTCAATTAATTGACTCTGGCATCACCACTGCTGATATCTTAAAGGTATTTCCCATTTCCGTGTGCATTGGCTTGTATGTAGTTCTCTCTTCATGTCATGATTTGTTCGAATCTTTGAATTCAGGGAGTGATACAGCTGATTTTTGAGAAGGCCGTACTAGAGCCCACGTTTTGTCAGATGTATGCTCTCTTGTGTTTTGATATCAATGGAAAGCTCCCTTCCTTCCCATCGGAGGAAGCCGGCGGCAAAGAAGTAACATTCAAGAGAGTGCTTTTGAATAATTGCCAAGAACAATTTGAAGGCGCTGACAAATTGAAGGAAGAAGTCAGACTGATGACTGATCCATCGCAAGAAATGGAACGCAGGGACAAGGAAAGGATGGCAAAGCTTCGAACACTGGGAAACATCCGTTTAATTGGTGAACTTCTGAAGCAGAAGATGGTGCCCGAGAAGATTGTTCATCACATCGTCCAAGTATTACGACTCGCTCTCTGCTTTTACACTATGAAAAGCTTATTGCATGTGATACTTTTCTGTAGAGCTTATGGTAATTTTGTGTCTTGTCACAGGAGCTTTTAGGAGCAGACAATAAAGCTTGCCCAGCAGAGGAAGATGTAGAGGCTCTCTGTCAATTTTTCATCACCATTGGAAAACAACTCGATGAGAGCCCAAGATCACGAGGTATAAACGACATGTACTTCGTTCGTTTGAAGGAACTAGCAATGCACCCGATGCTAGCGCCACGCATGCGATTCATGGTCCGTAATGTTGTTGATCTGCGAGCTAACAATTGGGTACCAAGGCGTGAGGAGGTAGGAAGTCATAGTACCCGTTCTTATCTATAATTTTGCTTGCAAAGCTATCTATCTATTCTTATGTTTAGTTCTTGCTGTGTATAATGGCAGATGAAAGCCAAGAAAATCACTGAGATTCATTCTGAGGCAGAAAGGAATCTTGGCTTGCGCCCTGGTGCAATGGCAAACATGAGAAATAACAACAACCGTGGTGGTGGTTCGGATGCTGGTGCAGCTGAGATTCTTGGTTCTGGAAACTTCTTGGGACGTTCTGGTACTGGAGGAATGATGCCTGGGATGCCAGGGGCTAGGAAGATGCCGGGGATGCCTGGAAAGGATGATGACGGCTGGGAGATGGCACGGTCCCGCTCCATGCCAAGAGGCAATAGGCAGAATCCTCACCCCGCAGGGCGTGTTCAGTCTCCGGTTATCATCGACAAGTCGCTCTCGGTTAATTCAAGACTGCTTCCTCAGGGCAGTGGAGGTCTCCTGAATGGTAGACCAAGCGCCCTTTTGCAAGGTAGTGGTGCTGAGTTGCCTAAAACTGTTCCTGCCCCGACCAAACCAACTGTGGAGAAGCCACAGGCACAGCCACAGGCACAGCCACAGTCACAGGAGGCGGCTACTCCTTTGGCTACTAGCTTGAACTCAGAATTGCTGAGCAGAAAAACGCACTCGCTTTTGGAGGAATTTTTCAATGTCCGTCTATATGATGAGGCGTTGCAATGCGTAGAGGAACTGAAATCCCCGTCTTACCATCCCGAGCTCGTGAAGGAAGCTATCTCCCTCGGATTAGACAAAAACCCACCGTGCGTTGAACCAGTGGCGGAACTCTTGAAATATTTGGTGTCGAAGAACGTTCTAACTCGTGAAGACATAGGGAGTGGTTGTCTGCTCTACGGGTCTATGGTCGATGACATTGGGATCGATCTGCCAAAGGCACCGAGCAACTTTGGGGAGATCCTTGGGAGTTTGGTGATGGCCAACGCATCTGATTTTGTGGTGGTGAAGGAGGTTCTAGTGAAGATGGAGGATGAGTGGTTCAAGAAAGCAGTCTTGGAAGCTGTGATAAAGTGTGTAAGCGAGCCTCTGTTGGCTACGCAAGCAGCAGAAGTCGAGGCTTGCCGTAGTTTGGTGTAAGCTTTTGTTTGGTTTCTTCCGAGAAAACATGTTTTTGATCAGTTTAAAGTCTTTCTTGAAATCATTTATTGAAATCTGTTGAGTTAATACCATACTTGTAATCGGAATTAGATTCAAGCTTGTTACTTGGTTTTGGTTTTCTTGTTTTGTCTATGTTTTTTTTCTGGGGTACCTTCTACATCTTGGTTTTGAGTAGTTCAAGATGTGCAATACGAAGACATTTATGTTTAATGGTAGTAGTCGTAAAAGTTCTTGGAATGAAAAAAAACGAATTACTATTCAAACATTCAAAATTGTTATTTTTATTTTGGAAAGTATTCAGTTCTCTTTCATTAAGAAAGTGTACCCAAAAAAGAAATTGTTTACTTGTAAAGAAATGTATGGGGTTCGAAAGCTAGACCCTAAACAGTTGGGTGGCATGTTATTTCTAAATTTTAATTTTCTTTCTTAACATTTTAGGGTATTTTTTTAATTTTTGACCGAGTTATATTTGTCAAAAATAATATATGGATCGTAACAACATGTCTCTTCTGACAGTAAGAGATTTTCATTAATGCTTCGTTGTGAGAGATTTATATGAGCAATAATTTACGGATCGTAACATGTTTCTTCTGACAGTTACAGTAAGAGATTTTCTTTTTTTGGTGTCTGCACGAAGTAGAGAGTTGAGAATTGAGATACTTCCCGTTATCACAGTTTGACAAGTGTCAATTTCTAAAGATTTGACATACATGAAGAAATAAAGAAAAGTTCTTACTTTTATTATAAACAATTTGGCGCCACAATTAGGATTATGATCGAAGCTGTAAAGAACCCAATTTTTTAATTTGTAGAGATTGCCGCCAAGTATAAGATAAAACAGTTTTGTTTTTGTTCAACAAGAGTATATATATATATATATATATATATATATATATTCTTGAGTAGAATATAATGTATGGAATTTACAGACCAAGTCAATCATTTTGAAGCGATGATCTCTTTCTCTAAGTCTAGTTTTATAAATACTCATTATTTTCACACGTTCTATCTCATCATTTAGTTCATTATAAATAAACACATATATCTTCTTCTTTTTTTGTCCAAATTGTTTAGATCAAAATAGCAATAATAATAATAGGGAGAGCCAAATGAGTACTTTACTGGGTTTTTTCTGTTCACTAATCATAATCATATTGTTACTCTCTCAACCTTTGCCAATATCATCTGAAAATCAAGAAAACGAAGCCCAAACAGTGACCTCTTTGGGACGAAGGCTTGTACAACACGGCGACTCCAATCCATCAGATCATCTTTATACTCTTCGAGTTTTCATGAGAAAAGGGCGTAGTGGTGGTGGTGGTGGTCGTGGTGGGAAGAGTCGCCGTCGTGTCCCGAGTACTGGTGGTTCCGGTGGTGGTTCGTCGGCCACTACTCGACTTTGTCTCTCGATCACATTCCGTGTCGGTTCCACATTAGCGAGCTCAATTCTGTTGATATTCTTCACATTCTAATTAAATATATTTTTTTGCCTTGTAAATTTCTTTTTTTCTTTGTTTTGTAATGGTTTGTATTATTTTGATTTGTATGTTATTGTTGTTCAATTCTAATTAATGGTGTGGCATGATTTTTGAATCAGAAAAGAAGAAAAAGTCGGGTGTGACTTTGTTCTTTTAATCCAAAGCTAATAAATCATTTGAATTTCTCAAATAAATTGATAGGATGGTGTAATTTAAGAGAAAGAGATTTCGTCCCATCTTGACTTTAGGTCTAGTTCGAGACAGATTTAGAATAAATTGACAGGATGATATAATACATTGACCAAGTTAATAAGTTATATGAGCAATAATTTAATTTATGGAACATGACAAAATGTCACTTCGTGACAGTAAGAGATTCCCATTTCCCACACAAAAAAAAAAAAAAAAAAAACTCATGAGCTGTCTTGATCTCATCAATGCCTTGTTGTGAGTAAACAACTCGAATTTTTTTGGTTGTGTGCACGAAATAGAGAATGAGACACTACTACTTTCTCACAAATCTATAAATCTACACACTCTCATAAGCTCAAAACACAAGATAGATATTTTCTCAATTAAATATAATAAAAGATGAGAACTTCTTCTCTTCTTGGTTGGTTCTTGATCATCTCCCTCTTGCTACTCTCTCAATCCCTCATAATTTCTTCCGAATATCATGAACAGAAGATCACTCCTTTGGGTCGGAAACTAGTTGAACATGAAGAGAACGCCGATGGGTCTCAGTCTCACGGTCATCACCATGACAATCTTCGAGTTTTTGTGAGGAAAAGCAAATCTAAGAAGAAGAAGAAGAAGGACAAATCATCGGCTACTAGAACTCTTCTCTCTAACCCATTTACTTATCTATCTACTGTCGCGAGTTCCTTTGTTTTAATGCTCGCCGCATTCTAATCTGATCCAAGATATTAGCTTGGGGTTTGTGCTTGGTTTTTTTGGTTTTTCACGTCAAATGGTTTGAAATTTGTATGTTTGGTTGCGTTTGAATCTGTTTTATTTTCTTCGGCAAACATTGAGTTTGTAACTCTCTAAATTTGAAAGTTTGTTTGCTCTGTCTATTAATGTGTTTGCATGTTTTTCTTATTTTAATATTGACTGTTCTTCTCATTTCGAAAGTCAAGCCAACGATAAGCGACCAAAGAGAACAATGATTGCTCTTCAATTGTGATAGCCTCTTAAAATATATTTCCGATGCTAAAAACAAAAACATGAACGATCCGACTTTCACAAATTTCCTTGAAGATTAAAAAATTAAAAATGATTAACCCTAAAATATGATAAAGTTGATGAAAAGTATTGAATAACTTAGAGATGTAAAGGCGTTCTTTATGCCATATAGGTTAAAGAAGCAATAACAAATTACAACACAATCTAGTTGCCTTGAAAACCAGAGCTTAGAGATCATTTCTCCAGCATCAAAGGCTTAAGCTGGGGTTACGCAAATAAAACAGAGAAGAAAGATTACCACGGTTGTCGTCCTTTAGATATGTAATGTCTGCATTTGAGATAAAATGTCTTTCTTCTGCAGATCTGGATTCGTTACGACTAGGGTTTGCATCATCTGATGCATCTCATTCGTGCGAGCATTTGCAAACGGAACGACATCAGCCATGTATCCTCTGGACCTGCGCACGTTTATATATACATGGTTAATATAACCATCACAAGTGTTTTATTTCAAAACAAACATTATGTTTGTGAACATACGTACGCCCTAAATGGTCCATGCGTGCGATATCAGCATCGATAAAATCTTTCGTCTCTGGTATTGATATTCCTCCGACCCCGTCATAAGTATAGAGGGGTCGCACCTCGCGTGCTGCTTCAGTATACCTGCGGCTACAGTTAAAAGAAGCAACAAAAAGAGTCACAAAATTATGAATATATATAGCAAATACAAGAAGACAAAACATAGACAAAAAGCCTACTCGAGAAGCAACTTCATGACTCTCTGCCTTTTTAGAAGGTAGAACATGAGGTTTGACTCATAATTTGAATCAATCTTGGTGAAGTCAGAAAGATATGCCTCGGCTCCATCGATGTCGCTACTAACCATTGATGCACATAAGACTTCTATATCGAAGGAACAACAGGAGCAACTGAAGAATGAAGACTAAAATGTGAAAATTCATCGACACAAGAAACTACCAAAGTTCATTCAAAACCAATCAAAGATTTATTCTTGCAACTTACGACGTAGGGAGAGTTGTTTCCGAAACCTGCTTCAGATCAGCGTTCATGGAATCCATTCTACTTTTACATCAAAACCCAAAACTGATCAGGACCCAAAACCCTCAACATTTTTGTGCGGATCAAAGCTAGGTTTGAAAAAGAAACAACATCAATTGAGAATATATAAAAAAAACATTTTTTTTTTTTTTTACCAAAGATGATAAACACAGCCAGGTGGCGATCTGACGACGCAGCAGCAAGAGGAGGCGGATTCTCGGCAAAATCTGCGAGACGTGCACGAAGGAACACGGCGGTGATTCTGATCGGTAAGAAAATGGGCAAGGCCATCGATTTGGTTCAGACTTCTCCCGCAAGCCGATCATAATCAAACCCAAGCCCAAGCCTTGATATGTTTTTGAAACAAAAAAAATATTTTATTTATAATAAAATAATTTAATATACATAAAAAATGGAAAATCAAAAAGTAAATCATCTATTTAAAATAAATTTCATTATAGTTTTTAAATTTTAACGAGATTTCTTTTTTAAAAATAAAACCTTTATAAATTAGTAATGTTGGACTCTCAAATTTTATTAATTTATAGAATTATTAATTAATCGATAAATTAATAATTATTAATTTATCATTCAATTAATATTTTATTAATTAATAGAGATATTTTTAGTTTGAATTTTTAATATTTATAAATAAAAAAATCAATATTTCCAATAATGTAAAATTTATTAAAAAATATCATATAATGAATTTAAAAGATAAATCAAACAAATTTTATAAATTTAAAGCACAAATATTATCATATTTTACTATATTAAATTATTAATATATGTTGAAATATATAATTATTAATTTATATTATTATTGTGACCATATTTTTACATAGAACTTTCAAAAAAAATATTATCTTATTATTTTATCGAATTTTGTTAATTTTTATATTAGTCCGATTTGAGTTCAGCAAAAATTATTAATTTATAGTGATTATTAATTTATCAAATATTAATTTATAAAAATTCTATTGTATTTTTATTGTGTAACATACATGTTGAATTTCAACAAGTGAATAAAGCAGGAGTGAAACAGATATAAGATCGTCCTTTATGTTTTCATCTCTTTCTCATACACTCTCACTCTCTCTATCCCTCTCTATCTTTGTGCAGACATAATCCTATATTTCCTGATACTCGTTGGTTTACTTGATGCCTTAAAACAAGATTTCGAAAGAAATCAATCTTCTTGTGCAAAATCTTTCATGCTCGTCTGCAATGAAGAGATACCATCGAGATTTGTTCCTAATCATCAGCATCGTCTTCATTGCCTTTGCTTTTACAGAAGAACGTCAATGATGTTCATACCAAACTGTCTACGCGGTTCACAAAGGCAACTATAGTTTGCTGAACAACTTCAAAAGCTATACACACATTTGAACTCATATCTTTTTGTTGCAGAGAGACCAATCCTAACTGATAGCAAGAGAGGAGCACATGGAGTTTCGTAGATGAGCAGGGTGAGAGATGTTTATGGAGGTAATTCCATGATCAGACCTAAAAGAAAAAAGAACAGAGCCATGCCCTCCATCACCAAATCTGCTTCACTTGCACTACACGTAACAATTGCAACCCTAGTCCATCATTTCTTGTACTAAAATGTAATCAAGCTCATGGTATAGAGGTGAATACAGAAGAAGTATATAATCTCACCTTCAATATTTGCGATTACATACATCAAAAGGATAACCAATGTATCAACAACACACAAAATGTTTTCAAATCACTTCAGTACACATAATAAGTAAAAAAAAAAAACACACATTGCAAAGCAACTTATTGGGTGACAAAGAGGTGAAAAGTTTCGATTGTGACACAGAGATATATCAAGCGGAGTAGAGAGGACGTCTCGCTTCGTCGAAATACTCTTCTTGGTTCTGAAACACAATCACGTAAATGGCGTATATTATGCCTGGCACGTACCCTAAGATTGTCAGGACCAGACAGATGAAGAACTCCATCTGCATCCATATCAGAGTTCGAAATTTTCAAATTCCTTCAATCCCTTCCTTATTCTACCTCGTTATAAGAACTAATTCGAATTTCTCGGTGAATAAACAGAAAATTGAAAATCTATTCCGAAGAAACTCGAGAGAGAGAGAGAGAGAGAGAGAGAGAGAGAGAAAGAGGACTTACGGTGCAACAGCCATGCCTGAGGCAAACTCCTAGAGGAGGAAGAAGGATCGCGATTAAGATCTCACACAGGATTTCGCACTTGCTCGGCATTTTTTACAGACGATGAGAAGAAGAAGCTTTGAGATGAAATTTGATCTTTATAATGACGAAACAATGGAGAGAAGATCTGTTCTAGAGAGAAGAGCAACTGAAACTTGCCGGCACGGTGTCCCAATGAGAAGCAGTCCACGTCGTAAACAAAACAAATTTAGCGGTATGAAGTCAATCACGAGATCTGAGCCGTTCATTTAAATCCTACGGTTTCAGGTTACGCCTCGTGTATCACTTACCTTAACCCCACTTCATATTTTTTTCATCTCGGCGTGGATAATGAGAACATTTAGGTTATGGTGCAACCAACACACCAGATCATTTTTTGTATCTCCACAAATGGGCCTAGAAGGCCTATCTTCTGTAAAATCCGGGACCGGGCTCAGAATTATACAAAAGATGAGGTAAAACGGTGTCGTACTAAGACTCTGATCACAAGAGAGAAAAAGAAAAATCTGGGAGACCATTACAAAAACAAAAGATGAGATATATACACTCGAGATAAGATATATGTGTTGCATTTCCGTGCCAATAGTGAGAATTCATTCAATAAAATTGGAAATTTTCAAATACATAGGTAAGGAAACAGATTAGATTGCAAAGCAAATTTATTGGGTACATATAAATATGTAAACAGCAACATATATGGACCAACAGATATATAGATCAAGCGGAGTTGAGTGGGGCACTGTAATCCTGAGATTCCCCTTGACGGTTCTGAAACACGATCACGTATAGCGCATAAATGATGCCTGGGATGTACCCTAAGATAGTCAGGACCAAGCAGATCAAGAACTCTACCTGCAAAAACAAAAGCAGAGTGAGAAAACAAAAAAAAAAAAACAAATTCAAAACTCTCTTTATTCCAGATTCTAATCTTTCGGGACATCACCAAATCAATGTATACAATAAGCATTTGTTCCAAGATTCAGTTTCCAAGCTAAAGCTAGCATTCTTACAGTTTCTTGGTACGGAAACAATATTAAATCCGAGAGATAAGAGAGGGAGAGGGAGAGCTTACAGTGCAACAGCCACGTTTGAGGCAAACTCCAAGAGGTGGAAGAAGGATCGCGATTAAGATCTCGCAGAAAACTTCCATGTTGCTCGCCATTGTTTTTTTACAGATATGAGAAGAAACTATTAAAAGATGAATTTGATCTTTATAACGAAATAATGCCACGCTCCTACAGAGTCAACAACGAGATCTGCACCGTTCAGTTTTCGGAATTTTTATAAATCGTACGGCTTTGGTTGCATGCCGACATCACGTTGCCTTACCCCACCACCTTAGATATTTTTTTTTCCATTTCAACGTGGATTATTAAAACACCCAAGATCTCATTTTCAGATTTTTTTTACTCTGATTCGCTCATCTACTGTTAGGTTTTTAAGATCATGTACCCAATAAGACAGTAAATAATTAGACGATGCTGGGGTTGCTTCTGCGGAAAGCTACAAAGGCTACGGCCGATGAAAAAAGAAAGACTAAAAGTCTTAAACCAAAGGATTTGTAGAAAATTTACTTTTAACACATTTTACTTGCCTCTATGATCACAATTCAAACCTAAAGCAACGAAAAACATATAATGTAGTAAAGTGTTTTAATGGAACACAAACAACAAAGACAAAGACAAAAGTAGAAAGCTTTTTGATCAAAACCTGTTTTCAAAATATAAAAAAACCATCACCATCCCTCTCTGGGATTACCCGGTCTTGACATGCGTAGAATAGCCATAGGGAAGCTGAAATTGGGCTTATTGATCTCTCTCAAACTCTTCAGGCTCGAGGTACATACTGTTATCTCCTCCCTCCTCAATGATATACACCCGTATAAGTCCATGTACTCTAGACCCACACATCCTTGGCAAACCGAGGCAAGGCCTTTAGCGGTCAACGTGGTGTACCGAAACTCAAGGTGTTTCATCTGAGGCATGTGTCTCCCAATGATCTCAGCCTCCACATTCGCGTGTTTAGGATAACTTGCGAGATACTCGAGTGGCGCGATAATTATAGGCATGTGGGGATCTAGCCGAGGATATAAATTCCGCTTAAGAACCTTGAGGTTTTGGCAGTTCCTCCCAAACATCACCAGAGACTCGTGAGATATACCATAAGAGTAGCTCAGATCGAGTTCCCTAAGGTTTGAACAGTTTGAAGCTATCTTCATCATCGATGCATCTGTCACATTTGGACAGCTCTTTACCCAAAGCAGCTCTAGTTTTGGGCACCTACAAGGGTATATATGAATTACGAACAACGACATTCACTTTGATTTATCAACAAAAAATCTGATATCTCTTAATGTTACAAAATCCTGCAAATATAGCCTAACGTACCTCTCGGCGGCGTAAGATAGAGAGAGATCCGTACAGTGTCTGGTCCGAATCTCTGTGAGGCCGCCTTGGCTCCGATCGACAACAGATCGGAGGTAGGAATCGACCTTTTCCTCAAACTCGGGATTCCACCAGTTGATCGACTCGGGGGATGACTGGAATCGAGTTTCGAGATCGAAGATGGTGTTGAATGAAGGGTCATGGCATGCGTTCATCCACGTCTTGCAGACCAGCACCGGTCCGATACATCTCTGCTCATGGCTCAGCCGTGACAAGACGTCGACAAGGCATTCTCGAGTCAACTCAGCCCAGTTAGGGACGAGTCCCGATCCCATCTCTAGCCTTTCTCCGTCGTCGTTGACTTCCATTTAGATGGAGAGGGCTTTGGTCGCTTTGAGTAATGACTAAAATGAGTTCGATTGATTAGTCTTCAGGAGTATCTATCTTTAAATGTTTGACTTTTAGCTCTATTTCTCAGCTGACCATGACTGAGTCATTTTAAATATTTTTAGACTATTTTCCTGAAATTTTTGAAATAGTGGAAAGATGCAAATTTGTGTTTGCAACTTAGCATGCAACAAAAAAAAAAGACGATTATTTTATCCCTTCGCCATCATGAATCTGCCAAGCTCGAAGATCTTCTTCTCCAACGCTAGTTCGGTTAAAAAAAGCTAACTGTTCAGCTCCTCTGTTTTTTAGCTCCCTCTGTTTTTGCTTCCCTTCTTTTGCATTTAAATTGTATAATTAACCTTCTTTTTTTATTTAATACATAACATTCTTTTTAAAGTATTGCCGAATGTTGATTTTATTTGGTTTCATAAGAGTGTGGAAGATTTGATTTCCTCTGGTTACACATCCATCTCTCTACTTTGTTGTAACCTTCGTCAGCCCACAAGGCATCTTCACTCTTGCAATAAACATCACAGTAGCTACAGATAAACCTCCTTGTCATTAACTTTAGTCCTTAAACTTGTGTGAATCTTTTCCAGCATGCTTTTTAATTTTATTCCCTTTCTCATTTCAAGAGTGTTAGAGTGTTTGGGTAATTTTTGTATACTTAACATTCTCCTTAAATTTAACTAAGAGACAAATTAGATAATAACCAAAAGTAACTTGTTCCATACGAAAGTGGTGAATAAATCACCAAGGCTTGGAGAATACGAAAAACAGAGAGCAGAACTAAAAGCAAAATCAGAGTCTTAAACGAAGCAGAGACCAACAAAACAAACACAGAATGGAAGGAAACATTACACATGAGAACTATATGATCAGAAGAAAAAAACTGTAAAAACTGGTTTCTTGATCTCCTTCAAGTTCTTCAAACTCGAGATATGGTTAGTAACACCATCGCTAGTCAGGTTCCGACACCCGGACAAGTCCAAATACTCCAGCTTCGAACAACCACAGAGATGGAGAAGACCTATATCCGTCATTGTAGAGAATCGAAGCTCCAGGTGCTTCAGCTGACTCAAGTGTCTCCCAATTGCACGAGCATCAAAATTCCCTAAAGTGAAGAAAGTTGCCTGCAGATAGGTATTAGGCACGAACCTCGAGCGAAACCTCGTCGTGACGACCTCCGCAGGATCCATCATATTCCGTTTCAGGATCTCAAGATTCTTACAATTCTTACCGAGCATTTCAATACACTCGCAAGATATTTCACAAGAGCAGCTTACATCAAGTTCCTTAAGCTTAGGGCAGTTTAAGGCTATCTGTCTCATCGACTCAATTGTAACGTTTGGGCTATACTTAACCCAAAGCACCTCAAGATTAGGGCACCTGCATAATCAAGTTCACATTTTTTTAAAATGTGTACCATCGATATCACTTTAATACTATTTCCATCAAATGCTTGCAAAATGGCTGAGACCGTACGTACCTCTCCGCGACGTACGAGATTGATTGGTTAGTACAATGCCTGACCCGAATCTCTTTGAGACCGCCTTGGCTCAGATCGACAACAGAACGGAGACTTGAGTCGATGTTTTCCTCGAATTCAGGACTCCAGCAGATGCTCGAGTCGGTGGCAGACAGAAACCAAGCTTCGACGTCGAAGACCGAGTTGAGAGACGGGTCTCGGCAAACGTTCTTCCAGTTCTTGCAGACCAGCATCGGTCCAAGCCATTTTTGTTCCGTGCTCAGCCGCGAGAAGATGTCGATGAGACACTCCCGAATCAACTCAGACCAGTCAGGGCCGCGTCTCGATCCCATTTTGATCGAGAAGGTGGAAAACTCTATGAAAGAAGAAGATTGTGTGTTTGAGTATTGAAATACGACAAATAAGTATAGAAAGAGGTTCGGTAAAACAGAGTAACAGAGCCATGGAAAGCAAACATAAAGAACAGAGCAAATCATATTGATATGTATCTTTCTTCCGTTGTCGACTTTCGTTAGACAGCGAGATGAGGAGTACGGATAGTCTTCTTGCGACCAAAGGAAGACAAAAAAAGGAGTTTCTTCTAAGAAATCAAATGTTTTGACTTTTTAGCTGACCAATAACAAGCCAAATATGTACATGTTTCAAATTACTATTTTGAAGATTTTCCATGCAAAACTTAAGACAATTTCTCTAAATTCATTTAAAATCATAAAATTTTCTTAAAAAATCTCAAATTATTATTAGTTTAATATAGATCCTGAGAAATTTTAAGAAAAATTTTAGCAAAACAACTACATAATATTGATTTTTTTTTTTGTTGATTACATGATATGTTTATTCATAAAATAAATAAGTCAAAAAATACCTTCAATGTGATTTCCTTCACTTTCAACTCATATATCTGAGCAGAACCCAAAAAAGAAAAAGAAAGAGTTCTAAAACAATTTTTTGTGTTTAAAATATGAAAATTATATAAGTATTTATATAGTTTTTTTTTAAATAAACAAATACGTCTGAAAAATAGAAACAAAATAAAAATCATTTGAAGCCATAAATTTTATTAAATGCGTTGAATAAGTTGTAAAATATATCTTTATGTTTTACAATTATTCAACGTACATTATAAATTTATTCAATACACATTATAATATTGAACTATATAAAGTTATTCAACATATTTAATAGTATACCTTAAGTTTAGTACTAAGGAATAGTAAGGCTTGGTAAGAGTTGTGGTCAAGCTTATGGAGTCTCTATAATCCATTGTATATTCATCTTATTAGAATGTTTGGAGCTTGTTTCTAGCAATATCCTTCTTGAAGTTATCTTTTATATGTAGACTGTAGTTGTTGTATATATAAATAAATAAGTTATTATCAAACCAATCACCAACAAAATCAGACAATATATAAATAAATTTAAAACCAAAAAGCTCAACTGATTTTTGTTTGAACCCAACCAAATAAAAGAAAGGATTCTGTCAACACAATACAAAATGAACTCAATCAAATAATAAAGCTGTGAAATTTGGTTTCTTGATCTCCGTTAAATTCTTCAAACGCGAGGTACTGTTAGTAACACCATTGCTAGTCAAGTTCCGACACCTGAACAAGTCCAGATACTCTAGATTTGAACAATCTCTACTGAGAAGGACAAGAACCATATCAGTCAATGTGGAGAATCGAAGCTCCAGGTGCTTCAGCTGACGCATGTGTCTCACAATTATATGAGCATAAAGTGAAGAGAGATAGTGTTCAAAGGAAATTAGAAGAGAAACCAAGTCTGCAATCTCGTGAAGAGAGAGTTCTAAAACAATTTTCGAATTTGCAATCGGAAAGTTTTACAATCACGTATATAGTGTTCAAAGGAAATTAGAAGAGAAACCAAGTCTGCAACCTGAGCAAGAAAGCAGCAAAATATAAAGCAATAAAACCAAACTATGAATAGATCCTCATACCCTTGATAGTCGCATTCTTCAAGCTGGAGAACTGGGTGGCAATATCACGGGATGCTAAGTTCCAACACCCTAATATGTCCACGTACTCCAGATTCGGACATCCTCTACACAATACGACAACAGACTCGCGAGTTATTGTGGAGTATTGAAGCTCGAGGTGCTTCAGCTGAGGCATGTGTCTCCCTACTGCTATAGCAACTCTATCCCCTAAGCTTGGTGGAGCTGGTATGTCCGAATACAGCAATGGTACTAGCCCTGTGTGCTCGAACCTCGTGAACTCGGACGGATCCACCAGGTTCTTCTTCATGACCTGAAGATTCTTGCACTTCATACCAAACATTTTCAGAGACTTGTGAGATATACCATAAGAGTAGCTTATGTCAAGCTCTCTAAGCATTGGACAATTTGAGGCTATCTTCATCATCGATGTATCTGTTACGTTAGGGCAGTACTTAACCCAAAGCACCTCAAGATTAGGGCATCTGCGAGATGAAATCACTTTACCACCAAAAGACAGAACAGAGCTTACCATATGAAGTAAGGAACCTGATAGTTACCTCTCGGCGACGTATGAGAGAGATTGATTGGTACAGTGTCTGACTCGAATCTCCGTGACACCACCCTCGCTCCGATCCACAACACAGCGGAGGATTGAGTCGACTTTAGCCTCAAATTCGCAAGTCCACAAGTCGATCGATTCGGGGATCGACAGAAACGGAGTTTCTAGATCGACGATTGTGTTGAGAGACGGGTCTTGGCATACGTTCATCAAGGTCTTACAGACTAGCATCGGTCCGGTCCATCGTTGTTCCATGGTCAGCCGTGAGAAGATGTCGTTCAGACATTCCCGAGTCAGCTCATTCCACTCAGGGACGAGTCCCGATCCCATCTCCACCCTTGTTTCGTCGCCGTTGACTTCCATCACATAGAGAGCTGCGTCGTCTGGTGTGCCAATCAAGAGACTTCATACAGTGATAGGTCGATTAAAATATGCAATCTCATTTCATTTACCCACTGAATCATAATAGTAGAATGATATGTAGATTAAAATTTTCACAATTTTATTGTTTATTTAACTAGGTTCTTCTAATTATTGCCCAAAATGGCAAAATCCGATAAGGAAAACCATAAAACATAAACACATGAGATTCTGTAATCACCATATTGGATTTAAAGGATAATGCTGAAACTAGGACAAGAGTTGTTGTCATATGAAAGTGTTGGCTTTCTAACTAATCAAGGCTTGTATCTATACTTGTATATATAAAAACCCTTAAAAGCATATGTGCAAATTGGGGCTAAATCGTTATCTCGATCCTACTTCACATTCTTACTTAAAACATCAAACACTTAAAGCCACTGGATCTTGCCATGAAACCTTCCTCTTCACTGCTCTATGTAACTCTTTCTCCACGTCTCTGAAAATCGGCAGCTTCATCTCGCAATGCAGATCATCGATTCCATTACCAAGCATTGCCTTCTTTGTCGCTTCCGCGAACATTTGTTCACCATTCACTTCCGGCTCCTCTTCTTCTCTCTACAACCAAAATGAAATAAACCCACAAATCAAGTCAAAGTTCTGAATTCTCTAAGACTCCAACAAAAGGAAGAGCCTAAAAACATCAGAAGTTGTTTGCCTTTACCGAGATCTGGTTTAGGTCAAAGCCTGGGACTTTGTTGGTGGTGACAAAAGTGTTCCCATCTCCGTTAAGATCAGGAAGTGGAACGGAGTTTGTCATAACCTCGATTCCTCTGCTCCTTTTCGGATTGTTTTCCAAGTCACAACTTGCATTATTATTAGCCAGTGCGTCCTTCTCATTGCAGATTGTATTCCTCTGTTTCAAATCAGAACACGTCACAGAGGCTCTCGGAGCAGAGTGCTTCTTTCTTTTGAGACCTGGTTTACTTGGCACCTCTAAATCCCCAGATTCTGACAATCTCGACATCCTCGGATTGGTTTCAAGAGTTTGGTCTTGCTTCAAGTGTTTGTGTCTACGCCTCAAGAACCTATCGTTTGATCAAAAACACAGTATGCTAATTCAATGTACTAAACAAGCCAATTAAACGTTGGAGGAATGTGCTTGAATCATGTAATTTATATAGCAAACACAGAATTCACATGAAGATCAAGAGATTATACCTAACTTCTGCCTCGAGGGTCAATCGTCTTTGTTTCATCATATCTAATTTCCTCATCTTAAACTCTGTTTCCTGAGAAAGGAAAAAAAAATAAGAAAGCTAAAAAAATCAAACCTTTTTCTTATTTCTTTCTATTTCTCGTTTAGAATCAAATCAACCGAACAATCCCAAATCCAAACTTTTGACAGATCAGAAGAAGACCCAATTCGCAAAGGGCGAAATCACCAGATCCAGAGGAAATTGAAACAAATAAGGAACGCATGAATCTCAATTCAAAACCCTAATTTACCTTCCGCAACTCCTGATAGTCCTGCATAAGGATTTGATGCTTGAGCATGATCCTGGGATCGCCACGCGAAGAAGAAGAGACGAAATCAGTCGTGATCTCCTTCATCGGATCCGCTCAGTCGAAACCTAAGAATCGCGGATACAAAAAGAACACAGGAGCGAGGGAGAGAGAAAGAGAGAGGAAGAGCGAGAAAGAAGCCTTGAAGGGAGAAGAAAGAAGGAAGAGAAGGGGCAAAAGGGATTAGGTTTAATGGTGGGAGTCTTATTCCTTGTATGAAACTCTGACCAAAGACTTGAGAAACCACAAAGAAGCCACCACATAATTGTTGTTTGATTTTGGGTGCCCATTACAATTGGATTGAAATTCTTGTAATTGGAATTAAAATTCGATTTTCTCTTTTCTTTTTCTTTTTTTTTGTAAGAGAGAGTCTATGAGACAGAGCAGACAAACATCAGAAAACTAGGAGTAGTGATCAAGATGGAAAAGGGAGAGGAGAGATAGAAAAGGAACAAAAAAATCAAAACTCTTTTTCTTTGTATTTACTTTTTTTCTATGTTGTTGTGTCCTTTTGGAAGTTGCAGAAGGGCATTGAAATGCTGGCCAATTAAAGGTTCTATCTTTATTGTGTTTATATTATATGATTTAGGATTATGTGTTTGTGAGGTGGATTTGATAGTTGGTAGTATAAAAATTTGAATTAAAAAGCACAACTGGGCCATTGAAGAGATTAATATTGTGAGGAAAATTTAGAGAAAGATATTAGAGAGATTGAAAGCAAAAAAAAAAAAAAAAAAAAAAAGAGATGGGATGAAACAAACAGTGAAACAGGAGAAGAAGAAAACTATGGAGGAGATTGAAAAGAGAAATGATTTGTGTATGTATGTATATATTTGCCTGATGCAGATGCCAGATTGATGCCACATAGTCACATAATTCTCAAAGGACCCATCCTGAGAAATTGACTATTATACCCTTCCAATCAAATTTTGTTTTGCCACAAAGTCAATATTCAACCTCTGATTAACTTTACGCTGTCTAAAATTATTTCTAGTTTTTCTTTTTTATCCAATTATTTATAGTTAACCGATTAGAAGTTTAGAACCTAATCAACTGTAATTTTAGTTGTTAAATTAATTTTTTTAACAGCCCTAACTTGTGTTTATTCTCTTTATTTTTTAATTGTGGTTTAACTAAATAGTATGACTCAAGCTCAGGTATAGGGACGAGACTGGTCATTGTTTCTATGGGAGGGGTAAGTCAAACCATGTTAATTTGGTAAAGGAGAAACCTTGTTAAATGTTTCTGTTGATTTCTCTAGTTCATTACAAAGAGAGACTAGTTTGAAAATTGACCAAAAAAAAAAAAAAAAAAGGGAAAGGTGGGCTGCAAAAAAGAAAACACATTTTGAGCAAAGGAATTTCCTGTAAACCCATTAAGCATCAACGGAAGCCCAATGTTATTTACAAGCATCAATCTAAGCCCAGTAAACTCATTAAAGGATACTCATGTATGATGATGATGTGGCATTATATTATTGGTTAATAGAAAATATCTCCTTCTTTCTGTTTATCATCTCGAATTCGAGATACTTTCTCTCTCTACTCTCAGGAAATCAATGGCTTCGACGGCTACGACAACTGATTTCTTCAAGCCTTTCCTCTCCTCTCCTTTCTCCAATGGTTAGTTTCTGAAATTTCTCTGGGAGCCTCTCTCTCTTTCGGGTTATGTGCTTGAGTGTGTGAATAGCACTGTATGTTTCTCAATCAGATTTTTTTTTTTTTTTTTTTTTTTTTGAATATGGAGAAGGAGAAAGTGTCATTTACATGCGAGCTTCTCTCAACTATACAATTCTAGATTCGTATAGCTTAACCATCTTCGGCGCCCTTGGGGTGTCGGATTTCATTTTCATATTCCGGGATTGTAAATTCGAGTATCTTTGGTAATTTCAGGGAATGTGGCGCAACGAGGTAGTAGACAGAACGTGGTATGGTTAAATCGGAAGAATCCTGGGAATTACAGTAACAGGTCTCTTCGTGTTAATGGATTATTCGGAGGCGGGAAGAAGGACAATAACGAGGATGGGCAATCAAAGGTACATGTTCTTCTAAGGTTCATGTCATAAAGTCTAGTAACAACACATATCTTGGCACCCAAAAGCTTCTTCATTTAGAAGGCTATCTTCGTCACTGATGTGTTTGTTATTGCTTCTTGTATTTGTCGTAGGCAGGAATTCTTGGTAATATGCAGAATCTGTATGAGACTGTGAAGAAAGCTCAGATGGTTGTCCAAGTCGAGGCTGTTCGGGTGCAGAAGGAGTTAGCTGTGTATGTCCCCATTAACCCAACCATACACATTTTACTCAATTTTTAAGTTTCTTCTTGTCTCAATGTGTTTCATGCTGCTTTTTGTTTCCATTTTTCTCAGTGCTGAATTTGATGGTTATTGTCAAGGCGAGCTTGTCAAGGTATTACAGACTCTTTTGTTGTCCATATTGATCATTACACACTTTGTCAGCTTTTTTTTTAGAATTGAGACCTGTGCTGTCTGATTTATTACTCAGTCAATCACCGTCCTATGTTTACTTTTATTCTCTCTCTTTATGTGACCTGAAAGTTTGGATTTTTATCAGGTTACATTATCGGGTAACCAGCAACCAATCCGCACTGATATTACTGATGCAGCAATGGAATTAGGCTCCGAAGTGAGTAACCTTTCACTTTAAGTTTCTCTTGCACTTGCTTCTACAAAGGAATGATCAAAAGCTATATTCCTTCAGCTTCTCTGATGTTTCATGTTTTCCTTTGGCAGAAACTATCTCTACTTGTCACAGAAGCATACAAGGACGCACATGCAAAGAGTGTACTGGTAAAGAAATCACATACCGTATTTTAGGATACAACTATCGGTATTCATTTTCTTTCATCTCTTGCTTATAGAGCTTTTCCTATTTCACAGGCTATGAAAGAAAGAATGAGTGATCTGGCCCAGAGCTTAGGCATGCCTCCGGGCCTCAGTGATGGATTGAAGTAACTAAACCATTTTTTTTTACACTCAACTTTAAGGTATGAGAAGTCCAGTTTGTTTTTGTATATCAATCAGGCAGAAAGAAACTAGAGCTCTCTACTCTACTCTAATGAAATCAGAGAAAAATTAATATTTGAACCCTTGTACTTCTTTGAATATCAACATTTCCTCGAATGCTCTTAAGTCGTTTTGTGATTTTTCCAAATTGTGGAAATGAATCAAGCTCTAAACAGAAGAAAAAAGAAAACAGTAATTCCAAGTTTACTCGGAATTGGATCCTAATCTGGTAGCCGAATGGTGCTTGTGGGGACAGTTTCTCTTACTCTATGTTTTTAGGTAACTAATAAGATCCTGGAAGCTCTTTTCCAGCCAAGAACGATCTGAAAAGAATGAGAGCACGCTTCGGTTCGAACAGAGGCACCTCGTGACCCGCCCCTCTTACTGTTGCAAAGGTCAGTCCCTTGTAAACCTCCGTCCATCCTCCCACCTGTCGCCAACGTTTAACGTCACTGCCTTGTATATATATATATATGATACGTATCCATGTATATATATTATACCTGGTTACCGGAGTACCAAGGGTACCACCGAGTCTTCACGGGAAGATTGAGATGGCTGAGGGAGAACCGTGTCGCCGTCACTGGAACCACCGAGTCTGTATCACCACTGCATATGACAGTATAGTCCATTGTTTTGTTTAGTACCCAAAACAGTGAGTGTGATGTTTTACCTCCAGTTACATGAAACCATTGTTTACCTAAAAACCCAGATCCTCAAACCAGCCGCTGCAAGTTCCTTGTATACAGGCAGCATCGTCTTGTCAGAATCTCTCCAGTTCTTGATCAGAACATCACTGCACCATCCCAAGACAAGAGCAAAGAAACCGTTCTTTCAGGAACAGTTATTTTTTTCCGAATTATCATTATAAAGTCGTTGTCAAGTGGTGAAGCAAACTGTTTACCTGCAAGCTGTCCATTTATAGCGAATCCCAGTGACGTTAGCGTGCATAGCTCTCTGAACATCACGACGGTTGTAATACTTCTCTGCGTAACTCTCCGTACAAGGATCGTAACCAGACACGAACCGTCTACGCAAGAGTGTGTTCTTCATCCGTATAAAGAAACCAGTCTTCTTCTGTTTTGATGCCACGCACGTTGGGGTGTAAATGCTGTACTGGTCAATGTCACCGAACTCGTGGTTCATGGCGTAGTTAACGGCGGTGTCGCAGTCGTCGGAAACTTTCTCAACGGTGAAATTGCAGTGCTTGAGAATTGACTTGTAGGTTTGGTCGGAAATAATTGCGTGGGTCCACCAGTAAGCTACGGTTCCTATGCTGTCGTACTCATTGTCCGTCACTGCGTTTCCCACCTTGAGAAATAAGGATGGTAATCTTTCGTTAATTACGAATTCAGCCCATATCTTATTTTTCTGAGCTAGATAGTCCCTTTCCTAACTTTATTTATTATTACCATGAATCCTTTGAGATTGAGGATGGGTTTTGAGAAAGCTTTGTTGTAGTCATGGATCTTTTTGGCAAGCTGAGGAACATAGTGACCTGTCAAAATAATAATATAGATGTAGAAATTTATCAATAGGTATTCAGTATTCTTGAACCTTTAACCGAATAAAACGAACCAAACTATAACTTGGTCCAATTCCTCTTAATAAAATTAACTTGTCAAAAATTCAAAACAAAATAAGAATTTTCAGATTATATTAATATTAGCTAAATCTAAGTCAAGCAATACTATTATGTAATGACATACCGGCGTAACTTTCACCAGCGATGTAGAAGTCTCTGTATTTGTATTGAGGAAATCTCGATAACCATTTGATAAGAAATATCAAATTGTCTTGAGCTGTGTGATACGGAATGTAATTTACAACATAAATCAATTTACTTAACCAATAATGAGAATAAAAACTGATCATGCGGTCGGTTTTATGATTGAATGACACAAAATGAGTTAAAAAAAAATGGATTGAACCTGTTCGTTCGTCTCCGGAATCTTTAAGATCGGAGCTTGTGTTCGTGTAAGAGAATCCAACACCAGCCGGTGATTCCAAAAACAGGAGGTTTGCATCTGTTATAAACATTTAGAAAACCAAGGTTAAATCAAATAGTTCACATGATCTTGGAGATTCCTTACATATATAAAAAGTAGAACAAAATGATTGTAATTAAATTCTGTAATTACCTTTGTTCCAAGAGAACTTGTTGAGATAGAGATTGGAACCGGTTTTGTTGATACGGAACGGTCCAATTTCCTCGGAAGCTCCATAAGCAATCGATGAGCAGCCTGGTCCTGTGGATTTTGTTTCGTATATATAAAATGATCAAATGTTATCTTTCCTTCACTGAGCGTTATTTCTTTCAAACGATTTCATCAATATCATTTATCCTCTTTTTAATATACTAATGAATAGCAATTTTTGTGATATTGATGAAATCGTTTGAAAGATAATGATATGCAAATTTCTCCATTTCAATTTGTCTATTAGTTTCTTTTAAATTTTATCCAACCAAAAATTATTGATTAACTTTTGAGAAGTTGGTCTATATGTCGAAGAATGTGACCCAAACTATGCCCTGTTCTGTTCGTGCATGCTCCCATTTTCTCCCTACCAATGATTAAATTAATTAAAAAGTCCAATAGCCAAAATTTTCAAAGATTATCTGATGACGCTAATATTTCTGGACCCGGAAGGAAAAGGTTCTATATACACTATATATATATTTTTGTAAAAGCATTAATATTGTGGAATTTCTTGAATAAAAGCACGCACATAAAGAATTTTTTTTTGTGAAAATACACACGCGGCCGTGAATGTGTGGCTGTGTGTTTAGACAACTATAGAATGCATCATCATTTTCGTCAACAACTTGTGACCTCCATGAACACGCATGCTCTACTGAAACAGTTTTGTTTTCTTCTAGCAATTCCCGAATTTTATTGTTATTATTATTTTTATATAGAAAAACTCCACTATTACTACGCCATTAGGACAATACAACGTTGAACTTAAGGACTTTGACACAAAAAGAGAAGAAGAATTTTTTTGACAAAATGAGGTCAACTTTTCTATATTTTTCCCATTACAAATTGCAAGAAACAAACCTAACAAGAAAAGAAATATTAAGTATAAATATTAAAAGTAGTAAGTAAGCTTTTTGGTAATGTGTATGTATTTTTGTTTATCCAAACAAAAAAATTGATCTAATTATTTATAAGCAGCAAAAAGGTAATTTCGTTGTCATGCTTTCTTACAGAAGCCTACGAAGAGACAGAGGAACAAAATTACAAAGGCATCTAAAAGAACAAGTTGATGCCTGATAGTGACAAGAGAACTCTCAACATATAATAATTTCGTAGAAGAAAACTACATTTGATTAGGCTACTCATGTTTTTATGTACTTATATAATTGCATTACGACTAATATTATTTTTATTGGATTTCTTGGGAAATAAGATACACATATTTTCATCACAAATTAGCGTAACAAATTATTAACAAAGGGTTTATTAGACTTCACGAGGTCCCACGTGGGCTTTTAGTTAACCCTGTTACATTTTTTTCTTATGGCTATAGTTGTATGCTATTTATAGTCAAATATAGTAAGCCTTTTCAAGCATCGCCTGCATGATGAGGATGTATATGATCCAATTAATTTTTAAGTGTATCTTAATGGGAGATAAGAGCTTTTACTCCAATGCGCGTGAGTACTAGAAATGGGTAGGAATGGTAGATTGCACAGAGTACGAAATCCGAAGCTCGTGGAGGAAGAAAGAAAAAAAACAGAAAGAAAAAAAAAAACAGTTAAATAAAGATGAAAGAGATAAAGCGAAGGAGTGCATGTTCCATTAATGAGAGGCAGATGGGGTGGTTGATATGCTGCTATTGCTATTTTGGTTCGACATTGGTTTGTTTTTATCCAAAATAACGATTTTTGCTTTATGTTAAAATAAATACACAAATTTGTAATGCCTAATAGATATATATGTCTTGTTTGGTCTCATAATTTTTCGTCTTATCAAATTGTTTCGGGACCAAGTGTTTATTTTCTCTGTCTTTACTATTTCCTCTCCTTGTCCAAAAAAATAGGGACTGTACTTACTGAATGATATTCTTTGATGCACAATCTTTTATCCCATCCTTGAATAAATGGGGCTTCCATTTGGTTTTTTATTTATAGAAAATGCTATTTATAAGCGTTCTTTTAGTTTAGTTTGGTTTTGATCTTTATAAATGATTTTGATTGTAAGAAGATTAGTCATAAAGAAGCAAGGAAACCCCTAAATTATGTGTAAAACTAAACATATACGACTACCAAAAGCTACAGAAAACAGATATAATTTGTATATGTATACGAATGATTTGAAGTGGAGAAAACTGACCTCCATTGAGCCAAAGAAGAAGGGGTTTAGTGTGAGGAGATGGAGAAGATGACTCAGTGAGCCAATAGAAGAGATAACGACCATGAGACTCGTTTACATTGACATAGCCTGAGTATTGTGAGAATGCCACTGTTGGTTGCCCTGGAAGTGCTTTGATTCTGTCCTTCTCTTGCTCTCTTGAAGGCAATGATGATGATGATGACGACGTCTTTAATAAAAAAGCCACAAGAAGAAGAAAAATGAGATAAGTTCTTGCCATTTCGTGTCCTCTCACACTCTCTCCACTTTTCTTCTTCAATGGGTTGTGTGTTAGGTCATAATAGTATAGGGAGATGTATATATGTTTGTATGTGTGTATTTATATAGTGTGTGAAAGTAGATAGATGTATGGATATTGATGGATGTGGTTTTGGGGGTTCTTATTTAATGTATGTTTTGCTGAGTTACTACATAATGTGTAGGTTGTTGGCCAGCTGTGAGTGGACCTTTCTCACTCTCTCTCTTTCTCTGTGGTAATGTATTTATTGGCATATATATATGAGTATATTTAGGAACTATTCACGAGCTTTTATACATATAGCCAACGTAGGGACTATTCACGAGCTTGTATAATACAACACTCACCTATACTGATTTGTAATGTTTGGGCTTGTTTTAGTTGTGGTATTGCTTCTCCCACATAAAATTGTGTCGTTATCTCGTCCCCGAACACATATAAGGAAAAAGAAAAATTGGTTATGTTTTGAATGGGTTCGAACTAGTTAACTTCTTTTAAAAAATTAGTTCATTTTTGTAAATAAACCACATAATATTGATCACATATTGAACCCTGTTTTCTTTTTTTTATGCATAGACCGCATCAACCATACTGTTTACTACTACAACTGTTCAGAAGTTAAAAGGTGTTAAGAAAAATTGATATATATGTATATATATATATTCATGTGTAGCAATTACTTTTTAAGTGTTTATATATGTAGAACAGTTGCTGCATTGCTAATACTCGATGGCAAATTTGGATCTTGAATTCAGAAGAAGATATGATTTAGAATTTAGAATCAGAAGCAAATCAAAGCCATAAATGCAATACTGCACAATGTTTATTTTATCTCCTCCTCCTCTCCTGCATGTTATGTTTCTTACTTCTTAGCTGCTTACATGGTAATTAGGCGTAATTGATACACTTCTGTCACACAGTTCTCTCAATATTAACTTTTAGGTGGTTTTAAGAAAAGAAAAAAAATTATTTGACTGTCTCAATTGTTTGAATACAGACAGAATCAATATACCCATAATTGCTGATTGGTGATCAACTAGGGGGACATTAAAGTCAAAAGCTCTGTAGCACGTTTGTTCGTGATGAACAACAAAGAAAATACACAAACTACACTTATTTACTTTGAATAAGTATAATAAAAAATGAAAGTGTAAATACCACAAGATAAACAAAGAAACAAACACACACAATGGATTATGTGGGATAATAATGATAACTTGTGTATTTTATCAGTCAGCAAATGTTCAGCACTTGCCTTGCTACTGTTATTTGTAAACTTCAATTTGTCTACATATAATTTTTATAGTATAATACTGGATTCACATGTTTTTTTAACTGCTTTTCTTTAAACGACAAATAACAATATTTTAAAATTATTAAGCTAGCATGTAATTCAGTTGACAATCTTATTGGTTATATATTGAGCTGATAATGTAATACACAATGTTCTTCTTTTTTTCTTTTTTATTTGGTCAAAACACAATGTTCTTCTTTCTTAATAAAATTTAGGCTTTCGATTACATGATTTACATCATTAATAGTATAAGTAAAATATTGTGTATTTTTGTCAAATCATTTTTGAGAATTTTGTTCAATTTTTCATGATCCGAGTTGTGGTCAACACAAGTAGTTAAAGATCACTTCTCCAGCAGACCAATTAAATAAGACTATATATGAACAATCAAGTCTTCTGAGAATTGACATATAAAATAATATAGTTCACCGTCTATTTTATAATATTATGAAGAGACTATTACGATAACTCGGCAAAAGCTTCAGTTGCGTTGTGTCGTAAGAAATGAGTGGTCCAAATCGATCCCCCAAAAGCTAGTAGACCATGTCGGATATATCTACAAATATTTCTTCAGAAGAATGAAAACACCTTTTGTTCTTTTTTCTTAATTAATTATGCTTGGAAAAATTTGGTGATATGACTTACGATTTTAGGTTGTCATTGTATTGGTTTTACAAATGCTTTTAGAAAGTGAAATTTTGATGTTGGTGATCGGTGAATTAACATGATTGATATTACACAAGATATGAAGTAAAGGCAGTGAGTTCCTGCAGTCAAGAGCCAGCAAAACACAAGATAATTTCGTGGAGTCATAAACCGGCAGATCAAAGAAAGATCTCCGAAAACAAAACAAACTAAAACATAACTAAAAACAGAAAAAAACAAACTCATCTACACAGCAGAAGAATCAAGAATATAAGCTAAAGAGCCTGCATGGAAAAGGTAAAGCAAACTGAAACCAAATTACTAAAATCGATCAGCAACTACCCGGTGAAAATGAAATGGCCAAGAAAATATCCATAAAAGTTAGGGCTTTTTAGTATAGTAACTATATTGGAGAAAGAATTGGAGAATATAGCTATGTTGTTCAAAAAATTAGATAAATAACTATGGCTCACAGAGAAATTACAATACACTCTTTCAATTTTAAGCAAAACATATACTGCGATATATTTTTTGACGTCATTGCTGTATAGGGCAGTAGAAACTTATACCATCACATCTATACTATAACTAGTGAGTTCTATACTATTTGAAAATGTGCAATCTAGTAGTATAATTGTAACTGTCATATTATACTATTTTTAATTTAGAGTATAATGATCGACGAAATGATATATAACCAGAAACTCTCATACTATATTATAGTAGTGTTGTTGTATACTAAACATATAGTATAGTATAGTCCAGTAGTAAACCATATGTTATTAGAGATATACTATATATTCAAATAGGAAAATAAGTTATTGGAAACAATAATCGATAGTGTAACTTTAGTGGGTGTTTAATATAAACTAATATGGTTTGTGTTTATTATTTTTCAATAACATATTGAAGTGCGATCTATCCTTTAATTTTTTATTTTTATTTTTTACTGCTAACGTCAGCAATTATTTTTCACTCCATTTTAAGCAAATGGGTTTTTAGTATATATTGTAGAATATATAAGAAATATAATAACACCTACTTTACTATGGTTATTTTCTGAATTATAGCCTTTGATATGACTATATCAGCCAATTTCCCTAAAAGTTATACAAAAAAGTATGAGAAGATTGTTTGATTGTTTAGCATAAATGAAGCTAAAAAATCTTTTTCTCTCTCTAAAAATCTCAGATCTAGAGATTTTAGCTTTTCTAAAAGAGAGTTTCAGGTTCTTATTTCTAAAGGTGGTGTGTTCTCCTTCTTGTAGTTTTTTTCTTGTTCTCGCTGTTTTTCGCCGGTGGCGCTTTCCTATGTCTTCTACCGTTGACCTTGTCAGTAAGGTGGAGGGGTTGGCCTTGCTCCCTGTTCTTTTCAGCTTCTATCTAGGCG